TATTGTCGTCTGCCTCTTTCGATGAGAAGCACTCATCGAAAGAGATAGATTGCAAGTCTGATCTTTCTCGCGAGAGAAGAAGACCAGCAAAATACAGTAGCAGCATTTCAATCCGCATCGAGAGAGATTGCATTGTCAGACAAAAAATTATTAACCCTATCATCAAGTGAATTCACCGCGATGACTAAACACAACTTTTCAAAATATTCAACCGTAATTCTTGGAGGATAATGGAGCTTAAAATCTTAGTATATCCTGCCCAAACCTAATTATTAGTACTTGCCGTGATTAACTCAACTGAACAGGCAACTAATAAAGAGATTCTTTTGAGTTATGTCCAAGTGGCGGCTTTCGCCATTCTAAGAACTTTTCCAGTGAATTATTCATATAGGGTTTCAGCAATGTTATCAATGATTATAAAACGAGAGCCTTTGATAACTAGCTCTTTACAGAAACGAGGTAACTTCGAGCACCGAGATAAATTCGAAAGTCAGATCATTTTAATGAGGACTCTGACCTCAGACTCGGGAAGTTTGTTGAATAGCTGGAACCTTCATCCTTGGATGATGTCAACTCTACTTTAGTAGAGTGTACGAAAATAAAGCTTGTTGTTCCCTGATAACGATGCTAGAAGTTGCTTTAGGAATTTTTAAAAAAGGAACTGAGTATTTTCTAAATTTCGCCTCCCTTATCAAAGTTCAAAGTGTTGCGTTATGAATTAATACTGTATAATGTGAAACCAATGCACGAACATAAACAAATAGTATATTTGAAAATAACCGTTGTATGGCAAACCCAGATATCAAAATTTCTGTATTTTCCCTTACTTTTAGCCAAGCCGCCTAAGCAGGTGTCAAAGAGGAATACAAAACTACCTCATTTCGCATAAAATGCAAGCATTTTCACTTTACTCAGTGAACGTCTGAAAGACAGAGAAAAAGTTCAAACTTTGCCATTTGCTGATCTCGTTCTAAAATATGTCGCTTAGCCTTTCTTGCAATGAAATAAAGCCATCTATGAAAACTCTGAAAGATAAATCACAGTATTCCTCAAACGCTACCCTCTTAGCGTCCCTATAGAGTTTGCGATTATTGCATATTTTACCTTCGAGTCGAGTACACCTGAAAGCTCTCCTCAGTTTTTTCAGTTCTCGTCCGTGGTTAAAATCTTTTCAAGACTGATTTTATTTAAAGCCCACAAAGACGGTTTCAATTATAAAGGGCATCAACTCTGACTCAGCATTTAATTACGTCTTCTTCAAGTATTTTTTATTACGTTCTAATTGAGGCATATTGCACCCGTAGATTTCTAGCACGATATGTTTTTTGACCTGGCCACAAGCACCAGTCCTTTTTCGGTCATTTTTGTGGGCGACATTGGAAGTTAGCATGACTTAAGCCCGATTCCTTCATAACTTTGCTCCTACCCACGTAATCTAACAATTTCCTGAACGGATGTAGAGGTAAGAAGTGCCTTAAACATTCTACAGCAAAAACCCTTCGCTTTCTTTCATTTTGCCGTCCATAACGAATTAAGCTGAAAAAAGGGTCGAGTTCACAAGGAAACTTCTTTAGTCTCGGCAACCTTCCAGTAAATAAGCATATTTATAAAATGGATTAACTAGTAAACTCGGTCGTAGCCCCTTTTCCGTACCCACATATAAAAAACCATACCGCCCATCTGGCGTTATGCCAATGGTTGAAGTTACTACTAGAAAAAGATTTGATATTTCTCTATTCCTGCATGCACACTTGAATCACGAACCGTCGCAATTAAAGTAAGTAAAATCATTGTCGTTACGCCCACGTCAGAAGGCATTCACACGCACTGTTCTGTGTAGTTACCGAAAAATTATATGGTAATTCGATTCTTAAAGTCTTTTTACAATAATGAATTTAATTATAGAAGCGAAATACGAAAAAAACTGTAATTAGTAAAAGGGTTAAGGCTGAGATTTCTCAAATTGTTTCAGTCTAGCTTTGCTTTTTTAAATTTTTTTTTTCTTCAAAATAGATCATTTCAGTAAACAGGTCAGTTTTACCGTAATCTCTTTAAAGAATTTCACGATCTTCTGTTGGCTGGTTATGAGCAGTAACAACAGTTACAAAGAAACCTTGAAGTATACCCCGATGTATACTAGCATTTATTGCAAGTATGAGATGACAAAAATCGCCTAAACTACGGAGCCTTGAGTGTGCTTACAGTGACAAAGGAGTTATTCATTTATCGACGAACTGTGTATCATGAAAAAATCAGTTAGCCTAATTTCTCCCAGTTCTCGTGAATTGCTTTCCACTTCAATTTTTCCTAGTCCGAAGTTATCCTAATTCCTTCTTGGTTAATTTTTGCTTCTTAATCGTTTTTCCGTTTTGTTATATCAGTCTTTTTTTAGACACCTCTAAGACATTTCTATAACACGACAAAGCTCTTTTAGAATTTGAGGTTCAAATATACTTACAGAATGTCTGTAGTGCTCGTAAAATACATTTTGTCTCTGTAGAGGTGAAGATCCGTGGTTGAAACATCAGACAGTCATTCACTTGAAGTACAAAGTACAACGTTATTTGTCGTTCGTGTTTTACTGCTTTGTACCGGATATAATTCAGTGAAACCTCAAAGAAACCCATATGAAACCTGATCTACAGCAGCGTGAGTTCAAAAACTTGTGGTACAGTTTATTTCGGATGTTCTGAACTGGTTTATATATAACCTTAACGGACACGCGATGTTAGTGAACTCGTCGATTTGGACAGCGCCCATTTTACCGTCCAGGATTACCTAAGTGTTAAAAAACAATTGGCCCCTGACCGTTACAGAACTTTCTTCAGAAAAATTTTCGACGACAAAGCCTTTTTTGAAATAGGAACACAGCTCTCTCGTGCTACTGTTCACGTTTTGTCACTCTTACCTCGAGGGTTTTTTTACTCAGGCGCACATTGTCTGGTGATGGGCATCTGAATTGTTCGATTGCCTCCGATATTAATTCACAATTTTATCATATAGCACTTGGTTTAAAAATGTGGAACAATACGCATAGCTAAAGGATTGAAATGTTATGCCACACTTTTTAAATTTTCTTGACTAACAATGGCGTTATAGAAATTACGTCCGGTATAAATAACTGTTAAGAAAAAAACGGAACGGAAAGGTTGATTAAATAACGTTGATAATGGGCTTTGGGGTCGATATTTCGACTTGCAAATATCATTACGAAAGCATTACATTAATCTTGAATCATGATTACGATTGGAAGAAAACCATGCCTCTTAAGGCAAGCCTCCTCGCTTTTGCTGTCGATTTTCTGTAGCATGATCAGAAAGATGAATTTTCTCACCCGGACCTGAAACTATCAATCATCTAAACTTTCGTCCATTTTAATCCTACTAATTGTTATATTAAATTAAATGTCAATTTTACCATTGCGTTCGCACGTTCGAAATTATTTAATTTTAACCCTTAAAATCCCAAAAGAGATTAGCCTATTACTTCTCCTTATAATTTCCATTCATCATCCAGCAAACAGGTAACGAGAAGAATCAAACTTATCAGGTAGGACTTGCTGTCTTGATCTAATTTACAAGGAAATATGTAGCAGCTAGAGTGAAGAATGAGCAATCAGATCTTAGGAGTTAAGGGTGTAATACTTATAAGCTTAGTCCTTACTTCAACAATTCATGCAAAAATCCCCTGACCCAGTGGGTTAGTGTGACTAACCTTCATAGATCACGGTGGTTCACAGTGACTATATTTGATGGTATCTGTTTGCTTGTCCTGTTTCAGCAGAGTCTGGAATGATCCAAACGCCTAATGCGCATCGCAGCTCTCGTGACAAAGCATTTTTTTCATAATAGCACGATTTGCAATCTATATATATTACTCCTAGAATCACAAATGACATTTCTGAGGGGTTTGTTTTGATTTTTGGGCCGGTTATAACTGTATATTAATGCAGTAGTTTTACGCGCAATGAAACATTTCCGCATTTTTCTCGCGGTTTCCCTTTGATCTAAGGAAACTCTTGGTTCCGTTTCGATGAGTGATCAAGGATCTCTCGAAAGTACCTCTTGCATTCTCGTTCACTGGATAAATTCCTGATCATTAGATCTATCACATTGCTAGTAACAGCGAGTTCGAGCATGACGTACACGATTACGGCATACGAAAAAAAATTAAACTGACTTGTCACTCAATTTTATGCACAATCAACAGCTAAAAGTAGTCAGCTAGAAGTTTAGTATTGTTTAATATTGTTGTTTGCCGTTCACGTCATGTACAACCTCTCTGATATTGTACAGTAAGACCTGTATTCTTAAGGCCGACACCTATGAACTTTAGTCAGTGTCGGCTTGATCTCTACATATATACGTCATACCGTTAGGTTCAGGTTTAATACAGGTGTACGTAATTGCCGAAACTTAACCTTTTAGCCAGTGTCAATATAGATCACTGGCTACTCACTCAACTCTTTTGATCTTCTTTTGTTTTGCGTAGATTCTTGTTTGGTGGACTGATATTCGAGGTGCATTTGATGGTAAACTTGACATGCTTGGAGACTTAGAAAGCGCGTTTTGCTCATATTAGTTCAACATATATCTGTTATGGACAAATCTGGCTCTATAATCAAAGCTCTCGCAAATTCATTTCGGGTTGCCATTGTACTAAAACACTTGAAAATAACTAAAAAAAATAAAACCATAGCCCAAAGACACAAAAGAATCTGGAATCCATTTAGAACGCTATGGACAACTTGGACGTTGGCTTTTGCGAGAACTGAGGCTGTTATGAGTAAGCAGGGATTAATACAGGGGAGGTATTTCACTGTAAAGACGAGAAATCCTTCACTTAGGCTTTATGACGAAAAAGTTGGATCGTAATATTGATGATGGGTCCCTCTAACAACATTCCAACCATCTTTGATTACGTAAGTTTCTTTACCCACTCTCCCTCACCATCGTCTATTGACTTGACGAACTTGCTGACCAGCGGTATTTCACTCGCGTGAGTTAGCTAAAAATTTTCAGGTGTTGTATAATCGCTTCGGAATTGCATCAAACCTTCAGAGCGATTTTCAAGGAAAGGCCCGCGAAGGAACCTTTCTAAAATATCAAGCTTCAATATGCGGTAATGGACAGACGTTCGTTTGAAATCGCTGTCATCACAAGTTGTAAAGCTTCCCCTCGATTTGATCCTCCACTCTGTGACGCCTACAGGTACCGGTAACGCATGATGTCTGCTTCCAGCGCATTTGCTCCTCTCATTCTAAAACGTTCAAGAATTCTTCCTTCCTTCTCGTGTATTCGCTTACGATTGAATTTATGCAGTAAGTGCTTTTACAAGACAAATGGTGGGAATTTTAAATTCGAAAATCGAACTTTCAGAAGTTTGAAAAGCCGAGAAACACTTAAAATATTCCCATGCAGAATGTTGGCAGGCTCTGTGCGAACTTTTTCTAGCGAAGATCAAGGCGATAAAGCGAAGGTTGTTGAGAAAGAAAGTGAGAAGAAAAAGCAACTGAAGAGTGATGATCTCCTCCGGATTCTGTCGTTGGCCAAACCAGAATACAAGAGCCTTGCAGGTACATGTAAATTTGTACTGTTTTTTTCCCATAGAGAGTTTGAAATGCGTGACTTGATTGGTGGAAAAATTAATTATCCTCAATGTTTTCTCAGGGTGGATTTTAAGAATTGCATTCAACAAGTCTGAGTTAAATGGTTCACATCTAGAGTGATCATTTGGTTGAAGACAATCCTGAATCAAAGAGAAATTAAATTATAAGTTAACTTTTACTCAGGTTGCTAAAACCTCAAGTACCAAGATCAATCTTTTGTAGGACTTCTCACAGCAAAATAATGTTTTGATTCATGACCATAGAGCTGCCAACACCTCACGCTAAATTAACATTTTTGCGAGATCCTACTTAACAAAAAAAACAGCATAGAATGAGTTTAGTTGAGAGAGGTGTGTTTTTATTTGAAGAATGTCAGAGAGGAGATAGCACTTAAAGAGTGTATTAAATCACTCTGTCTCTCCCCCTCCTGCCAGAACCTTTTAACTCCCAGAAGTGATTAACAAGAAACTTCTCTTTATAATGTCCAGAAATTTACCAGCAAATAGGTAATGTAAATGTTCAAACTTATCAGGTAGAACTTGCGATCTTGATCTAACACTAAATTCTCATAAACTAATTTACTTTTTCCTATTATTATTATTATTATTATTATTATTAGTATTATTATTAAAATCACAACTAGCAGGTAATAGCTGAATTACTTGTGCAATATACATAATTTAAAAAAGCATGTATTACAAAAAACATAAATCGTATAATAATAAATTTCAAACATAAACAATTGAAAATATTAACAATAACAGCTCTTTTGCTGCATAGCACTTTATGAAGAAATTTTGAAACCTTTTTGATTTTGATACCAGGCATAGCAATAAAATTTGCTTATTTCTTAGGTTGTACTGAGAGACATTATTCTGCGTAGGTAGCAGGTCAGTTAGTTTATGCTTTGATGTGATTGAATAGACTTGCACATAATTCTTCTTGCCTATCAAAAATGTTTTCAGATTTGCATCTTCTAGTGCTTTTCTGTGCAGCGTGTCTGGATAAATGATCCTTAAAACTTACTTTGAACCCTCTCAATTTGATCAGACAAGTAGACTGGTAAGCTAGAATGGAAAGTTTGAGAGGCATAATCTAAGACAGAATGAATACATGCGCAGTAGAAGTGAATTAGAGATATGCAGTCAATACCAGCATGCTTAAGTTGCTTAAGCAAATAGATTTGCTGAGATCCTTTCACAGTACTATTATCTACATGATTGTTCCACTTTAGGTCACCCCTTATAGTAATGCCTATCACTTTTGCTGAATTAATGGTTTCTAAGGAATTGCCATTGGCCTCAATTAGAGTGACCTCATTTGGTTTCCTTCAAAAGTCTGTATGGAGTTCCTTGCACACTAACAAGTTCAGCTTGAATTTGTTGTTGTTTGACCACTGAGGGACATGATCCACTGTGTCTTGGATCTCTGTTGCACCTTTGTTGTACAAGGGGATGTGTAGCAGCTAAAGGGGAGAATTAACAATCACATCTTGGAAGTTGAAGGGTCAATAATTTTCTGAAAACAGGGAAGGCGGGTTAGAAAAACAATGTGCTTATTACGCTTATGTGTCTGTTAAAAGCTGATTTGAAGTAACAGTGAAATCTGAAAGACTTGGTCAAACAAAACCTTATAGTAACCTTTAAGCAGAGGAAATTGGAGATAGCAACTGCCAATTAACCCCCCTTTTGGAGAAACCTAAAACTGAATAAGCTGATTTGTGGGTTAGGTGGAATGGCAAATATCATGTTCAATTGTCAGTATATGGGCACAAAAGGAGGAAAGAGACTTTTTAGTCCAAGGTTGACAGGAAAGTCATGTTATGGAGCTCCCTCGGAGTCCATAATCTGAAGGGAAACACTCCAGTCATAAGAATTTTGTATTTAAAACTCAAATAAATCAGATTGAATTGAAGTATCTTTTCTTTTATTATTGACATGTAAGGCAATATTTCAAGTCGATAATTTGATCAGACTGTACTGGCATATGACAATAAATCAGTCAGTCAGTCAATTGGTCTGTTACGGAAGCAGTTAATCAGTCAGTCAGGTATGGCATTGGTAACTGTCATTCAATCCTTATTGAGCTATGACATTGATTCTGTAACATTCAAACTATGGCAATCCAAACTGTAACTTACAGTTAGATTACTCTGACTTCTTTCCACAGGAGCCATAGGCCTTTTGTTTATATCTTCAGCAGTTACTATGTCTGTTCCATTTTGTATGGGAAAGATCATTGACATTATTTACAGTACAAGCCAGGATACAAGGCAAATGGTTGAAACATTATCCTATGTCTGCAAAATCCTTTGCGGTGTGTTTGTTTTGGGCGGGGCAGCCAATTTTGGAAGAGTTTACTTAATTCAAGTGTCTGGTGAGGAAAGAAATGTATTTTCTGTCCATCTTAGGCTGTACAGCCTTAGGTATCACTAATTAAAAGTTTCTGTAAAGTTACCTATTAAATTAAAACCATTCCCATATTTTTTCTAAATACAGCTGTGATGTTTTCCTTCTGTGAAGGCAGTCAATATAACCCTTTTGTTTCTATTGAAAAGAACAGAGTAAAATGAGGTTCTTTCATTTTATTCATGTTAAATTTTTTCCTATATTTTTGTCTTTCAGTCTTTACTTGTGCATTTTGCTTTTGTGTAATCTGAAGGATTGTCTTTATTTATAACAATAAACATGTTTTTAATGGCCTTTACCTTCAGTAGCACCTAAGCACTGCTTAGGCTTAAGCTCTGTGCACTTTATTTCTAGGGCAGAAAGTTATCAAGCGGCTGCGTGAAAGACTCTTTAGAGCCATACTGAGACAAGAAACAGCCTTTTTTGACAGAACAAGAACTGGAGAACTGATTAATCGCCTGTCAGCAGATACCATCCTTGTAGGAAAGGCTGTGACAGACAATGTGTCTGATGGTTTACGAGCTGTGGCTCAGTCAGTTGCTGGTGTGTCAATGATGGTGAGTTTGATGGTAAAGGTTACTTTACCTGACACATGCAGTACAGCCCTTGCAAATTTTTTTCTTTGGTTTATTTGTAAAGAAGTGGAAAATCTAACATCAAATTAGAGATAGATAGATAGTTTATTATCAAATAAAATACATTGCAGCCATAGGCTGAATTGCGTGCTTTTCACAATCATTGATTATATAAGACTATATAAGACTACCTATTACAAAAATGCTAAGACCTAAATAAAATTACTAATATAACTAATATAGTTAATATACAGCAGTGGAATAGCTAAAAATCTAGGTTAGCACAGGCGCACATAGCCGGGATAAATGAAAATTTAAAACGGTCAGTGTGAAAGCGCAGCATGTTAAAAACGCGCCGGTGTCTAGTATTGTAGGCTGAAAAATGCCTATCTGGCAGCAAATTATATAATTTGTGAGATGGATTTGAGACAGACAAAAACAGATCCGTACATAATTTCATGCGTCTGTCATAGAGCGAAGCTAAACCGTGCCTGTCTAAAGAGTCATGGTATGACAGTTCTGGTGAAATGATGGATAATGCGCATCTTTGGACCTGGCGTCTTTGGAATTAGTATTCGATTAGTCAGTTAACTGTTGCTAATTAAAAAATTTGCCATCCTCACTCTATATTCAGTAATCATTTTGGTAGAACTTGAGCCAGACTAATTGTTATGGAACTATCAAAATAAAAATTACAGTAACTTAAACTGTCATTTTCATGAAACTTTACGAATCATTTTGAACTTGGAATTGTGTGACCCTTTAATCTCTAAGAGTGACAAGATTCTAATTTCTCTTCTCAATCTATCCCTTGACTCAAATGTTTAAGTCACGAAAATAAAGGAAATGATCAGCAACTTAAGAGGCTCTTGATGGTTTTACAAATTCTCCTTTTTAGAACCTAGGAAATGTGTAGAGAACAGTATGGAGAATATGCATAATGATGTTGGGTGTAAAGGGTTAATGGTGGCCTTGTTATGTCTCAATTTTTTATTGCTACATTATTTGTTTTTCATTTTTTAGTTTTATGTGTCTCCCAAGTTAGCCAGCATCGTCCTTGGTATTGTGCCGCCAGTAGCTATTGCCATTATCATGTATGGACGTTATCTGCGTAACATCACAAAGAGAACTCAAGATTCTTTAGCAGAATCTACTCAAGTAAGATGGACTTCAGAATACAATTTGATGAATGCATTGAATTGTGTATTAACCCTTTAATTCCCATGAGTGACCAAGAGAGAATTTCTCCTTACAGTGTCAATGTAATATCAAGCAGACAAGTGATGAGAATAATTAACAATTGGTTCATGCTTTAAGCTGTGCACTATCGAGTTATGGAACACGTAGGAAGTTTGGAGAGCACAAAAGAAGTGTAAGAGTTGCCTGAGGCAATAGCTGAGGGCAACTCTAGCTTCTTGAGTGCTCTCCAAACTTCCCACGTGCTCCATACACTATGAACTCAAAACCCATGAAAATCTTGTGAAATAATTCATTGTAAATTCACAGATTTTTCACAGGATTTTCATGGTTAAATCAATGACATTTTCATGGTCCCAGTGCCATGAAAAAGACCTGAAAAATCCCATGAAAAACCTGTGAAAATTTCCATATTCACGACCCATGAAATATTGAGTAAAGTGACCTAGAAGCCATGAAATACCCATGAAAATGGCATTTCATGGCCTTTTCAAAGGTACTGAGAAACCCATGAATTTCAAGCCCAAAATTTCATGGTGTCAAAGTTCACTAGTTTTTAATGGGTTGCAGCAAATCATGACCCATGAATATCCTGTGAATATGTAAAAAATTCATAGACCATGAAAATTTTCCTTGAATTTTCATGGCCTCTACATGGTTTTTTCATGGCACATGAAAGTTAATTGCCAGTTGCTTGACTAATCTGTTCAGCTGCCGGTTGATATGGTTTGCTATCACCCTCACTGAGAAGCGAGGTAACTTCCTGTAGAAGTTTAATTGCTTTAGCACTTTTGCATTCGTTTCGATTTTCTTGGTTTTTTTTTCTGGTTTCCTCTTCCACGTTTGTTGTCCGCCATGTTCGACAGAACAGTACACGAACACTGGTAATAATTAGAATAAATTATAGAGAGCGCGGGAAATGTTTCTCGCCCCGGGACTCCTCGTGAATTTCTTATCGTGAGGCTACCAGTCTACTTGCGAACATAATTCGAGGGAGCGTTCGAACATAATTGGAATAAAACAAAATTGGAATAAACTCAAAAAAAACTGCCAGCCTAGTTATAAGTGAAATACTCCCAACACAAGTTAACAGAGCCGAACATAATTCCATGCAACGCTGGAACATAATTCTGTAGTTCGGCCGAATGAAATATCAAACACCATAACATAATTTTTTTTCTAAATTTGACCCTAATAACGCTCCATAAGTTTTCATGGGGTTGTTAGGAATATGCAAGCACCATGGAAATTCTTTGGAAACCCTATGAATTTGGAATTAAAAATTCTTCACTTTTCTTGTACCAAAGACTGTACTACAGTGTATAGCTTGCAGTACACCACAACTGTAATACATACACTATCACTTAAATTATACACTGAAGAACTAACCTATCTGTGAAACTTCTTGGTCCTGTTGTACAAGCACACACACATGAAAGACATGACCAGAAGTCTGGATTCTCTGATAGTTTATTTTGTTTCACCAGCTGTACATAAATATTATTTTAGGATTCTAAAATTGTGATAATTCAGTTTACACTTTCTTAAATAAAAAAAGTTGGTATGAAATTTTCTGCATAAAATTAAGATGTTAATGATTTTTAGCTCTATTTTGATATCACTGATTTTCTTGTGGAGACAGATTCTGCTCCTATATTTCTGTTTATTTAAACTATTTTGAAGGTATATTATAAATAAATTTGATGTGAAAAATATTTGGACGAAATTATTGAAAATATACTCACTGGTTTGATGTATTTTTTTTGTCTAAACTTCAAATATCATTTCCTTCGTCTAAAATCATGTGTAAAATGTTATGGACAGTTATTATGTCTATTTATGTAACAGCATTCATGTAAATTTCTTGATATGTTTTACACTTGTGATCAATACTCTCAAGGTAACTAACAACAAAACAATTACCAACTTTCTGCACTCTTGCATGTGTGAAGATATATCTATGGCTGACTATGTCAGTGTCTCTCTGTTTTGGCCACCTGAATGTGCCATCCTTCTTTCGGTTATCATTACTATTTGCATCTTCATCATCATTTGGACCAAGATAGGCTGCTTTAGCAAGTTTGCATTTCCTTTCATCAGTTTTGTAGACCAACACTCTTCACTGTTTGCAAAATAAAGGGAGCACATCATCAGTTATCTAAGAGCCTTTCTTATGTACGTAGTAAACCTAGAAATGGATAACTCGCCAAAACAGGTTCTTTTCAACATAAAGCCGTCAGATATTAAGCGACGCACTGTGGAAGTGAGGTGAGGTATTTCAGTATTCAGAATTTGACTGTATTTTTTATTCCTAAGAACGGTCGTAAGTATTTCCATACAAACTCTTGTGATGTTTCGCCAGATGATCACAGAATAAAAATTTTCAAGTTAAATCAATAGTTAGCGTGCGCGCTCCGATGTTTACGCGTAATAAGATGATCAAGCTTGAACTTACCCCTTCACATTGTAATGCATATCGATAACTTCATCTTGAGGAAACCTCTTTGAAAAAACTTTTCAGACGGTCCATGGCGTTGATCTGGAAAAAAAAGAGACTGCTACACAAACACTACGAGAAATGCAATTGAAATGGGACCATTCCGTTCGAGGTACAAAAAAAAAACCGCCACTTCTTCGTAAATCACGTGTACTTTCACGTGGTGACCTTAGGTCATCGCAGCCATCATAGGTCAGCGGTCACATAGTGACCTCACAGGTTATCGTGTTCGACGTTACGAAATGACTCCGAAGAGGTTTCGTTGCTGCGTCTGTAATCTTACAAAATAAAGCAGCACAAAAAGCTGTTCGGTATTTGGAATTTGAAGTAAGTAACAACCGACAGGACATCAGAGTCCAAGAAAGTCAGAGCTGACATCGACAGTGATTCCTGTGAAAGCGACCACGAATCAACAACGATGTTGTAGAAGGCGATCTCAATGAATACATGAAGGTAACGTTTCATCCCGACTGAGAGGATGGCCTGACTCTGTTAACCGGCGACTCTATGAACGAGGTAAAAATAGCATTTTTTTCAGGTTACATTTGCACACTATTCAAAGTTCCAAATTGAGGTGACAAAGTGATTGATTTTTCATTGTTTTGTTCCACATTTCGTGTAGATGCAATGTGTACCATTGCTGTACAACTTAAGCATCTGTACTCTGCAGGTGCCTTACTGGAAAAGCCCTAGAAGATTCCTCAGCCGTAAGAATGTAAGAGAAGGCCTTGAACAGTTTTCCAGAGTCATGACTAACAATCAAAGCCAGCAGTGAGGCAGAAAAAATTCAACAAAGTCGTCCAGACATGGCGAAGGCAAAAAGGCCCCAAAAAATCAAAGTGAGGATCAAACATCTGGGTCATTGCCTCCAGCCCCATGTGTCTCAACAAAGGAGCAAATTGAAGATCCATTGTTTTTAGTCATTGTTTTGTGATTTCCTGTACATTTTACGTTAACAAAGGCCACTTAAGATGTTTAGGGACATTTTCATTTGACAGTTTTCGCTGTACACCAAAAAATTCCATCAGTGGATAAATTTATAACAAGTCAGTTCCACGGATCATGAAAGTCAGCTCGTTGATAAATCAGTGACTGTGATGAACTCATTAATACCACTTTTAATGGCCTATGGATTCATCAATGAAATTCATGGGCAACAGATTTCAGGAAATATTCATGGCCCATTAATTTTGTTCTCCCAAAACAAATAAATTGTTAGCCCATGAAATACTGTTTGATTGCAATTCATGGGCATGAAATTCATTCTGATGACTTTCTGGGGAAACTAATGGGTCATGAAAGTAGACTTTGAAGAAATTCATGGGTCATGAAAGTAGGCATATAAAGAAATTCATGGGTCATGAAATTAATTCTGGTGACTTTCATGGCAAATCAATGGGTCATAAAAATTGACTTTGAAGAAATTCATGGGTCATGAAAAAAATTCCCCTAATTCATGGAAAATTCATGGCTAAAAATAACCCCATGAAATTTCATTTTGCAGTATTCATGGGCCATGAAATGATCTTCATGGGTTTTTCACATGAAATTCATGGAATTTTCATAAAACTACAGTTCATAGTGATAACTTGATAGTGCACAGCTTAAAGCATGCACCAATTGTTTTATAACATAGCCGGTGGAATTGTGCATCAAATCTGTTGCAAAAAACAGACAACAATATCAGAAGTGATTGTTCGCAGAGTCTCCTTTTCTGTTGGTTTTCTCTTTTTCTGCCTCATTTAAGAACTCTAGCCCAAGGGAAAAGGTCGGAAAATTGTCTTCATTTTGGGATTGGTGGCTGAGTCTCTGTTTGTATCCATTATTGTTGCAAAATAAATTATTTTTCCCTGCACTAATAATGGCCACTCGCGCCAAAAAAAAAATTTCTAGCGAAGTGATTTGCTCACACTATTAACATGCACTATTGGGATTTTGAACATGCTTACATATACTGAATTTGATTGCACGGCTCTGCTAGCTATGTTATAAAGAAAAATAGTCATAAGGGGAATTTGAATTGATCCAGTACCAAATTCTCTAAACTAACATCTTGTGAATTGTATGGTGGATAGTAAGGAGAATTACTGATGAGATCTTGGGAGTGAAAGGGTTAAACTGACCTCCATTAAGTTGTAGTGGGCATCTGCTGAAGAAATTAAAAAATAAGCCTGAAAAGTTGATAATTTAATTGCAAAGGACTAACACTTGGAATTTAATTATAATTGAACACATAAAGTTTATTAGAAGCATTGTTTTAATTTTGCTCAAAAATTTTAGGTTGCAGAAGAAAGAATTAGCAATATACGTACAGTGAGAGCATTTGGACAGGAGATGAAGGAAATTGAGAGGTGAGTTTCCTTAGATGAGAAGGTATATTCTAAATATCCATGCAATTGTTACGAGTAACAAATAGCTTATATGTTGTCATGCATCTGTTCAGTATTAGATCACAGACAATGTCAAAAAGAGGTAATGCGGAGCAAAACAGGGGCACACAAGGCATAGCCAAGTTTGTCACTGATGTTTGTACCACATTTGGACACCTTGTAATGTTTGTGCTGATTTTTATTTTCTATTTTTACCAAATGTAGATACACAGACAGTGTTGAAGATGTTTTCAAGCTGGCAAAGAAAGAGGCACTTGCCAGAGCAGTGTTCTTTGGATTTGTGAGTTTTCTGGTTGTTGTGTTTTTTAACAAGTGGCAATTCATTCAGTTTGACAAGTGAATATTTGCTTTTGTTCACCTTCATGCGACACTGTTTTGTTGTGTTACAGACAGGGCTATCAGGTAATGCCATCATGCTTTCTGTGTTGTACAGTGGTGGAATGATGATGACAAGTGCTCAGATCTCTGTTGGAGATCTTACATCTTTTCTTCTCTATGCTGGATTTGTGGGAATCTCGTTTGGAGGTAAGTGAATCATTCTGAAACTAAAAACTTAAATTAGAACCAAACTTTAACCTGCTGTTTGTGGCTACTTATCATTCAATGCGTCATGTTCTCTTAGTCATGTTGGTGAAATATGTATAATTTGTCACAAATTCAATCGAGAATTAAACTCTTCTCTAAAATTTCACTCATACAATCATCTAGTTGACATCTGACAGAAAAATGTATCAATCACCATTAATGGTCAACTCAATGATTTTTCAGTTATTTTTTTAAAAGTTTCCAATCTCCATGCTGTAAATTTGAAGGGGTCTCTATGTTTTTAATATATAACACTCTCCAGGTTTGAGTCCTAGAAGTTTCCATGTTACTTAATTAAAAGTAGTAAGTTATCAACCCAAAATCTTACACTGTCATGCATTCTCATGGTACTTATAATGACTTTGTGTGGTTGGGTGCAAATGTATGATTGTATGTGTACATGTACCACCAAACAGACAGAAAACTGGATGTAATGTCATTGGGCTAGTAAATGTATTTAACCAGTACAGGTGTCCCATCCAAAAGAATTAAAAAGAAAAGCAATATTCTTTTGTTAATTGAACACAGTAATTAGATCCAGGCTGTATTGGTCATTTTCACTTTCAAGAAACCTTTCACATGTTGGGTTGTTTTTTGTTTACTTTTGCAGGTCTGAGCTCATTTTATTCAGAATTGATGAAGGGAATTGGTGCCAGTGCGCGTTTGTGGCAGTTGATTGACAGGAATCCTACCATACCCTTGACAGGTTAGATTTGATTGTAAATTTGGAATTAATTAACTCATAGACTGTGATAGTTCATAGTTTTATTCTGTGCAACAATTAATGATTATAATAAAAAAATAGGTACACTGGTTGCTTTGCTTTGATTTTGATGTGTTTGATGATCATGTAGCTGTCTATAGTCATTGTGACAATTGACAGGACGGAAAACGAGTGCACTGTAAGTACCTCCTGTTGTCCCATACAAAGCCTTAGAAAACTTTTCTAAGGCTTTGTATAGGACAACAGGAGATACTTACAGTGCACGCATTTTCCGTCCTGTCATGTTCAATTTCACAGAACAACTTATTCAGACTCTGGTTTGCTTTGAACAACTACAACAGGTTTTTATCAAGCCAGGCAATGTTTTTTAGTAAGCAGGAAATGTGCTTCCTGCTCATATTTTAAAAGTGGGCAACCTTGTTGATGAGTTTTTTATCTGTTTTATTTTTTAATGCATCAATAACATTTTTTTATTTTTCCAATAACCTTGCTATCCATTTCATAGGGGGTTTACGTCCAGACATGCATGACCTAAATGATGGAATTACATTTAAGGATGTTCATTTTACTTATCCATCACGCCCTGACCTGGAAATATTCAGAGGACTTAATCTAGAGGTGCCTGCTGGGTCTATCACAGCCGTTGTTGGACCAAGTGGATCTGGGAAGAGTACCCTAGGGTCGTTACTACTTCGTCTATATGACCCTGGAAAGGGGCAGGTTATAGTTGGAGGACATGATGTGCGAACCCTGTCACCTGATTGGCTAAGAGGTGCAGTTGGAACAGTTCATCAGGTGTTGTACAATAAGTTTGAGTTTGATATGAAATATACCATTCCTCTTCCTGATCATCCATCTTTTTGTACTGCCAGTATTATCGCTTTGTAACCTTACATCCAACCATGATATAAAGGGGGTAAGTTTCTAAAGAAACTGTGGTGCTGCATTGGTGAGAGAGTATAACAGGGTAATTTAGTTGATGACAGTAGACAACCATGATATAACCTATTTAGATATTCAAATTTTTGGTAAAATGTTCTGTTTATAGACCTCTCAGAGTACTTTTCTAAGTGTTTGTGAGTCCTCTTTTTTTTTTTTTTCAGCCACTAAGAACTTTTTAAGAATAATTTATGTGTAAACCTCCAAGTGAGACTGTAATTTTAAATTTGATGGATTTCTCTCAAGGAACCTATTCTGTTCTCATGTTCAATTGCGGATAACATTGCATATGGAGCTAATACAGGTCAGCAAGTAACTAATGATGACATCCTGGATGCTGCTGTGCAAGCCAATGCTTATGGATTCATTAAGAGCTTTCCTAATGGATTTGACACTGTTGTTGGAGAAAGGGGACAAATGCTTTCGGGTCAGCATCATAGATAATTTTTCACACTTTTAGTCCCAGAGTGAATTATTTTATTACAACTATCGATAACTGCAAGCACTGTGATTGGTCCAATTACCAGCCTTGAGGGAAGCTCTTATCAGAGTACAGATGGCCAAAATATAGTTAAATGCTGTATTTTTTGCCAAATCTCACCTTTTATATTTCTTACCAATTTTCCATAATGTTTGTGCTTGGGCCCTAAACTGATGGGGAGTAAACTTGGTCAAGTAGGACCAGATCAGACTTAATAAGACTTAGGGTGTAATTGACAATCATTTATAACAGCTATGAACTATATATACTATTAATAGTAATTACCAGCACTTAATGAAAGTAAATGCATTGCAGCAATTATTACATTGAATTCAGAAACTTAGAATCAACCAATTGCCACAAACCATATGATTATTTAGGCCTTTCGCTGATATTTTTGTTGTAGGAGGTCAAAGGCAGAGGATTGCTATTGCAAGAGCAATTTTGAAGGTAATGAAGACCATCTTTAAATAGTTTTAATACTTAATTGTTGTGTTCATGATGTGGTCTTTTATTTTCATATCTGTGAACAATCTGTTTTTTTGTTTATTTTAGAATCCTTCCATCCTGCTGCTTGATGAGGCCACAAGGTATATGTACTTTATTGAGTAATCAGTAATAACATCCAAGCCTATCATGAAACTTTCAACTTCATAACTTAAGAGTTTTTTTTTAGTAACATCAAACCCTTCTCTTTTGAGAATGACAAATTTGATTCCTTCAACTAGCTCTTCATGTGCCTTGCAACTTTGTTTTTCTTCCTTTGTGCCTTCCATTGCCCTGTCTCTACTATCATAGCAATTGACACTGAGATCTCTTTCAGAAGGCTAGTAGACTGTACTTTCATGAAATTATGTGTCACACCACAGCTTTTTCTTTCATCTTAGTGCCCTGGATGCAGAGAGTGAACACTTGGTTCAAGAGGCTTTGGAGAGGTTAATGAAGGGTCGTACAGTCATAACTATAGCACATCGACTGTCAACCATCAAGAATGCTGACAATATTGTTGTGTTGAGTGATGGACAAATCTCTGAGGCTGGATCCTATATGGAATTGATGGCTGAGCCAGATGGTTTGTTTCGAAAGTTGGTTGAGAAGCAGACTATTGCACTTCAGTGAACTGTAAGAGGCTCTTTTCAGGTTATTAGCATTGACTTACATCATTTGTGACTTGTATGGTGAAAATTTGTGAGATCTGGAAAGAACCAAATGATAATAAATGATGGTGAGATTGAGTAAAGATGAGTCAAGCTAAAAACTAAAAGGTAATTAAGCTTGGGCATACAATTAATGTGTCCATGGCTGCCCTTATGCCATTGGCCACCAAACAGTGGTCTTTTTTCTTGTTCTAATTGTTTTGCTGGTTTGTGAGTTAATGCTTCAAGTTACATCATTTATGTAATGTTGAGGTACATCTGTTCTGATTTATCTGTCAAACAAAAGCTTTTTTAGACTGTTACTTTGTGACTTTCTCCTCTGAGTTGTGATTTACCCTGTAACTCTCAGAAGTGATATTATTAGCATGTAACATCTCCTCTTGATATCCAAACACCATCCTGCAAACAAGTAACAAGAAAACTCAAACCTATCAGGTAGAAGTTATCTTGATCTAGCATCAAATTCTCATAGCTAATTTACAAGGAAATGTGCTGTAGCTAGGGGGGAGAATGAACTGATATTGGGAGTTATTAAGTGGACGGCTTTAGAGCCAGATTACTTTGTCACCCAACATGTCATTTTCCACTGTGGTATATTTGTAAATTTTAGGGTTCATGTTACTCTTAAAAAAATGTAGCAGCAAAAATATTTAACTAATTTTTTGTAAATGAGTATCAAATCAATCAAAATTGGTGAGTGTAATATGCATTTTTGTATTAAGTTAAACATTTTCTCCTGGTAAAATTAGTTTTGGTACCACTTCGCATACAAAAAGAAAATTATCCTTGGGTTGCAATTGCATCTTTGATAACATGATAATTTACGGATTTGTATGGAAATCAAGATTCTTAATAAGATGTATTTAACTGAAAACCTTGGTAAATAAGTCAATTATTACTGTAATAGTTGCTCTGTAGGGCAATTGGGTGTGAGATTTTTAAAATAAACGTTTCCCTCCTCAATTTGCCTTTGTGTTTTATAATGGGTTTCACTGCATCATAAACACTCAAGTCCTACCCCACCCCACCTCTTTCTTTTTTCAATAGATAGCAATAGAGAGGCCGTCTTTCTAGCTGGCATATCAGAGAACACTTTTCAAAATGTCTACCTCAAAAAAAAAAATGGTCTTGGATTAGGACACTTTTCCACATTTTGAAGGGTTGTGAAGCCAAATTTAAAACAAAGTTAAGTATCCAATCAGAAGAAAGAAAACACTTAAAGAGCCAATCAAGTTTGACTAATTAGATTTCATGTTTAAATCAACTGCTGAACTTAATTATTTGGGTCAACCCAAACTAATACTCGGTTCGGTACATGAAAATTCGACGTTTGAACTGGACCTTTGGTGTTCCACATCTTATGGGAACAAAGGTTCCCTTGTAAGTGATGTGGATTACATCAAGGGAAACGCTCTGATTGTGAGTTAATTTTTTTTGGCTGCATAAAGAGGAATTTGATTGGTTGATTATGATTATAGCAAGAGAACATCGTAGTCATTGGTTCCCAGACCCTAGCTGTGTTGTTATGTAATCGAGTAATTTTGTGATATTAGTCATATTTGTGATATTTATCCTCTTTTTTACTGATGCAATAGGCAATATACTGTTGGTAAAAGCAATACTAATAAAGTTGTTGAACCAAGGTAAATTATTGTCGATCCTTTATCCCTTAAGATTAACAGCACTAGTTTCTCCTTACAATATCACTCTTGAATCACTCATTAAGGTCACGAAAATAAGGGAAATGATCACCAATCCAGGAAGCTCCTTACTGTCCAATAAATTATCCCAGACAGTATCATAGAAAATAAATTAAGAAAAGTGTGGAGAATTTAGATATCAATGTTAGGGTGTGAATCGTTAACAGTGTTTGATTGACACCTCAGAGAAAGAAAATCTTCCTTAGCTAAAATTAGATGATTTCGTTTCCAGTTGAAAACAGACAGCATGATAAAGATACTTTACTTGTGAGCGATAATTCCAAATTAGAAAAAAAGAATTATATTTCAAAATAAAGAAAACAATCACCGAGGTGATACTATTCTGGAGATGCGGGGATTTGAACCCCGGGCCTCCCGCATGCGAAGCGGGCGCTCTACCACTGAGCTACATCCCCGGAAGTAATAACGTAAGAATAAAAATTTGTATATAAAGAGTGTATTATTTACATCTTGCCGGTCGACTATATTCAGCTATTTATCGTTTACTTTTCAACTCAGAAATCCCTAGAAAAGGACCCAATAATCATTTCTAGCGGGAGGAAATACGAATGCTTCCCAATTTATTTTTCAGTTGCTCAAAATGTCACTTCCAGAAGAACACACTTCCGCTACAGAGATGACGTTTTTCTTACCCGCCAAAAACAAAAAATTAGGACATCGTTTTCAACGAAGAAACCGACAGGTAAATCCAGCTCTCTATTCTTGTCAAAACACCGCAACAATACAGGATTTATAAAAGAAAATGTGGGCATATGTGGGGCGAACTTCAGTTCTAGATAAAAGTAAGAAATTGGGAATGAAACATATCGATGAAATTTACCGTGTTGAAAATTTCGGGAAAAAGCTCTTCATCACCTGCATACAAAGAAAATGGAAAGGCACCGACACTTCAGTTCCAATAAACCATTTTCTGCCGAAACTTTATTTCTACACGCAAATCGAATTCACCTGGTTAGATGAAACTGAAATACTCACGTTAGCCTGGCCAGCCAAAGCCAAAAGGCTTCGTGATCCTTCAAGAATATCACTAGAAGGCCTTAGAATAAGGATAGGGAGATGGCATACCACATATTCGACACAAGAGATACCGAGGTGAGATCACAAATTATAGTTACTAGTGTACTGTATCGATGCTCCTTCGTTTGGTCTTATGCCTGCGACTAACCGCCGACATGGAGCCGAAATTATTTCCCAACCCATACTATATCTGTTGTTTTGTTGTCGTTACGTGCCACCGATAAAATATTACTTTAAACTCTTCTTAGCCATGTGCCATTTCCGTTGCCCTCATTCGCTTTTTTTGAAACATCAGTTCCGGTGGAGCACACTTCCCCTACACGATGACCTGGTCACTAAGCACCAAATCGGAGACCTTTCCACGTGCCGGTAGTTTACATCGGCGAATTCGTCTGTAATACTTCTTCAAGTTTCTACCAATCATGGAGAAAAGTCTTATGATTGCCTCGGCTAGCGCGCTAGGTGCTTCTGCTCTGACGTTACTGGCTTGTCGTTATCTTTCCAAGAGACGCGAAGCGCACGATAACGTGTATGAGACAGAAAAATTAATCGGCGAATATCTTATTTTCCACTTTGGCAAACCAGATGAACTGTTACCATATGGCTTTGGTCCCCATGACTCTCTTGATTTTCCCAAGCGATGTGCGTTGGAGTGTATTAAACATATTGGGGTGAGTACAATCGTAAATTTTTCACTGTACAAGGAAAGAATATGCTGATGTACGTAAATTTTATTCTATTTCGCAATAATTTGCAAGGAATTTCGAATATAAAGTCTAAGGTGTTTCAAAGTAATTTGAATTCAGGCCTCTGCACGTGGATGAAGTGTGTCAACTCCTTATTTCCACACTGTAGAATTAAGTGTTTCTCTTGTACGAATGGTTTTCTTACAACATCTGGAACAGACCATAACATCTGACTAAATTAGAATTCTTTCTTTATTGTATGTTCGCTAAAAAGTGATTAAACTATTAAATCTCGATCTCTTTAGGATAATGTGCCGAGCATTGCTCTCGACATAGGATGTGCAGTTGGTCGATCTTCTTTTGAACTAGCCAAGAGGTTTGATCAAGTTGTAGGAATTGATTTTTCCCATGGTTTTATTAATGCCTGCAATCAACTCAAGACATATGGAAGATTGGAGTACTCTGTCCAAACTGAAGGAAGTCTTGTGTCTAAACATGTCGCTGAGGTTGATCTTGACATTGTAAGTAAGTCACATTGTACAATATTTGTCTCAGTGGGGTTTGAGAAAAGTCATCTCAACAATGTAGGTGTTTCTACTTTGTATTAGATGGGGAAATACTAAGGTATAATATTGACCAATCATAAGATCTGATTGGCTGGATGTTAGTGAAGCTATCATTTTACACATAGTACTTAATTTATTTAATTTCATTTTTTTGTATTGGCACAGCATTGTTGTTGTTTTTTTTAGAAGGCAATCAGGGGGGAATGGGGTACAGGAAATGTTAAACTTAAAAACAATTTTCAGTAGGTAACACTTAGGAACCTTTTTCCAGAATGTGCAATTGTCCCTTAAAAGGAGGTTCCTTAACCCTTTGATACCTAAGAGTGACAAGCATCTAATTTTTCATTACAATATCACCCATGGATAACACATCACAATCATAAGAATAAAGGAAATGATCACCAACTAAAGAAGCTCTTGATTATGAAGTAAAGTCTCATGTTAGCACCTTTGGAAATGTATGGAGAACAGTAAGGAGAATATGCATACTGATGTTAGGATGTAAAGGGTTAGATAAAGTTTGTAGATGCTAAGGTCACAGGAGCATATTTACCAGCTAGTATCAAAGTGATAATTTGTGTTTTGTCTTTAGTTTTTTCCTTAGGAGTAGTTGTAATGTATGTGGTATGTAACATTAGCTACAACTTTGTGTAATTTTTTTTTTTTTTTTTTTTTACTAGGATAGAAGTCGTCTATCTTTTTATCAAGGAGATGCCTGCAATTTGCCCAGTGATCTTGGACAGTTTGGCTGTGTTCTGGCAGCAAATTTGGTTTGCCGTCTTCCTAATCCCTATCAGTTCTTAGATAGGCTTCCATCTTTAGTGGCACCTGGAGGTGTTTTGGTCATTACATCACCATATTCATGGTTAGAGGAGTTTACACCTAAGGTAATATTTTTTAAGAACTAGAGGATAATTTGTCTAAAGTTAGCATTGTAGGTTAAAACTAGCATTTACACATTCATGGACAATTTGAAAATACTGTCAGTATAAGATACTGAGAAAAGAAAGGATTTTGAGCTCCTCAAGAGCACAAATTTAGTACTAGTAATAGGTGACTTCTTGATCTTGAACTCACCATGAGGCATACTGCAAGTTCCATGGTTTAATTTAAATTAATTACCTCCTTAATACGATTGTAAACATTAATGGGTAAGATCATTGATTCAGAAGCACTTGTAGAAGTGTGGTCATTATTACTCTGTTGGCCAAAAACATTGGTCAAATTTTCTTTTTTTGTCCTTTCTTGAAAAAGAATGTAATGGAGCTTGTTTGTCGAGAATTCAGGTGGTAGATTATTTCTGTGACATTGCATCCATAATGTATTGTAGAAACATCAAAACTAGCTCTTTGTAGTGAAATTTTTACATTATGGGAAGGATGAATGATAATGAACCAGGATTGTCATTACAAAATGTGCTGAACTGAGAAGGTGGCTGAATTGAATGATGTTTGCATAGTAAAGATGGCATGTTGCTTGGCAACATGCCCTCCTAGGAGGGTCTAGGGAATGTGATTTCAAGCATTCAGGGTCATATTTGAGTAACTTATTTTTCAGCCAGATATTGATGTTAGAATCAGTTCAGATAGTACTTCTTTTCTGCCTTTGAGCCAGTGCAAAATGGTCTGATAGCTTCAGCTGGCAGGTTTACTCAAACTGCTGACTTCTAATTACAACCCTGTACATGACTGAGCACAGGTATCTTGATACATCTTTTTTTTCCTTTTTTTGTGAGTATAGAATCTTTGGCTTGGTGGCTATAAAGATGCAGATGGAAAGATTGTCACAGGATTTGACAATTTGAAGAGTTACCTGGGTCCAAATTTTGAGCTGATTGAAGATAAGCCAATGCCTTTCTTCATCAGAGAAACTGCTCGTAAAAACCAGTGGACTGTAGCACATGCCACCATTTGGAAAAGAAGGCAGGCAACACCTTGATTCCAAACTCTTAGCAATGTTGTTTTAGGATATCTGGTTGAACTTTAGGTGCAAAAGTAACGCAAACGAACTTCGACGAATTTCCTGACTTTTCGTGGCTTCTCGAGGGAATTCGGGTGTCCTTAAAGCTAAGACCTAAGACCCGGAAATTTAAGACCCTGTTTTTTTTAGGGAAATCATCAAATTTCAGCTTCCTTTACCTTAAAGTGGTAAAATGAATAAAATAAATGCACTCACACTTAAAAAATAACAATTTAGTTGTATTTTTTTCCGGTATGGCTTGCCTCTTCTAGACTTTCAGTTTATAGTTGGGGCGCAGCGCGAAAGACTGGGCGCGAGAAAAAAATTTAATAAAAAGCGCGGCGAGAGGGGGCTACGGGTATGGAAAACGAAACTATTTCCGGTTGTCGCAGTGTGGCGTTACACTGTGTACTAAAGTTTGCGAAAAAACGAACGAAGCGAAGCAGTACTTTGTCTACTTTGCAAAACGGTATTTTTCGATAAGGTGCTTTGCGTTTTTCGTTTTCTTACCTCCATATTTATCACTAGAACGTATTACTTTGACGCTACTTACTTGACGCGTGATAAACCTGATGTGCAACGTCCTTCCTGGCTCTTGGGTCTTGCTCATCAATCTCCTCCGCTCCAGACTCTAACCCACCATCTGTCATATCTGATTGCGAAACCAAAGACTCGACGATTTCTCCCTTCTCAACATTGGCGCTATAAACAAGCTCCGGCTGGCTAGGATCAGAAGGCTTGCGAAAGTCTAACTGTTTTCCAAATGCTCCTTTCAATCGTTGCTTGAGCTTTGATGACCTGTAGTCACTGATGTTTAAGCCTTCCTCGTTTAGGTGTGAAACAAATTTTCCAACAAGTTCTATCATGTTGAGGATTCTTGTTTTAATAATGACTTCACTTTGAAGATAATGACACAATTTGCTAAATACTTTGCTGTAGCCTCGCTTTGCTGAGCTTCGAGCTTTGTTAGTGCCTCAAGGCGAACATAATTCTTTTAGCACGATCTGTGGTATTTAATCTCGCGAGCAATACAATCTTGTCCTTTTATCTGCAGTAGCACACGATTGTCGCCCCTTGTCTCAGCTGCTCTGAGGAGGGATGCACTGCCATACTCGCTGATATTCTGGGTTAGAGCTTCCCTCGATCTCGCTCCCTTTCCACGTTTACATTTCTCCACTTGGCAAATGATGCATTTATCGATATCAAATCTCTGAACATGAGATCTATGGAAGCGTTTTGCTGGTGGCTCTTTACTTGGCTCGTCTGCAGCGATTTCTTGATTAGCAGATGCAGGCGCGGCCTTGTTAGCAGTCTCTTCGATCCTAGATATGTTGCCTACATTAGTATAACTCTGGTAAGATTGCCTGTGGTACCCTCCTTTGGGTTCCCCTCTCCAGTGGTTCATCATTGTAAGCCAGATGTGGTCATTTCGTCTCAAAGAGCATTTCTCAAACTTCTCCCGGCTTTTCTCCGTAGACAAGGTTCATTTCCCGCTACTTTCTGCCACATGACAAAGGCACTTTTCCAGTTGGGCCGCAAGTTCAAACTGGCTGAACGTTTCCTAGAAGCTGGCTTGATCTATGTTATCTCTAACTCATTAGGCAGTAAAAATTATCGTCATTATCGGCTCAGTACTTACAGATCTTTTTGAAGCAGCATTCTTATGAAGACAACGTTAACTTTTCGTGTTAGGTTTTGAATAACGAGGAACTGACATTTGGAATGAAAGCAAAACGTTTGACAATCGTAACTTAATTAGTTTGCCACAAAAAATGCAATTAAAGAAGCAAATCCGTTTTAGCTGATTTGATACTATCAGATCGTCAAGTGAAGTAAAGCCTGTAAAATGCTTCCTCTAAGACGACTTTTGCAATAAAAGACTTTTTTCAACTTAAAGTCATTATTTTATATGGTTTGTGGTAAACATTTGCATTCCAAAAAAGTTAAAAACGTCGTTTTGTTAGCTAGAAGAAATCTAGAAATCAAGAAATCGAACTTGAGTTAAATATATAGAATTTCATCTTGTATTCGAAAAACCACACATTTTCATAACCGAGCAGTATTTGACTGGTGCCTGTTGCCATGGAAACCAAAACTACAGGTTTGATAACACATTTGGGCAGCTTATGATACAACAACTATATCTCGCAAATTTGAACCAATTTGGTTGATGTTTGTTAGAGGTATGGACCATTTTTCTTCTCACCACGACTATAGCAAGCAAATTCTCCTCACCCCACCCCCCATGGAAACAGCCCAATATCTCATTATAGCACACGTTAACGGTTTGAAAACAAGTAGATTCTAAAAATATAGGTCCTAAGCTTTAATTTGATACCAAATTCACTATGTCTCCTGGGGGGTGCTACGAAACTCAATTTCTAGGCCTCTTTTGAGATTTGGCTTATGGACTACTAATTAACAATTGGTTCATACGTTAGCGTGCGTTCATCTAGATATGAAGCACGCGGGAAGTTTCGAGAGCACGAAAGATGCGTAAGAATTGCTCGAGGCGTAGCCGAGAGCAACTCTAGCTTCTTCTTGTGAACCCACAGCTGACGTATGAACCAATTGTATTTTATATAATAAGCTCAGTTATGCACGCGTTTTGATTGGTTCTCACTTATGATCTATTGGAGGACAGACGTATAGATGACGTCATCATTAAAACTTTTTAAAATTCTTTATTATATAAAACAAATAGATTCCAAGTTGCCGTGCGTCTGTTCAGTAAGAGATCACAGATGACGTCAAAATGTGGTAGGAACAAAAAAGTGGAACACGAGGCGCAGCCGAGTGTGTCACTGATGTTCTTGGAACTTGGAATCTATTTGTTAAATAACATTTTCAACCCGATGGAAAATGTTCTTTCTCGAGGGATTTGTTTGCTGATGTCATGTCCGTGCACAGTAGGAATATGAAGCATACTCGTGCAATTGAATTTGATTAGTCAAATTTAGAAATGTAGCACTTGATCTCTCGCTCGCTTGTGTATTATTACAAAATTGTCAAACAAGAAACGCAGGAATAATTTTAAAGTAAGCGGTTTGGAATACGCACCCAAGTCAATAGACAATTTGGTGTCGACGATTTAAAAACATCTGTTTGAAAACCCCGCCGGCATGTCAAAAAACATGAAGTAACACTTCTTTTCTAAATTATTTTCAGCTGAGGTACTGACATTATTCGCATATCAGTGCCGCGGCGCCGACGACCGCCTACGCATACCAGTGCAAGACAAGCGTCGCCAAACGATGCCAAAACCTCCGCAAGAACAGGCCAAACTAGGATCGATGCCATTTGTTTCGTTTTTGCTCATTAGTTTCTGTATTTACTGTAATTAGTCAATGAATAAAGGCAGAGAAGTATTTGTAACTGACTTTTGGGATTCAACATCGAATTTAGCGACCAGTCGGAATAAGCGTGGTGCAACTTATATCGGATTTATTTTTCTCTGCAAGGAAAATAAAAAAGATCATTCGAACAATGGGGAAGGTTTTCGTCAGGGTGGAATTAGAACACGAGTACCAAACGGTGCTAGGTCTCTCTTGCTTGCAAAGTAAGTTTTCGAATCCTCTTTCATATTACTATCCAAACTTCCCACGTTAATGACGGAATTAAAATTTTTTCATGTGTGAACGTAATCTGCGAAAACTAAAAGAAACATTCGGATACCATATCGGCCAAAAACGTGTGTGCTGTTCATTGAAGTCAAAAGCGATGCAGAAAATTTACTATTACAGCAGCATCTGATGACAATGATCAGAACAACCTTATGTCTTGTCTTTTCTGATATGAAACCAAACTTAAAGTCTTTATTCTTGGTAAGTTAAGCGATTATTTCTCATCGTTTGTATTCGTGACTTTAAAACTTCAGCCGGGGACCTGTCGTGTATTTTGTGAACGTTATTTGAATGATAGATCGCGAAAATCGCATGGTAAACGATTAAGTCTGTCCAGCGCGAAATTTCGAGCAGTAGGCGAAATGGCGCTCTTTGTTCAACGGGCAATCCTCTTCCTTTGACCTCCTACAACAAAAATATCAGTGAAAGGCCTATTTTACAAATAATCATATAGTTTGTGGCAATTGGTCGATTCTAAGTTTCTGAATTCAATGTTATAATTGCTGCAATGCATTTACTTTTATTAAGTGCTGGTAATACTACTAATTAACAATTCGTTCATATGTCAGCGTGTGTTCATCGAGATATGAAGCATGCGGGAAGTTTGGAGAGCACGAAAGATGCGTAAGAGTTGCTCGAGGCATAGCCGAGAGCAACTTTAGCTTCTTGAGTGCTCTCCAAACTTCCTAAGTGCTTCATATCTCGATGAACGCACAGCTGATGTATGAACCAATTGTTTTAAAACATTTTCAACCCGATGGAAAGTTTTCTTTCTCGAGGGATTTGTTTGCTGATGTCTAGTTTCTTGATAATTTCGGCGAACTTTCGCTTCGAAGCGAAAATTCGACGAAATAGCGCTCTTTGTTCATCAGAAAATTCGCTCAAAAAGCCTCGAATTGTCATTCGAACTTTCGCACGAAATTTCGAAGAAAGTTCGCGAGAAAAAAAAACGAATTCGGGCATTTCGCTTGCGTTACTTTTGCACAATACTGTGGTCGATTTCTCACAAAGTTGAATAAATTCATGTCACTATCTTAAGAACTATGGAAAATTAGTCTACACTGTTCAAGCTGAAGGAGACTTGTGTCCGAACTTGTGGCAGAAGTCGATGCGTTATATTAGTCATATCTAAATTGAAATGTCAGAGAACCTGGAAAAGAAAATGTTCATCAGAGAGAAATGACGCCCCAACGCAACCACCTCCCCCACGTTGTTCTTTTCCTTCCCGATCACTTACGCTATCAGTAAACTGTGATAGGGCGTGCCTTTTTTCGCGGATGCGCAATAAAGTAGCAGAGCACGAATCGGCAGCAAGTATTTACCACCATTTACTGTTTCGCTCTGTGCCTGAAACAGGCTAAGAAACGCTTTAAACGTAGTACATGTATTCAGTTAGCTAGTTAGTCAGAAACATTCAATTGCTTTATTGAGATTTCCTAACCGATACCATATCTGTTGTTTTGCTACTTCTAGAGGAAAAAAGTCTCTTAACGTGCCACCAATGAAATATTACTTTCAACTCTTTTTAGCCATTTGCCATTTCCGTTGCCCTCGTTCGCTTAAAAATTCGCTTAAAAATTAGTTCTGGTAGAGTACACTTGCCCTAAGCGATGACCTGTTCACCCGAGCACCAAATCGGAGATCCTGTCCACGTCAGGTCGTTTACTTCGGCGAATTAATCTGTAATACTTCTTCAAGTTTCTACCAATTATGGAGAAAAGTCTTATGATTGCCTCGGCTAGCGTGCTAGGTGCTTCTGCTCTGACGTTACTGGCTTGTCGTTATCTTTCCAAGAGACGCGAAGCGCACGATAACAAGTATGAGACAGAAAAATTTTTCGGCGAATATCTTATTTTCCACTTTGGCAAACCAGATGAACTGTTACCATATGGCTTTGGTCCTCATGACTCTCTTGATTTTCCCAAGCGATGTGCGTTGGAGTGTATTAAACATATTGGGGTGAGTTAACAATCGTAAATTTTTCACTGTACAGGTAAAGAATATGCTAATGAACGTAAATTTTAATTCTATTTCGCAATAATTTGCACGGAATTTCGAATATAAAGTTTAAGGTATGTCAAAGTAATTTGAATTCTGGCCACTGCACGTAGATGAAGTGCGGCAACTAACTCCTTATTTCCACACTGTAGAATTAAGTGTTTCTCATGTACGGATGGTCCTCTTACAACCTCAGCTTTGGAGGAAACTGACCATAACATCTGACTAAATTTGAATTCTTTCTTTATTGTATGTTCGCTGAAAAGTGATTAAACTATTAAATCTCGATCTCTTTAGGATAATGTGCCGAGCATTGCTCTCGACATAGGATGTGCTGTTGGTCGATCTTCATTTGAATTAGCCAAGAGGTTTGATCGAGTTGTAGGAATTGATTTTTCCCATGGTTTTATTAATGCCTGCAATCAACTCAAGACTTATGGAAGATTGGAGTACTCTGTCCAAACTGAAGGAAGTCTTGTGTCTAAACATGTCGCTGAGGTTGATCTTGACATTGTAAGTAAGTCACATTGTACAATGTTTGTCTCAGTGGGGTTACAAGTGAGAAAAGTCATCTCAACAATACTAGGTGTTTCTACTTTGTATTAGATAGGGAAATACTAAGGTATAATATTGACCAATCCTAAGATCTGATTGACTGGATGTTAGTGAAATGATCATTTTACACATAGTACTTAATTTATTTAATTTCATTTTTTTGTATTGGCACAGCATTGTTTTTGTTTTTTTTTAGAAAGCAATCAGGGGGGAGTGGGGTATAGGAAACGTTAATGTTAAACGCTAAAATTTTCAGTAGGTAGCATTTAGGAACCTTTTTTTCCAGAATGTGCAATTGTCCCTTAAAGGAGGTTCCTTAACCCTTTGATACCTAAGAGTGACAAGCATCTAATTTTTCATTACAATATCACCCATGAATAACACATCACAATCATAAGAATAAAGGAAATGATCACCAACTAAAGAAGCTCTTGATTATGAAGTAAAGTCTCATGTTAGCACCTTAAGAAATGTATGGAGAACAGTAAGGAGAATATGCATACTGATGTTAGGATGTAAAGGGTTAGATAGAGTTTGTAGATGCTAAGGTCACAGGAGCATATTTACCAGCTAGTATCAAAGTGATAATTTGTGTTTGTCTTGCTTATTTCCCAAGGAGTAGTTGTGATGTATGTGGTGTGTGACATTAGCTACAACTTTGTGTCTTTTTTTTTTTTTTTCTTTTTTTTTTTTTTTACCAGGATAGAAGTCGTCTATCTTTTTATCAAGGAGATGCCTGCAATTTGCCCAGTGATCTTGGACAGTTCAGCTGTGTTCTGGCAGCAAATTTAGTTTGCCGTCTTCCTAATCCCTATCAGTTCTTAGATAGGCTTCCATCTTTAGTGGCACCTGGAGGTGTTTTGGTCATTACATCACCATATTCATGGTTAGAGGAGTTTACACCTAAGGTAATATTTTTAAGAACTTGAAGATAATTTGTCTAAAGTTAGCCTTGTAGGTTAAAACTAGCATTTTACACATTCCATGGACAATTTGAAAATACTGTCAGTATAAGATACTGAGAAAAGAAAGGATTTTGAGCTCCTCAAGAGCACAAATTTAGAACTAGTAATAGGTGACTTTATGATCTAGAACTCACCATGAGGCATACAGACCTCCAAGTTCCATGGTTTGATTTAAAGTAATTACCTCCTTAATACAATTATAAACATTAATGGGTAAGATCATTGATTCAGAAGCACTTACAGAAGTGTGGTCATCATTACTTTGTTGCCCAAAAATATAAGTCAAATTTTCTTTTTTTGTCCTTTCTTGAAAAAGAATGTAATGGAGCTGGTTTGTCGAGAATTCTGCTGGTAGATTATTTCTGTGACATTGCAACCATAATGTATTGTAGAAACATCAAAACTAGCTCTTTGTAGTCAAATAATAACATTATGGGAAGGATGAATGATTACAAACCAGGATTGTTATTACAAAATGCGCTGAACTGAGGGTGGCTGAATTGAATGATGCTTGCATAGTAAAGATGGCATGTTGCTTGGCAAAATGCCCTCCTAGGAGGGTCTGGGGAATGTGATTTCCGGCATTCAGGATAATATTTGAGTAAGTTATTTTTCAGCCAGATATTGATGTTAGAATCAGTTCAGATAGTACTTTAATTTTCTTCCTTTGAGCCAGTGCAAAATGGTCTGATAGCTTCAGCTGGCAGGTTTACTCAAACTGCTGACTTCTAATTACAACCCTGAACATGACTGAGTACAGGTATCTTGATACGTTGACTCTTTTCTTTTTTTGTGAGTATAGAATCTTTGGCTTGGTGGCTATAAAGATGCAGATGGAAAGATTGTCACAGGATTTGACAATTTGAAGAGTTACCTGGGTCCAAATTTTGAGCTGATTGAAGATAAGCTAATGCCTTTCCTCATCAGAGAAAATGCTTGTGAAAACCAGTGGTCTGTAGCACATGCCACCATTTGGAAGAGAAGGCAGGCAACACTTTGATTCCAGACTCTTAGCAATGTTATTTAAGGATATCTGGGTGAACTTTACATGGGACTTATAGGTTTCTAAAATACACCATTTGGTTAAATGCACAAGTTTGCGATGACTACCAATTTCAGGATTTTTGTGGGTTGCTTGTTATATTTATTTAAATTTAGATAGCTGAGGACTAATTTTTATTTATAAAAGGTTGTTATTACAAGGGTCAAGGTGTAAGAAAAGGCAATTTTCAGACTTCAAGCACTGTGTATTTGTGTCCATCAAGGTGAACACTGTTATAAACAGACAATTTTAATTTATAACTACAAATGATAAGTGTTGAATGAAATCCAATATCAGCCAAGAAAGTGGCGACAAAGAACGACAAACCTTTCGCCCAAATGATTCTTTGCCATTTTATTCAAAACCATCCAAACATTTGATGATCCGAAGAAGAAGTTTGTGTCTCTGAGCTAAGGCTGGATAAAAATGAAAAGCGAACACAGTTTACACCTATTTTTGAAAGCTAACGAAGTATAAGGGTTGATTACACCTGCTTCTAATTTTGTTTATCCTACAAAACGAAGCATGCTTTCTTCTTCACTATTATTAATCCTCTGTCTCGATCTTGATAAAATTGTCCTTGGCCTCTGGCTTTTGTAGCTTTTTTGCCTCGATACTTAAGATTCCCTCTTTGGAAAGGCGCGACTGAAACGAATCGCGGTCGATATTCCTAGGAAGGGAGTATGAGCGCACAAAATGGCGTGTCAAGCAACCTTCTTCGTTCTTCGCCTCCTGCTTGCCTTCCACCAACAACTCTCCATCTTCTGAGCGAATGGTAATTTCTTCTGGCTTGAACTTGGAAACATCAAAGGACACTTTGAAACTTTCACGATCGTCCACAAATTTCTCAGCTGATTTTGCAGATTCCTTTCGACCATCTCCTACATCTTTGGTTTCTTTTTTCGCTGCACCCTCTCCACTTTCAGTGAATTCAATGTACGTGTAACTTGTGCCAAGTACAGGTTTTCTGTACAGAGGAGAATGGAATGACTCCCACAACGATGGCATGAATCTATCGTAACTTGGCCAAATTTCTGGAGCATGCCTAATAAAGTTGGACAAAACGTGTAACTGTGTCAAACGTCGCCATTCAATCAACTCTTTCCCAATAACTTGAAAAAAAATAAGTAGTTAGATTCTTCATAGATTTCTTTCAACGGCGAATGTACCAAGACTAGATGTAAATGCTAGGTGTCCTGTGCACTAGGCCCAGTCTGCGCCGAGGTGTTGTCATTCGACACTAGGTCAAACCTCGGCATATACGTGCTTTTATCGCTTGTTATTTTCGCCTTTATTTCTCGGATAAGGATCGTTTAACTAGTCTCGCATCGAAGGAATAGAACATTACGGAAGCATTACGGATATTTCAGCAGTTTTCAAGGTTACGGATAGAGACAATTGCTTGTTTGTAAGGATTTCTTGTACGGTATTGTATTCGAACGGTGTGCTGAGCGTAGTTGATCGGATCGAATAAAACGTGGAATTGACACCGAATTGACGGCTGTTACAGTTTGACCTACAAACGAATCACATGGAAGGAGACAAAGAAGAAGATTTACAAGGGAAAACGGAGCTCCCTGATGAAGAGAAGCTTTGCACTTGGCGCGAAGTCGATATGGATCTCGATACAATCTGCTCGTCACCTCGTGCGATATCGCCGCTGACCGGTTTATTGGCTCAAGAAACTCACATGGATGTGCGAAAACGGATTCCTACAGAAAGGGGTAGGCAATTTGAGATTCAAAGTTGAAGGAAAAACGGAAAACTGCACTTGCTAATTTAACTAAGCAGATTAACTTAGTCTCACCTTTGTTAACGGATTTTGAGAACGAAAAACAAGTGCGTACGGAAGTTGTTCATTTAGATCAGCTATTTGTTAAAGTGCAAGAAGCACATGACGCATATCTCAAGGCCTTAGATGATGATGATGAAATTAAATTAGCTCTTGAATGGTTTGGCACTCGCGATAAGGATGTACTCCAGCTAAAGCAAAGGATTATTGGCTTTTTGGATGATGCAGATAAGCTACGTGGCGGTTTACGTGATACACACTCAGTGAAATCTAAGTCATCTCGTCGCTCAAGGCACTCCCTTTCCTCGGCAACATCTGCTAGGTTAAAGTTAATTGAAGCGAAAGCTAAAGCCGCAGCGTTAGAGGTTAAGGCATCATTTCTAAAAGAGAAACAAGCATTAAAAATGGCTACTGAAGAGCTTGAACTTAGGCAGCAAATCGCAGAGGCAAAGGCAGAAGAAAAAACTTATGAGAAATTCGAGAAGGAACAAAATATTGACGGAATGAATGAAAACTTGGAAGATGTTGAGGTTAAACTCACTTCTACTACCATCTCACCCGGAGTACAATCTAACGATCAGGCTACACTAAGGGTGCCTTCTGTGAAGTTCCAAAGTTCAGCTATTGTTGGTTCAACGACCACTCCTGTAACCACCCCAGCTTTAGCCAGTGCTGCTTGTATGAACCCAACTGCCCGACCCTTTGTTCCAAAGAGTGTTCCCATTAAGGAAGAAGAGTATAAGGACAAGTACGAAACCCTCACTGACTATAAGCCACCACATGTTAAAAGGGAATGTACGTGCAGTTTCGGAAAGGATTCAAGCTCTGTGGACGGTACAGGGTTAGATCAAAACTATCTTGACATTCAAAGGAAGCAGGCTGAACTTTCAGAAATGATTGTTACCCAACAGGCTAGGAGTCTCCTACCTAGTCACAAGCCACCTACGTTTTCGGGAGATGTTATGTCATACCCAGCATTCATAACAGCCTTTGAAACTCTCATAGAATCCAAGGTAGATGATTCTAATGAGCGCTTGTACTACTTGGATCAATACACTAGTGGAAAGGCCAAGGAACTGATAAAGGGTTGTTTACAAACGAAAGGCGAAGATTCGTACAAGGAGGCTAGACGGCTTTTGAAGAAACATTTTGGTGACCCATACAAGATTGCAAGTGCATACATCGCCAAGCTGTCGAGCTGGCCCGCTGTTAAGCCTAACGACGGAACAGGGTTACAAGAATTTTCTATTGTCCTTGAGCAAGCAAGGAACGCCATGACAGGCATGCAATACATGAACGACTTGAACACGGCCAATGTTATGCGCCAGTTATGGGAAAGGCTGCCGCGATATCTACGTAGTAAGTGGACTGAAAGAGTTAGCAGGATTAGGAGTGTCAAGGGACAGACAGCTAGCTTTAATGACTTTTGCCAATTTGTATCAGAGCAAGCCGATTTAGCGACAGACCCAATCTATTCCGAGGAAGGCATAAGTAAACCGATGAACGCAGTTGACAAGTACCACAAACAGAACGAACGCAAACCCAAGAGAGGAAGGGGTACCAACTTTGCAACAGGCCTGGCAGGAAAGAATGCAGGTGGAGGAAATTCTCACCCCATCAGCTGTACATTGTGCTCTAAGGCGCATCATCTGGACGAATGTGCTGAGTTTCTTAAAAAACCGCTAGTGGAGCGGAGAAACTTTATCAAACAGAAAGGCTTATGCTTCGGTTGCTATAGTTGTGAACACATTGCTAAGCTTTGCAAAAGTAAAAGAACCTGTCAGATCTGCAATAAGAAACACCCAACGTCACTCCATGATTACAGTTGGAAATCAGAAGAGGCGAAAATGGAAAGTGGAAACGGCCAACATGAGAAATCGGAAGCCAGTAAAAGGAAAACGGAAGAGCGAGTCGTTAACGTGTGTACTGCAATTTGCAATGTGACAGATGCCGGTGATGTACCAGTTGCTATGGGTATTATCCCAGTATGGTTGTACCACAAGGACAATCCAAACAATAAGATATGTGTTTACGCCCTCCTTGATAATGCCAGTGGTGGAACATTCATTAAGGAAGACTCGTTAAGAAGGCTTGGTGTTAAAGGAAGTGAAACCAAACTTTTGCTCACTACTATGCATGGTACCCAAGAAGTCGATACTAAAGCGGTAGATGGGCTAATGGCTTCCCACTTTCAAGAAAACGACGTTATCGTACCCCTACCGAGAACCTACGTCAGACAACGGATTCCAGCAGATCGTGATGAGATTCCTCGTCCCGAAGAGCTGCAAGGATGGTCACATTTGCAGATGGTTAGGAAACACTTACCTCCTTACATGGAAGACGTAGAAATAGGACTCCTGATCGGACTAAATTGCCCTAGTGCAGTGCGACCAAGAGACATTGTTTGCAGGAATGAGAATGAACCCTATGCAGTAAGATCACTACTAGGATGGCACGTAAACGGTCCTGTTAACCAAAAGAGCAGTAAACAAGTACATTGTAACCGTATTCAGATTCTTAAGAGCAACACAGAGGATAACGTGAATGGGTACATCATTGCTAAGACAGAGATTAAGGAGCGGCTAACCCCTCAAGTGGTTTCCCGAATGTTTGAGGTGGACTTTGCTGAAAGGGAGCACGGAGTCGCATTATCAAGAGAAGACCGTCAGTTCCTGAAGATTGTAGAAGATGGAATCCATCATAGAGATGACATGCATTACGAGATGCCTCTGCCCTTTAGAGAAAAGAATGTACAGCTACCCAATAACCGTCCTCAAGCAGAGCAACGCCTGCACGGCCTTAAGAAGAGACTCCAAGGCGACGCAAGGTATCGTGCTGACTACGTCAGATTCATGACTGAAATCATAGAGAAGGGATATGCTCGAAAGGTCAAGGTTGAAGAGCTACCCCATCAAGAAGAAAAGGCCTGGTACTTACCTCACCACGGGGTTTACCACCCCAAAAAACCAGGCAGCATACGCGTAGTATTTGACTGTTCAGCTCGTTACCAGGGTGAATCGCTGAATGGCCACCTATTGCAAGGGCCCGATCTAACAAACAAGCTCACTGGGGTGCTCACAAGATTCAGAGAGGAGAAGGTAGCCTTCATGGCTGACATAGAGAAAATGTTTTTTCAAGTCAAGGTTCCAAGGGAAGATCAGAACTTCCTTCGCTTCTTATGGTGGCCAAATGGAGATTTAACTCAAGAGCCTCAAGAGTACTGCATGACAGTGCACCTCTTTGGAGCTGGTTCATCTCCAGGGTGTTCTAACTTCGCCTTGAAACGTACAGCCGAAGACGGTGAAAGAGAGTTTGGTGCAAAAGGCTGCCGAAACATTAAGGAAGAACTTTTACGTCGATGATGCTCTGAGTTCGGTACCGACAGAGAAGGACGCTGTAGAACTAGTACAAGCTGTTAAAGAGATGTGTGCAAAGGAGGGTTCAAACTAACGAAATTTGTCAGCAACAGTAGAAAGGTGATGATGTCAGTACCTGCTGAAGACAGAGCTAAGGAGATCAAGGGCCTAGACCTAGGTAGTGACAAGTTACCAATAGAGAGAGCTTTGGGTGTAGAATGGTGCATTGAATCGGACGCATTCAAATTCAGAATAGAGTTGAAGGACAAGCCGTGCACCCGTAGGGGTATACTGGCAACTATAAGCTCGATCTTTGATCCTCTAGGGCTGATTGCGCCCGTCGTCCTTGTTGGAAAGCAGATACTTCAAAGAGATCTGTCACGGAAAAGACTGGGACGAGTCAATCGAGGGAGAAGTTCTTGCCAAATGGGGAAGATGGAGAAGTCAGTTACCGCTATTAGAGCAGCTGAACATCCCAAGAAACTTTCAGCCTCCTGATTTTGGAAGCATTGCCACTGCTCAGCTACATAATATGTCAGATGCGTCTCAAGTCGGGTACGGACAATGTTCTTATCTCAGACTGGTTGATGAAAACGGAAGAATTCATTGTTCTCTTGTTATGGGGAAAGCTCGTGTTGCACCGTTGAAGACAGTCACTATTCCAAGACTTGAACTAACTGCCGCTACCGTTTCAGTAAGGGTTGCAAGCATGCTAAAGGAAGAGTTAGACTATGGCGGACTCCAAGACTTCTACTGGACCGATAGTAAGGTTGTCCTCGGGTTCATCAACAATGAATCTCGAAGATTCCAAGTGTATGTTGCAAATAGAGTGCAATTCATCCGTGACCACACTTCACCAGACCAGTGGCGCTACGTGGAGTCTGGATCCAACCCAGCAGATGAAGCATCGAGGGGGATGAACGCTAAGGAGTTTATGCAAAGGTCACAGTGGATTAAGGGCCCAGACTTCTTGTGGCAGACGGAAGATCACTGGCCTCAACAAGACTCATACGAAAAAGAGGTCGACCACAATTCTCCTGACGTTAAAGGGGTTACCGCTAACGCGACAGTGATTGAAGAACATGAAAACATGTTAAGCAGATTCAAAGGATTCTCCAAGTGGCAAGTCCTAAAGGGCGCAGTTGCGCTTTGTATGGAATACAAACGACGTCTCAAGATGAGAGCCAGTAAAACAGACAAGAGACCTGTAACTGTTGACGGTCCTCAAGTTAATGGACGAAGCCGTGAATGTGAAGGTTGCCCGGCTACTTCCTTTATGGTCAGAGACCTTGAACAAGCAGAAATAGAAATTCTCAAGCTGGTGCAAGCGAATAACTTCGATAAAGAAATCAAGATTCTGAGAGATTTCCAAACCCAGACCGGAAGTGTGCCTAAAGATCGTCATCATGATAAGGAAAGGAAAGCAGTTTTGAAGAAAAGTAGCAGCCTTAACGCCCTCGACCCATACCTGGATGCCAGCGGAATGTTGAGAGTTGGAGGACGGATAAGGAAGGCTAACCTCTCAGACAGTCTTAAGAACCCTGTCATCTTACCGAAGGCTGGTCATATTACAGAGCTGGTCCTCCGTCACGCCCATGAGAAAACTCACCACAGCGGAAGAGGTCTCACCTTAAACGAACTTCGTTCGAGTGGTTACTGGATTATCAATGGAAATGCTGCGGTCAGACACTTCATATCAAAGTGCGTCACGTGTCGACATCTCCGTGGTACCTTTGGAGAACAGAAAATGGCCAACCTCCCAAGTTCCCGTGTTGAACCCGCGCCACAGTTTTCATACTGTGCAGTGGACTACTTTGGTCCGTGGTATGTCAAAGAAGGCAGGAAAGAAGTTAAAAGGTACGGAGCCCTATTTACTTGCTTGGCCAGTCGTGCGGTACATATCGAAGTAGCCCACCCATGGAAACAGATTCATTCTTACAAGCATTACGGCGCTTTACCTGTCGTAGAGGACCCATAAGAGAACTTCGCAGTGACCAAGGGACTAATTTTGTTGGGGCCGAAAACGAGTTAAAGGCAGCACTTCAAGAAATGGATGATTAGAAAATCAAGGCAGAGTTGCTTAAGGAGAACATTGATTGGATCAGAAATCCTGCTACTGCAAGTAATTTCGGAGGCGTTTGGGAACGACAAATTCGGTCCGTGCGGAACATCATGGCAGCACTTATGAAACAGCATGGTCACAGCTTAAACGACGAATCGTTGCGAACTTTGTTATGTGAAGCTGAAGCTGTTGTCAACAGTCGTCCTCTGACTACCGAGACCTTAAGTGATCCGCTCTCACCGTTGCCACTATCGCCAAGTACCCTTCTCACTGGTAAAACCAAGCTCATTCTCCCCCCTCCAGGAAAGTTTCAACGAGAAGATACTTACTGCAAACGTCGCTGGAGGCGCGTACAGCATATTGCTAACGAATTCTGGAATAGATGGAGTAAAGAATATCTTCAGATCTTACAGTTGAGACAAAAGTGGACACACAAGAGAAGAAACTTCACGGAAGGCGACATTGTTCTATTAAAGGACAACAATTCTTGTAGGAATAAGTGGCCTATGGCTAAAGTGCTTACCACACGTCGTGATGATGAAGGCCAAGTCAGATCGGTGACTGTTCAAACCGGAACTGGATCAGTACTGGATCGACCAGTCAATAAACTTGTGCTGTTGCTAGAGTCACCTAAGGATAGACCGGGAATCCCCGACGAGGAGCCTGAGGAACTGTAATGGTACAGAAACAGGATATCTAGAACGCTTAGCAATTCTAGTATTCTAAACGAGTTAGAGTAAGATTTGTTTGGTTAAAATGACAAGCATTTTAGGGGAGCCATGTAAATGCTAGGTGTCCTGTGCACTAGGCCCAGTCTGCGCCGAGGTGTTGTCATTCGACACTAGGTCAAACCTCGGCATATACGTGCTTTTATCGCTTGTTATTTTCGCCTTTATTTCTCGGATAAGGATCGTTTAACTAGTCTCGCATCGAAGGAATAGAACATTACGGAAGCATTACGGATATTTCAGCAGTTTTCAAGGTTACGGATAGAGACAATTGCTTGTTTGTAAGGATTTCTTGTACGGTATTGTATTCGAACGGTGTGCTGAGCGTAGTTGATCGGATCGAATAAAACGTGGAATTGACATCGAATTGACGGCTGTTACACTAGACTAAAGAAGTAAAGTGAAGAGTCTGGAAATTTTGATTGCACCTGCAAGCTTCTGCGATCAAACAAATAAATTTTGTGACAGCGAAGACAAAAATTCATCTACCAGTTGTTGAAATACTCACCTAATGCGATGCACAGCTGGCCAAATCATACGCCATTTGGGAAACAGGGACATTTTAGATCGTTTACTGCAGAAACACGATCTGATGCAACCACGAGCTAAATTTCAGGTTTTAAACCCTCGCAGAGGTAAACAAACTTCGCGGGATAATGCCATATATGGCAGTTTAACCGGAAGTGTCATCAGCAAAGTGGAAACCCAGTAATGCTCGGTCATGGTGACGATGTAATGCTGATGTAAAGCTGATCTCTTCTCACCTGTCTCCACTGAGCTCGTGTGCATGGATGGATATTCTAGAAAATTTTCAAAAAATTGAAGTTGGAATAATTCAAATGATCAGAAAGGTCATGCAAAAGTTCTTGCCGGGCCTTAGCTCACACACGTTTTTTTTTATTGGTCACGCAACACAACATGAGTTGCGTGACGGACTACGATTTGTGACCAAGGGAGGGAAATTATCGCTTGGCGACCAAGAGGGAAGAAACATGGAATGGATATAGATGAGATTACCTGTTTACTGGCGGTAGACAAACAAATGCGATCCCTAAACTTCATGTACCAGGTCTGCTCTAACAGTTAATCATTGACTATTTACTTATTGATTAATTTGTTTGATTCGATTCTTTATTTTCTTGTTCATTTCTCCATTCATTCATTTATCATATTTCCTGAGGTTATTCTCATCATCCTAACTTGTGATCAGGCGATCTCTCTTTTTCGGGGGTGCGCAATAGTGCAGCAGCACATCAGTCGGTGGTCGAGGGAAAAAGAACTAAAGGCGGTCGAGTTACGGCGTTCGCCTCTCTTGTTACTTCGCCCAAAAATAAGCATAACGCGCTTCCTCGAGAAATAAGAACACTTGCTCGCATGGTCTGGTGGTTCTTGAAATATTTTCACGTCTCAGGACGTAACTTCTAGAATTCACTACAAACTATACTTTTATTGGGCTAGAAGTGAAAACTGTAATTATTTTTAAACAGCTTGGCTTGCACAATTGAGGAGAAATTTCGCAATCGCTTTGGTGTTCGCTACGTACGAAATACAATTTTGCTGGATAGAGCATGAAGAAAAAGAGTTTTTAAACATTTTATTCATACTACTGGCCAGCCACAACATAATTTATAGTGAAGTCGTTTTCAGCTAAAACACTATCAATTTCTGAAAGCTTTACGCACATAAATCATAGAAAGTCTAAGAATACATTTTTTTCCCCTGTTAAAAGAAATTTCTTGTTTTTCCATTTTTTTCGTCCACTTATGTCGACACGTTCAAGGTCTATTATCGTGGCACATGGTTAGAAATTTTCCGCACAAATCGTTGTTAATGATATTGGCCATTGCAAAGTACAAAACTGCAAGCCAGAAATAAAATAAAAAATCGAGCCGTTCGGACCTCCCCTTGGTTTCTGTTTCCTAAAGGCTTAATGACACTTCTCTGAAAATTTTTCCATCGTCAACGCCAGTTGAACGAGCTCAACTCCAAACCCAAAACGATAGCCTGCACTCGTTGATGGCGGGAAGACACTTTTTATTGTAAAGCTTGCATTTTCCTGGTTTTCTTTCAATGTCTTTTTAATTTATTTATTTTTCTCGTCCCTCGAGCGTTCAACATTCATTTGTTTTCCTGTAGGCGCCCGTGGTTCTAGCAGCTTTGGCTGTCGTGCGCTGGACGTTTTCGACGAAGGAACGTCCTTGAAGTGCTCAAAAGATTTGAGATAGTTTCCATTGTTGTATTTCAAAACGTAGTTTGCTTTTTCTTTCCCTTCCATGCATTTTTTTCCTTTTGCTTTCTGCTCTTTCCCAGTGGTCGTCAAAATCACTGGTGTGTCCACTAACCATGAAAATGACTGCCGCACTCTCGGTGGCGGGGAGTTCTCTTGATGACTGGTGGAAGGGCATTCTTGGTTATCCTCCCTCGCCATTTCATCTTGTTGCTCGGTTCTTCCCTCTCCCATTTCACCACCATTTTCTTCAGTTTCAAACCTTTGGCGGCTGCTTCTGTTGTCACGGGAAGCTAACACCTTCGAACTAAACGAACCCATGCCGGTTGTGATAACTTTTCTGGCCCAAAAAAATAAATGACAGTCGTGGAGAGATAAAATTATTATTGTGGTTTAACCTCAGCGGCTCTTCTTAGGTCTGCAAAATCGTTTACTTTGTAAGATATTATTCTCGCCTTATAATTAGGACGGAAAGTTCAAAGGCAAAAGTGGCAGGCTAGAGATGACTTAATTGAGTTGACTTGATTGAGCCAATGAGACAAACAATAATGTCGCAATCTGATTGGCCAATTTGCCGTTCGCCGTCAGCGATTAGAGTACAACCTGAACACTGCTCACGTCAACGTGTCACACAACGTATCACTTACTGAAGGAATGGTTTACTTGACGTCAATATTTTGTTAAAATATCAGTTGTGAGTGGTATTGCGTGGTCTGTAGTCAAGTTTTTGACCACTGTGATGACGAATATGGTTGTGGATAAGAATAAAAACTATGTTAAACCACTGTCGATTTATTGAATAGAACGGAGGTTGGTATTCTAAAGAATTAATTAGTACTCATCATCCAAACTAAAACGCTGGAAACAATGAATGATTGAGGTCCTTAACTAATGATTGGTGTTCGTTTTGTATTTGGCTAGTTCAGAAGAAGGCGCAGGATTTTTTAGCCAACCAAAATGCAGTGACGCTAAACCAATGCTTATACTTGACAATTCTTTGTGAAAGATTTTTGAGTACCGTTAAACCAAAACAAAGTACCCACAACAACCAATCACAGCAAAGGAAAATACCACAGGGTGCCAATGAGAACTCACAGAGGAAATACGCTGATTGCCTGAAGCGCGGGAAAACGCGATTGACCAAGACGCGCTTTGTTTCAGTTTTGGAATTTTGATTGGTTGAGGCGGCGAATTTTCTAGACCAATCACGAAACGCAGTAAACCAATAGTAATGGTATCTTGGAATAATTTGTAAAATTTTCGAAACTCTATTGAATCTCATTTGAAAATGTTTTAATATGACGTTTTAATTTTATGTTAGAATAAAACGCCTTATCCAGCTACAAAGCAGATTAACACAACTGATCTACACATTTTTTCCCATGTGTTTTCGATATCAAGCTTTAAAACTACTTTACTTTATCAGTAACAATAACTGTTTATTTGTGTGATAGTAACTGGTTAAAAACACGTCAAAATGAATGTCTTCCATTTCCTTCCTGTTCATCATCACTACTGAGTTAAGCAGAACAGAACATGTCATGCGTAAGATGTTGAACATATATACAACGAAATCAAACTCTAAACGTCGCATTTCAAAAGACGTAATACAACAATACATCCGATACTCTTGCCTGGTGGGGTGGGGTGGGGTGGGAGGATTTTGAGAGAGCTACATGGTCTTCAGGGGGAACAGCAATGGGATCAATGGTTGCTAACAGAGTATACAGGGAGACTATAGAAAATTGACTGCCAATTAAGGTGGAACATTAGAACACTACAGAGCCTTAGGGGATAATCAGGTAAACTTGATTAGGACACAACCAAAATCCTCTCATCCCCACCCCCCCTGCCAAGAATAATGACAGGTCCCTAAATCTAAAGATCTAGCTAACAACCATTAACAAGTACAGCAACAAATTCATTTTCAAACATCCCTATCAGAAACATTGTCTTACATTAGTTTTAAATTAGTTCATTACCATTATATTTTAAGCAAATATACTAATGTTTATCTTAACTTAAACCCTACAAATTTCAGTGAAATGACTCATGGTTTTAAATTGTTACAGTTGAATAGAGCCTTTTTCAACTGAGTGTCCCTCAAAACTGAAACCAAAGTAATTATAACTTTATATGGAAACAACAAGAACTCAAAGCAAACACACACCAAAGGCTTCCAAAGCAAGAAATACTTGAGTGAATTGAGGCTTAAAAAACTACCTGAGGTGCGTGTAAACACAAGTGAATAACATGTGGCCATGTTTTATCTTTGCATCTGATTGTTTGAGATGGGGTGCAAATGTTTTTGACCAATCAGAGAGCATAATAAATCACAAAGCACAGTAATTCTGGATTACTTTGACACTCTATCAAAATTGTTCTGTAATGAATTATTCAAACAAGATAACAAGACAACACTGTATTTATAACTTTGAGAAAAATCTTTTTTTCAAAATTCCTAATTATGTAATGCATTATTATTTACACTTTATTTCAATATTTAATTGCCTTTCATCTTGAAAGTGATCTTGGCGCAGCTTCAACAGAATTCCGCTGATTTTCAACATGAGCCTTGTGTAAGTCCCGAAACTCAAGGACAAAGTTGTATTCCTGAGAGAAAGCCAAACCAAAAGAAAACATCACATAATGCATCTATCAATTCAAAGCTTCAACATCCCCCCCCCAAAGCAACCCACAGGCTTTTGCCCATTGTCCATGCCCAGGGGGTGGGGAAGTTGAACCTTGCCTTGCTGGGGTGGAGAATTTGAACTGGAAATCTCAAGTCTCTGATCTGAAACAGAAGTGTTTTATCTCTATCAGTTGCTGATTTTGCCTTCTAAAAGAAATGACCATCAAATCCTGCACTTGGGTGAGGCATTTTAATAAAGTTTTCCTTAAAAGTTTAAATTCCAGCTGCCTGGAATGGGAAAGTTGAAGCATCAAATTGATTGACACACAAGGTTATGTCTAGCATTTGAACATGCTTGAAAATGCTCTAGAAGGTCCCCCCTTGCAGTGTACAATGTATACAATGGCTGGGCACAACACAAGAAGGAGGTTTTGACTCAAAAGTCAAGAATGTAGGATGAGGAAAAGGAAGGCTTTGCGACACCTACATCAACAAACTTGGGCATTAATACTTGATTTTTAATTATTGCTATAATTTAAGCCAGGGTCTAATTGCATGATCACACAACTAATCAAAATTTCTGACAGATGGAACCACACATCACATTCACTTTTTAGGTAAAATAGCAATGAAAAAATTTCTAGATATGAAATCTTCCCACATTTGTGGTCTCAACTTAAAAAAAATTAAACTCAGTGTAATTCAATCAAACTCACTTGAACATACCTTGATTGTTTGAAATGCTCTCTGACCTCTGATTTGTCGTAACTTGGATATCACATGATCAGGGGACAGAGTTTCATCCAAACTTAACAACAAAATTGCTGCCACTGATACAGAAGAATGCAAAAATTACATCAATGTAGAGTAGTGTTGAAAGCTACATTGTCTTTTATAATCTGGGTTTGCCAAGAAGAAGAGTGATAAAATTAATAGGAACCAAGAAATCTCAACATCAACTTTTAATAGATAAGTTTCTGAAAGATAAACTTTCATTTTCTGTAATCAGATATGAGAATGAGCAATGTCAATACTTATTTTTTGCAGGAAATTGAATTTTCTATTTAATAATAATAATAATAATAATGATAATAATAATAATAATAATAACAATAATAATAATAAAAACAGATACAAAAGTTACCTTTGCTATTTTCAAATTAGTTTCCAATGCAATCTCAGGTGAAACAAGTTGTAACAAAAAAGTAATCAGTGGCCAAAGATAGAAATTTCTGTATAAATGACACAAGAAACTTACCTAAACAAGAAATTCCTAATCCAGACACACAGCTTTAAAGAGAAAGAGGTAAGCAATAGAATTCAAAATAATAATAATGCTTCAAATTAAATCGGTTAAAATGACCAGATTTGGGATTAAATTGTTGACTAAATATCTGTATTCAGATTTAGTAAAGTGAGTTGTCAACTTTGCTAAGTAACATAACTTTGACAACTGTGTTTAGAAACATTTTGATTGATTTTTGAAAATTAATTCCAAAGAAGCACCACTGGCTAATAAAGACAATAATATTTACATCTATTCACTAAGTGGATGAAGTATGTGGTGGATATTTACAGAGCTGCAAAGTAACAAGATAAATATCCACCATGCTTGTAACAACGATTGTTTTCTATTTAGTATTAATTATAATACTTACTGTAAAATTGTCTTACGTCCAAAACTAATACACTGCCGTAACTGCTTAATCATACTGCTACATTCATCCAGTGTTGGAACACCTCCTGCATCAACAGGGAAATGATGCACTTCAAAACCGGCCCAACTGTACTCATCTATGAGAGAAGGAACTCTGCATCTGAAAAGGCAATGCATGGTACTCCAATTAAGGATTGTCTGTGCTAGGGGAAAGGGGGCCATATTAATTTAGGCCACATCAAAAGAGAGGGTGAGGAAGTTTCATTCCAATCAATGAGACTGGAAAATCACATTTAATAGTCTGGGTAAAAGTAAAACAATTTATGGCCCCTTTCAGTTCATGTTTTCTGTTATGTTATAAGCAGATTACCTGACCATCTCACTACTAGAGCAGAACACAAACACATCTGTGATGTCCATAGCTTTTAACTGGGCTGCATGAACAACAAAATTGCAAAATAATTATCATGCTAAGTCAGGTTTGATTTCAACTCGTAATGTAAGCATTAAATAACAATCATACTCATATCGACTGCTAAATTTCTGTTTGTTTCACGATACTTGCAACCTTGAGGGAAAAAAAAAGTTGAGTTAGTTAGATAATTTAACCAGCATATAAAATAAGGCAAGATTATTTATATAAGACCTTTATTCAGAAGAGCTGGGAACTTTAACGTCCAGCTTCGGTCAAAAACCCGGACGTTCTTTAGACATAATAAGAACAGTGTATGTGTGTGATTTGATATTTCTACACTGTTTTAAGACGATCCTTTGTTTGCAGTTTGCATAACGCTAGCTTCCAAATAATTTTTCACTTTACCTGGCAATCCACTGATACCCACTATTTCTGCACAGCAGCCAGTGAACGAAAGATCAATCCTTAAATTAAATGCACAAATTTATATTTCATTTGAGCAAGTGCACAGAAACTGTGAATCCAAAGTGTTCGTAGTACGATTTATCAAGAGTGAAGAACTCGCAGTAATACTAAACGTACCGATCAATGGATTGAACAATTCCACAAGAAAGTACGGTATAAGCCAGTAAGTTGTAAGTAAATAGCAAGACATATGCTTATTATGACTGATCCAAGCCCTACACGTGGTTCATAAAACTCAATTACCAGTCAACTTGGAAAGGTGAAAGATCTTCATCGCCAATATTGTCTTCCTCGTCGTCCGAGCTATCAAAGTCGTGTCTTCGTACGGAAGAACGCTAAAATAACGCCGTTAATTAGCAAAGTGATTCAACAACAAACTTACTAAGTAACTTTCCTTGAAAAAAAGTGAAAAAACGCTAAATCTAAAATAAAAGTACCTGAAGTACCATTTTGCACCTTGCGAATACTTGATCGGATTTCAATGTCCAGCTGTTTACAAATTCAAACTTTGCTTCTATTCTTGCGAGGGAAGTGATTGGTTACTTTTCTAGAACCAGTCCCTTGGCCGTACCTGTAACCAGAACGACCGCTCAAATGGCAGAAGAGTTTCTTGGTTTTCACGTGGTTATCTGTGTAGTTTCCAGCAATTTCAAACGTTCTTTCTGCCGACATGGTAAGTCTGAACTAATTGAGCCTTCCCTCGGTGTTATGTTGCTACAGAAGAGATGTTTTTGAAATTTTGAACGGGGAACGGGGAACGAAGGACGAAGGACAGGGAACTGGGAATCTGGGAGCAAAACTACAGCATAACAATTCAAAATGGCGGATGACACCACGGTTAAATTGCACAAACACATTGATTGATGCTTGCTTATGATCTGCTGGAGGACCGTACGCGAACGTGAACGCCATTCTGTCCCAATCAAAGGAAACGAAAATATCACAAGGAACCAATGAAGACTCAAAGTATAATCAAGTAAATAGTTTGAAGCTCGGGAAAACGCGACTGACCAAGTCGAGACCAGGTTCACTTTTGAATCCGATTGGTTGATAGAGTGGCGCGAGTTTTTCGGACCAATAACAGCGAAGTAAAGCGACACCAAATCAATCCGGGAATGTTTTCCCGACACTTGACCGAAAATTGCTCGATTGCATAAAACCGCACTGCTTGGCTTTGTAAATTGCCACTCATGTTGCTGATCAAGATTTTTTTCCGAATTCATGCAATGTGCTGTGCGTTATAGTCTAGTTATTACCTTTTTTAGACATTGTGACAGTCTTCATTCTATTTTTAACGAGTTTTCTGCGCGGAAAAATTGTGGGAAATCGCACCCTTCCTCAAGAGAATCATCAGTACATTTTTTGAAAAATAGAATACAACTCCTGACTCAGGTGACGAAGTGAACGATGCAACACAGATTCAAGAGAGTTGTTTTTGCAAAATAGTAAAGAGAGAGTAAATACCAGGCCCTATCAAAACGGCGCGGAAATCAGTGAAGAAGAAAACTTTTGTTACCTGTGAGGAATGGGTTGAAGTTTGACCTGTTCCATGTCATGAATTTGCATGTGATGTATTGTTCGCGTGTGCCACTCATGAGAAATAATAAATAAGATAAGATGGATAACCTCTTTTTAACAACGCTTTTATCCTAAACAAGTCTATGTACAACAAACATCAACCACACCACAGTTCAGATTTCTTGGACCATTGTTGAATAGTTGTAAGTATCCACTAATTTAACTTATAACTTAGCATGAACTGAATCAAGCCCCTGATGGGGTTCTGTGATGATTTCAATGTTCGTTATAATCTCAGCGATTTTTACGTCTACCGTGAAGAGCACGGCAAATATTTTGAATAAAACTCGTTTCAATTGTGATAAGAGTTGTTATACGGATAACAGTATCAATAGGTTGTTCATGATATTGCACTACATATTTGCACAGAAAAAAACTAACATATTTGTGTTTTCAAGATGGAAGGTACGTTGTTGAATAAACACCCGCCGTTATTTATTTCTTGTTGGTGTTATGACGATAAATTCTGCATTAAAGTGTTTGAATTACCGTTAGAAATGAGATATGCGACATTTACCTCAGTTGATATTGAAAAATCAATCAAATGGTGAAAGGTTTAAGGAGTCTGTGAGTTCAAAAAAGCAAACAAGTTTTTTAGTTCGTCAGTATCTTATTTGCCCCGCCCAAACTAAGATCGATTTGTGAACCCTCAAAACACTATGTCATGCATTATTCCCCATGTAACTCTGAAGAATTTGTAATTTATTTTATATGTCATTACTTTTCGTTAACAGTTTCCAGTTGATCACCTGCAACTTTTGAGGCTTTGCAAGTAAATTTAGGTATTTTCTTCCTAACCTTTCTTTGTTCAGCAATAAGGATTGCTTAACTTGGAGAATAGAACATTTGTCCACGGGAAAAAAATGGAATTCAAATGATAAAATACTGAGAGCTATTTAGAATTAAACCATATTTGAAAAAAAAAAATGAGTTGAAAAGCCCCATGTTCTCTTTGAGAAGAGCTGGTCAGTTTTTAATCGAGGAGGCTCGAAATTGATATTTGAAATGTATTGCAACAAGAGAACGAAATGTGAAAAAATTGTACCCTTTGTTTTGTAGATATCTCTGAAGTTGTTTCTGAGGACTGCATTAGAGATAAAGACCTGAGATATTTCGGCTTTCTGAAATCGATGGCTCCCGTTTTGGTGTAAACGCACGCGACAAGGATCTTGGAAATGACTCTTGTTTCGGCATTGCCTATCTTGCACAATGACAACACTATTTATACTCATCTTCATAAGTTTTATAACATGCTTCGACGCTGAAAAACACTTCAAAAATGAAAGGCTAAGCTACAGAAAAAATGTGATCGATTTCAAGTTTGCCTGGTGCCAAATGCGCATGCACAGATATGAATGGAAAAATTTGATTGGTCATTGCTTAACACAGGTGTCTTGGGATGCAAAACCGCTGGACAAAAAGCTTCAAACAAGAGCTAGCAAAAGTTATGTCAAACAATTGGATATTAAACCTGCAGGATTCTTCAGCAAGATTTACATTCAGTCAGTTTCAGTGAAAAACGAAAATAAAACAATCGGGGGGGATTCTTGGCGCGTTGACATTCGGGGACCTTCCAACATGGCAGCTACGGTGTACGACAAAAACAACGGAGTATACGAAGCTGTGTTTTTGCCAGAGGAGCCTGGGCTGTACAGGGCGGAGATAACATTGGATTATTCGCTATGCAAGGGATTCAAAGATCCACCAGTGGATTGGTTTATGAGAGGTAATAAAAAACACAACGATATCCAAAATAAAAGGTATTGGCGCTCTAAAATTATAACCCATGTTCGAATCCTCGCTAGATCTATGATACACTGATACAAAGTAGTCTAAATTCATAAATACTTGTAGGATGGTGGGTGCTTAACATTTGAAAATGAATCTGTAATGAGCAGAGTCACTAACAAGTCATCCTCGCGCTAATATCTAATTTCATGCTCAAGGTAGATAGATCGCCAACCCTGTCAAAAATATGTTCCCGTTGAATTGATTCAGGGATTATGGTGGACTCCGTGATCCAAAGTTGATTGTTCCCGAAACTGAGTTTTACAAAAAATTAATAGTGCACAATCTGACAAACACAATTCCAAACCTCAGTGTATGTCTCTCTCCCCAGGCTGTCGACACGGTTCATTCCAGCCACATGGGAGCCTGGGTAACAGAACGCATGATTTCTTGCAGGGGCGACTAGGAGGCGAACAAATTACTTTCACTGTTCCCTCATCTTCAACGATCATAGCTAAGGGTGAGATAACGTATTGATTTTGTAACCATGAGGACGATTTAAAAGGGATTGCAAAAAGATATTCGAATTTCAGTTTGATACTTTGATTCAAGATATGGCAGCATGATCTCCAATAAATATATAGTGTAAGGGATACCCTTACGAGCAACCTCTCTCGTCAAGACGCCTCTTTATTTCTGGTGCAAAATACGAATTTTGATAAAAAATTTTCTACAGATGTTTTGGTAACGCAAATGCAAACATAGACAAAATTGTGTTCCTTCAGGCTAAAAGTTTTAATTCATTGGGGTATCTTTCTTTTCAGGAACAGAATAGGTTTGCAAAACAATTATCTGCGGGTACATAATGTTTGCCCGATGAAAAACGCAGTTTGTGTCAGTATAATCTCCCGTTCACATTCTGTGTTAGAGTCAAAAATCAAATAGTGAACATTTCTGTGAGATAGAACACCTCATACACAAATCGTCTCGCTACTTTTTTTTGTCAGAGATCAATGCATTTAAAAAAGTAAGCCAAACAGCCTGCAAAGAGAAATGTAATCTTTTAGTTGACGGATATGGGTCATGGATCGGTGAACAGTGGAGGCCATATCAAACAGGCAGGTGTTCTGACGATTCTTTTGTTAACAGTTTTAGCATCATACAAACTCGTTTCCTAGGTCTTCCATCCTCTGATAATGGGTGAAAACGGGAAAAAATGTAGACCCTGCAAACGAGAAAAAGTAAGAAAAGATTGGATCAATATCAGTATCTGGGCAACTGCCCACCTACCCTTCTCCTAACCCAACAACACTCTATTGATAACAAGTTAAGGTTAATGTTGGGTTAGGGGAGGGGTAGGTGGGTAGTTGCCCAAATACTGATATTAATCCAAAAGGTTATAACATTCAAGATGTTATTCGAGAAAAGCGTTCCAATATGAAAAATACGTTGGAAGAAAAACACATCAGGGAGTTGCGTTGTACAACGTTTCCTTTTTCAGTAAGACCACGTTTAAGTACTTCATATTAATACATTCAGATGCATATACTTGCTTTTTTGTTTTTTGCAAAACACCGTGGTAACGTAGGTAATTCGTGCAGCTCTCCGTTACGGAAATTTCCCTCCACTACTTTGGCGTCTGTTTTGGAGAAGTTCGACTGTGCAGTAAAATAAGTCGCCATCTTTAAGCCCAACAAATTTTGTGATGTTTTAAAAATCGTTATTTTCACGATCACGTCCTCAGGCTTCACTGCAAGCCTCGGGAGATCTGGACACCAACAAGGCCGAGGAATATTGTGGGTCTATGGCGATTCTCTCAATCGCTACTTTTACGAGTCTCTTCTAAAACGACCGCTTTGCTGGCAAGTCTTCCGAGCCTGCTATCATACGATGTTATGGGTGTATGTATTAACACAGAGCGCTAAAGAAGAAATGAACTTGATGTTTGGCAGGAAGCCTATCAACATTCCCAGGATCCTTTACGAGCTACAAAACGTAGTCACGCGCTCTGACATGGACCAAGACAGTGCCCTTATTCTGAATGCGGGTGTGCACCTATTGAAGAGCGCGAGTTTTTACAATTATCAAAAAGTAATTAATGGATTTATTAGCGTGTTAAAACGTTATTACAGGGGAACTGTTATATGGAAGAGCACTACTGCCATTCATGACCAACGAGAGCTGTACAGTGGCTGTTTTCGACGTTTTCACTCCGATCAGGTAGTTTTATTGATAGCGGACACACCCTTTTGCACATAAGCATTTTCCAGGCGTTCAGTTAATAAAACGAAGCGCGATAGTAAACAGCGCTAATGTTGTGGACGAGAGAGGTTTGGGTCGGGTACCAGACCTGACCAAAACTCCGTCGTTTTTTCACTCCTCCGCTGGTATCGCGCCGTTCGCTGTTTCGCTTCGTTTTATCAGCTGAACGCCTAGAACAGGCTAATGCACACATGGCAATAGTGATTAGTTTAAAAGAAAATATTTAAATATTGATAATATCAATTTTAATTGTATTAGTGTGATAACTATAATTATTTTTTCAAACCATCAAGTCAAAAAAGGCGTAGCCACTAAAATTCTCTTCAAGACTAAATAAATTAGGAGATAAATAAATAAATAGTCTGGTAAAAGTTACCTCTATTTGAGTTGAGATGATTCTTACACTTTATTTTTATCTTGTTTAGAGAATACAACTATTCAATGCTTACGCGAATTGGGCGATGTGCAAGGCTGGTTTCTTAGTCCTCGATGTTTACCCCGTTTCAAGCTCCTACCCGAAAGGGACTCTGGATGGTGTGCATTTCAATGAACTAGTGTTTTATCCCGCAGCTGAAGCAGTAGAGAGATTTTTCCAGACGTAGCGCTCTGCTACAGTGGAAACGTCACACAATCCAGACACCGTAACATGGCAGGAGATTTAGTCACATAAACAAGGTCCGATTAGTCGACACAAGACACTTCAAAAGGAAAAAGAACAACAACAAGATGGATTACAAAAAGGGAGAAGCCTACTGTGAATAAAACAAACAAATAAACAGACAAAAAAAACAGTGATGACGATTTAATCTCGACTTTTTACTTAATCCGATTCGAAGGCCAAAGTTAAAGAGTAAAGTGTCAAGCAGTTCCATATGCTGTACATTCATAAAATGTTTTTAGCCCTAAATTTTTCCTAGTGATTAATTTCTAGAAATCATGGTCAGTTTGCTCTGTAACATGAATGTTTACGCATGTAAATTAAGAGCAAACTTCTTATTTGAATTATTTTTCTGGAATTTCTCGCACCCTCTACATAATCCAGGGTACTTTCGTCAACCCGAAGTTAAAAGAGAAAGATGATAGAGCTTTTTTCAACTGTATCGAAAGAAATCCGATAGCTTTTTGTATTGCTCTACATCATAATTTGATTGGTCCATAAAACAGGCACAGAAGTTCTCAATCTATCAAATTTAGAAATAAACCAATCCCGACTCGGTCACTCGAGGGTTTCCTCCATCCCATCGACTATCCCCTCCCCTCCCCTTAATTATTGAAAGCTGACGCCAATTCTAAAACAAAACAACAAAAGTGCTAAGTACCGTTATGATTGACATAATCGTTTGATATGGGACGAGTATGTTAAATGAGGTTTGAAAGTCTATCTAATTGTCTACGAAGCCTATATTATGACTCTTGCGTGACATTTGTCACGTCAGGAAAAATTGAGGTGTGACAGAGGTACCTTAGTTTCTAAATAATCTCGTATCATACCCAGATCCTACCGTGTAACCGTGTGGGTACGAGACTAGATTCCAAATACTATCAAAACAATACTGCAAATAAGAAAGGTGTTGGTTGCCGCTACCAGATATCCGCTGGCTTTTGGTGGTGGATTTCTAACAAGTGCCGTGTGCGCTTGTCCGCTGACCAACTCGTCTGGGTATCGTTGTAGCAGGTCTAGAATGACTCCATTGGTCCAACCAAACCCGATTTGAATATCATACTCACCCCCACCCCCTGGGGTACCTTGAACGCTCACGTTGAATTTCTCAAACATATGACTGGTAGCACGCCACGCCTTGTAGTTGGTAGTGATCCACTTCTGAGCGAAATTCAAGGCTTCCTGTTTCATCCCTTCGCCGTTTGATTCTGCAAGACCTACAATAAGCATATGTTGCAAGGGTGGCCATGCATTTGGAAAATCCCATTGCTGACCTGATGAGAACAACGAGGTGGGGAGACCCCCAGGGTAATCGAGGACTTTAAGTCTCTTGAGCGTCCTCAGAACTATCATCTCTCTTGTAATGTTGCCCCGAATAACCCCAGCCCAGAGTGGAACCACGCTTGACGCATAAAAATCACCCCTTCTTTTCTTCAATTGCCGATCGTAGTCAAGCCATAGTCCCTTTTCGTCCCATAATACAGCTTCTATAGCAACTGCACGGGCCTCTGAGAAGCTTTTATACTCATCTGCTTTAGCAGTGTTTCCGGTCATACGAAAGAACTTTTCCAGTAGATTCTCGCAAGCATAGAGAATACTGTTCAAATCTGTGGGTATGATCTGCCTTGTCCGGGTACTACTGAGGGACCCCCTCTTGTAATCAGTATGGTTAAACCATCGGGTCGAGAAATCCCAGCCACTCTCGGCAGCGGATGCTATGTCTTGGAACAGAGTTGATCTGGCGTCTTCAGGTACTTCTTGAGCAGTGTGAATATCTTCATAATAAGACTCCGGTCTTGGGGTATTCATGTTTGCAGCGTAGATGGACAGCTTGTATTTTCCAGAAGATAATTCAACTTCAACAGTGCGATTTTTCCTCCAAAATGTGTATTCTTTCTCCAGGGCATTCAAAATGGACTTCACATAATCTACATCGCCAGTTTTGTTGAGGTAAAGGCCCACAATTGGGATTAGAAATGGAGGCTGGCTTCGATTTGTGTAGTAAATGCGACCCCCATTTGGAACAAACCCGAAGGTGTTAACCAGCTGAATGAAGTTGTCAATCATTCCTTTGACAGTGTCTTTCATGCCGCAAACGAGTAAACCATTTACAACCCAGTACGAGTCCCAGTAATAATATTCTCGAAATCTACCACCAGGAACAACAAATGGATTTGCCACTAAAATCAAAGAAGATCGCGCGGGGTTCATTCGCGCTTCGTCAGTTATCTTTCTTCCCAGCTTCTTCCATAACTCGTTGAGCTTCGATGCAAAGGTCTTCAAGTTCTTGTCCTTTATGTGATCAATAAAAGCGGGATTTTCTCGCCAGTCGAGTGGAGTCCAATGTTGCAAATCATGTCCTACTAGATGAAAATTTTCATTCACAAACTTGATCACTTGTTCTTTCGATATGTTAGCCGATGGTCTAAGAGCCTTGAATGCCTGCAAAACGTCCGCTTCGTCACTCTGGAGTCTCATATCAACAAACGTCTTGGAGTCGTTAAAAATACGAGCCATTTGAACGGTGTGAAGAAGATCGCCGCGGCAGAATATCTCGCTGTTGCAAGCAGGTTTCTCGGCATTAATTCCCTTCATACTAAGGGCTAGAAAAGAGAGCTGAAAAATAAAGCCCCACGCCTCCATCGTGACAGCTGTGGTTGCTGTTATATTTCTGAGAAATACAACAGCAACAGGTTTTGTAATGTAATCTTTCACCTTTTTGGTTTCCTTGCGTGACTCTACACAATACATATGATCACGCGATCAGTTGTGCAACCTGTTCGCTCTTGTAGCGGTCTTTGACCATGAGTTGTACCGCATCAGTCATTTCCTTTACTCAAAAAATTGTGATAAGGTATTATTTTATTGCGTAGAAAAGCGGAGGTCAAAAGTCGTATGACACATGAAAAATGCTTTGATTTTAGCAACCAAACTATTTTTGAATTGATTTAGTTACAATATTCATGAAAACTCATGACATGTAAAGACAGTGTAGACACCGGGTAAATTTTCCCACTTTCCATCCCCTTTCCGTGATTTTACCACTTTTTATATTAGCAAGTTGTTTTCGCTTGAGATGTCATTTTAAAGACGCATTTAGCAAAGCCAGTGATAAGCAGAAATGCCTCTCAATCTTACAGGGTAAAGCTTTGATTTACCTTTTTCCTGATAGATTCTGTTAGAAAAGAGGAGCATATTCTCAGAAACATTTAAAACTGTATGAATAGCGGCTTCCACTGCAAAAGAAAAGCAGGCCATCGCCAAAATGAGGAAACTATTACTAACTGTTATCAAAAAGCTGATGTTTTATTCGTTTCCTGTTGCTACTTGACTTCCGGTTTGACAAAAATCCGAGCATGCGTGCTTCCATGTTATTGGTTCGTACTCGTGGCAATATGGCGGAAGGCGAGGGTAATAACGATATTGTGGAAAGTTCTCATGATTTAACCATTACTGACGACCAAAACGCTTCTGGGGAGACCGAAGGAGCTTCAGAAACAGGAGAAAAAGAACTACCGTATAATTATGGATTTTCCTTACCGGAATACTACAAACTTTGCCTACAGTATTATCACAAAGGTATGCCAGTTGCGCAGTTCATCTCTGCATATCTGTAAATTCTTATACATTTTGTATTTGTTTAGGTTGCTCTGATTTTCTTACAACCCATTCTGCTTTTTTTCGCGATAATTACCTTGATGAAGTAGTTTATTTACACAATTGCTAGTTTTTGTTCCATTAAAGTGCCATTTATCTAAATTCTTTTAAGTTTGCGGAAGCTAGCTTGTACATCTTTTAATTTGAAATTACTTTATTCGTGTCCCTTCACTTACCAGACAAAGGTAATCAACCTTGGAGGGCTGCATAGATTTTTTTTTCATTTAATTTGCTTCTTGTAATTTGAAATCATCTAAATTTGGCGAAATTTTTTCAGGATTTTGTTGTCTCTGAGAGAGCTCTGGGAAAATTCCTTAGAGCCTTTAAGGACTTGGAGTATTGTATTTTGTCACTGTTTTGCATATCAGAGGGAGATCTTTTTGTGATTGTTCTCCCCAGCATTCATCACAGCTGGTTTCGTCATTTCCCACAAATAGAACACAAATAGATTCCATGTTGCAGTTTGTCTGTTTAGTAATTGATCACACATGACATCGAAATGTGGTAAGAACAAAAAAGGGGCACATAAGTTACCGGTGAATGTGTCACTGATGTTCTTACCAGGTTTTTACATCTTTTGTGATCTATAGTCAGACCTGTATTAAGCAGCACTATATTAAGTGGTCACCCTATTTCAAGCAGTTGGTTTTCAAAGTCCTGAAATTGTTACCCCTTCTTACTGTAATTTTCACCTCTACTTAACAGTGTCAGTTACTCTTTAATGAGTCCCAAAGGCCTGTTTGTATTGTCCTCCACCCGCATTGAAGGATCACTTCAAGCCAAACCATTCTAATTAAACTGAGAATTATCTTTCAAGTTAAATTAAATGTATTTTTATCTTCCAAAATCAATCTTAGTGGTATTTTCAAAGGAACTTTTGTACATTTAATGGTCAATAATGGCGTTATGCAATGTTTTTTATTTTCTTTCATAATTTACCCCTATTCTGTGGAACCTGCATAAGCTGTTAACCTGTATTAAGGGATCACCCTGCCATTCTCCATGGGTGACCGCTCAATACAAGTTCAACTGTATTACTGTACAAACTCATGGCAACATAGAATTAATTTGATATATATGATAAAAAGAAAAATGTTGTTAACCCTTTAAACCCTGAGAGTGACCAGCATCTAATTTCTCCTTACAGTAATATGGCTGAATCATTCATTAAGATCACAAAAATAAAGGAAATGATTACCACCTAAGGAAGCTTTGATTGTTCCACAAATTCTCCTTGTCAGTACTAAAGGGAATGTGTAGAGAAGAGTAGGGAGAATGTGGATACTGATGTTAGGGTGTAAAGGGTTAATGGGAACAGCATTTATTTGTCTGTCCTCCAACAGATCATGAGTTAGAGCCAATCAAATTGTTTGTATGACTGTGTCACTGTGAATCTAAGACTAAATTGAGTGTTCAAGATTAGTTTAGTGCAACTTGTATGTTCATTTCCATTGGTGCATTTGATTTATTTCTCACTCTGCAGAAAAGCAAATAATAAAGCTTACTTATGATGACAAAGTTCAGCTGACTGCATACTGGAAACAAGTTTCAAGTGGAGCTTTTGACCCTGAAAAGTACCCAGATGTAGGATATTTTGATGTTATTGGCAATGACAGGAGGTAAAGATGTTAATTGAATAGCCAAATAAATAACTGAATTAATGAATAGATAAAGGATAAATGAAGAAATAAAATTTGGCTATTATAGTGAAGCATTGAAGTTTACATCAGTCTCTTATTTCCATGTAATTATCCCTTTTAACCCTTTAACTCCCAGAAGTGATCAACAGGAAACTTCTCCCTATAATATCCTTACATTATCCAGCAAACAGCTAATGAGAATATTCAAACTTATCAGGTAGAAGCTGTTGTCTTCATCTAACACCAAGTTCTCATAACCAATTTACAAGGATGTGTGTAGCAGGTGGAGGGGAGAATTACCAATTAGATCTTAAGAATTAAAGGGTTAAGCCACCATTTGTTTTTGAATCAATAATATACCCTCTTCAGAGGCAGATTCAAGAATTTAAGATATGGAATGTCTAAACTTTGATTCGGTAGACAATTTGTTTTTTGGTACTAGCACCTCCTCCTTGGTCGATAACTGCTGAGGCCGATAAGTTTGTTTATTCTTATCACATTCTGTAGAATGATACATATCAGGATATTTCAGTTGTGGGAATTGAGGTGTTAATGGAATTTACTGTCTTTCTTCTATGTCTTCTGTTTATGGCTTCAATTTAAACCCTTGTCACTGGTTTTGATGCTAAATTAGCACAACTAATTTTTCTTACGTTCATTGTTTTCTCTTTATCAGGAGAGCATGGGAGAGCCTTGGTAACATGGAGCCTAGAGAAGCCATGAAGAAGTTCTGTACATTACTAGGGACATGTTCACCTGAGTTAGCTCCTTGGATGGAAGCACAACAAAAAGAAAAAGAAGAAAAAGAAAGAATGAGAAAGGAAGAAGAGGAAAGACTTCGAAGGGAAGCAGAGGAAGCTGCTGAGAGAGAGAGGCAGAGACTGTTGGAAGAGGAAATGAGGAGAAAAGCTGAAGAAGAAGAGGAGGAAAGGTACACAGGGTTTAATGTTGAAGAAATGTAAAATGGTTTCTGTGTTTACATAGCCTGATGTAAAGACGCGGGAGGTTGGGGGAACACGAGATAAGCGTAGGAAACCGCAAAGCGGAGTAATTTCCAGCTTATTGAGTGTTCTCCCAACCTCCCAAGTGTTTACATCAGGCTATGTAAACACGGAAACCATTTTACATTTCTTTTATAAAATAACTAATGAAAGAGGAATAAAAACTGTGTTTACATACGCTCATGTAAAATGGTTTTATGGCCAATCAGAGCGCACGTACTATTTGAATTATTTTATAATTCTATTTGGTGTGTGAATTTTACATACCTCTTGTTAACTGAGTGCAAGGTCCACTCAGAATGTGTAGGTCAAAAATCTCCGCTGAAAAAAGGTGGTTCTGTAACTTACAGTATGAACTGAGAGAAATACATGTAGGTTAGTAAGATATTTATCATATCTCTGGGTTCAAATAGAGGGGAAAGATTTCAGTTTAAACAACATTTTTAATGTAGCAGGCATACAGTGAAATATGGCCTGCTAAATTAACCAATCATAGAACACTTACTAGCTGAGAGTTATAATACATGTAAATTTCATTAGTTTAATTGCTGTGGTGATTTTTGGAAGATGGGCATGCTCTTATTGGTTGAGGATTACATCATATCTTGCTATAATCACCTTACATGAGGTGATTATAGCAAGTTGCTATCATGGCAAACTGTGTTTAAAAATGAGATGATTATTTTCCTGAAATGTTGTTACCCTTTCTAATTTGAACTACATGTAGGCCAGCTGCCAGTCTTCTTGAGCTTGGTTGGTAGAGCTTCCTAGTGTGAAATTGGAACTGGCTTAGGTTTGAATCATTTTTAGAGGATTATTTGGACTATGTTCCACACTTGTGGTGGTGTTATTCTCTCTTCTCTTGATAAGAGTGCTCTTTATTGGAAAATCTGACCAACAAAACTTATCCCAGGGCAAAACTTTACATCCAGTATAGTTGATACTAGCATTATAATGCAGTGAAGTAGTTGCGTTAGTATGGAGTACATGAATTGTGTCAGTATTGGTGCATTTCAAGTTGATATGCAAGAAGTATCTAGTATGTGTCCAATATACAGACATACCTACTGGGTAAAAGTTAATTTACTTCCATCACATTCAGGAGAAAACAAGAAATTATTCTGAGGCAGCAGCAAGAGGAACAACTCTTACAACAACAGCAACAACAAATGTTGAATAAGCAGCAGCAATATCAACAACAACAGACACCAGATCAACAGGTAGATCAGCTGAGTTGCAGTTTTAACCTTTAACACCCAAACATCAGTATGCAAATTTTCTGTACTGTAAATTGCAATGGACTTACATCTCAGAGAGGGAGAGTAGATGTACTCCAATTCACATCATGCTCAACAAATTGGGATGGGATTTTGCCAGTTCTTTTTTGTGCTCTGATGACAACACTGGTAACTTGACTATTCCGTTGCATCTGAAGTGTAAACTAGACAGAAAGATACAGGTCAAAATGTTATTAGCCCGATTATTAGTAAACATTTTTATTTTAATGTGAATCATGATATATGCTCTTTGTTGTAAAGCCCAAGGCAATGGCAGTGAATGGCACCCCAAGGATAGCACCCCCTTCATTATGGACGCGTCCAAAAGTCCAAGAGTTTATTCAACATCTCAAGTCTGATCCTACTTCTGTGTTAGTTGTTGGACGTGGGGAGACGATGACAGTTCGTGTACCTACACATGAAGGGGGTAAGTGCAGGACAACTGTCCTACATCAGCCTAATTTCAATGTGTTGAAATTGAGTATCAAACAAGAGACGTCAAAATGAGGCTCTAAGGAATGAGCCACACAAACTCTTACTTTTTTACACAAACTCTATGGTTCTTTTCCCAGAGCCTTGACCTGACCTCTGTTGTTTAAAGTTGAATTTTAAGATACAAAATTTGGCTATTTACTAGTATTGGCAAGTTACAACGAGTTTAAGTGAAACTCGATCGACTCATGTCAAAAATTTTGATCTGGGTTCAAAGATAGTCTGTCAGCTGAGCTAAGTACTTCAGTACTTTGAAGTACAAAGTACAAAGTACGAGGAGATGTAAATAAGTGGCCCTGCATCTTGCAGTTTTATCCAGTTTTACTACGTCGAAAACTCCACTATTTTAACACTTATCGGCTCTAAAATACTGTTTGTTATCCTTCATTCTTAGGAACATGTGTATTTTGGGAATTTGCCACTGAATTCTACGATTTAGGCTTTGGAGTCAGCTTTGAATGGTCGCAACCGCAAACCAAGAACATCACCGTCGCGGTGAACGAATCTGACGACGAGGAATTCGGAGAAGAGGATAAATCGGCTGAAAACGAGTCCAGTCCCCCCAAACCAAGAGTAGACGAAGTACTGCCTGTCGAACGGAGGCCTTGTAACGAGGAAGTGATTATTGGAAGTCACTTATATCCAGGCCGCGGCGTGTATCTTCTCAAGTTTGATAATTCATATTCACTGTTCAGGTCAAAGACTTTGTATTATCGAGTTTACTACACTCGGTAATGCAGGGATGGAGACAGACACTTTCGCGAGAGACGCTGAACGGAGCTCACAACGGTAACTAATTTCACAAAGCGGGAACATTTTGAAGAGTGTCTCAAATTATAACCTTTATAATATATCACGTTACGCTTAAATTAGGTTCGAATTAATTCAACCTTCCGTCACGTTTTTGTGATGAGTGTCGGTCGATGTGTGTTATGAAACAGAAAATTGTATAGTTATTTATACAGTGTTTCATGTTTTGGGAATGAAGTCCATTAGGAATAGCAGGCAATGGAGACGACAAACTCTCGTAGAGCTTTTGCAAGTTTTTGATGAAACAATAGGGGTCGAAAACTCTTCTGTTTTTTTTCAATTATTTTGAAAATTATTGTCTTGTTTCCCTACTAAAAACCTACAACAAGGAGAGAAAGTTTTGATTTTAAAAATCTGATTAGCACACGAGGTGATTATTTTGGATTAAAAGTATAGAAATATGTAACCTGGTATCAGGGCGAAAGAAGAAACATGAACCTATGATTAAGGTTAAAACAGCGCCATTTTTTTGTTTGCTTGTTTGTCTGTTTTTGTCGTTGTGTTTTTTTTTTTTTTTTAAACAACTCGTAATCCTTTAAAATAACAGATTAAGAGAAGAGCTTTCTCGAAAAGAAGAGAAAATCTCGGTTTTTTTATTCTTAGAATATAAGGTGGGCCTCTCTCTCATGACGAGGCTTCGCATTGAAGGAGTCGCAATATTCACGACGCACCAATGATGATGTGGCTTCTCTGCAGGTTGCTTGATAAAATAATCTTATTGAAAGGAAAAAAGGATTGGAAAATATAAGTTGAATAAAAAAGGAGGAAAGAGAGGGAGAGAGATATACGAAGGTAACTTCAGTCAGGTTTCGTGTCGTTAGGGGTCTGGTACAGAAATTGCCTCAACTTTCCCGCAATTGATATTAGGTTTGGTGTGATAACTTGTTTATTGACGACTGTTCAACTGAATCCTTAATCATAAATAAAAATAAGCTTCAGATTTAATAAATGATTAAATATTTCTCACAATGTGGACTTCTGTCTCATAACTTATAAGACAAAGTAGCTTTTCATCCCGCATTAGTTTCCTTGTCCGTTTTGTACCCACTCGCCCCCGCCCCTCCCTTCCTTTCCCTTCCCCACCCTATATTCCCTTTCCTTCCCTGTGCTCTGCTGGCAACAAAGAGGACGACTTCTGATCGACCCACTTTTCTGGACTCGCTCAACATCCATTCCTTTTCTAGTCCTCTTTCAGTCACTTGGTTTCAACTCAAGATGAAAACGAGCGGCTCTGGGGACGAGAATGCGTAACACACTGTAGATAGCATACCTAAACGACACTGCGCGCGGGTGAAACACGCGAGAATGTATTGTTCTTCCTCGAGTACACGCGATGCAACTCAGAACAGCTCTGCAGTGTAACATAATTTTGCCTCTCTTTGCTGTGATTAATCATCTTGTCTTTTTTCACATTTCAAATCAGTTTACCACAGATACCGGGCTGACTTGATTATTTGACTTGGAGCGTCCCAGAGCTAAAATCGCCCTCTTCATATCTCTCTTGAGTAAAGCGTAAGCAACAGGGTTTAGGGCAGAATTTGCGACCAACAACAAATTCCGAATATACCATAACTCTTGAGATATCGAGCACAAATTAAAAACGGTACAAACAGAGGTGTAAAGATTTACAGAGTAACAAATAATGAAAAGAATGACAACGCAAACCACAACGTTGATGTTGTAATTTCTGCGTCTTTCTTCGCTAACGTGAATTCGAATCGTAGAAGATCTCAATTCCATAATGGATGAATGTTCAAGGTTTTCTGAGTTTCCTCTGCTCTTTCGCAAATTCCTCACAATGTGAACCATGCGAAACGTAAAGAAAGGAAGAGCGATGCATAAAACAAACTCAAACATCACCATAAACAGAGGAACAAGATATTTCGAGGCAATCTCCTTGTTTTTGAGATAAATTGGGGTGTAGATGCATACTCGGAATATTACTGGTATAAACCAGGCGGTCAATGCCAATATGGCGATTCGACCTAGTGTCAAGCATCTCTTATGTTTTAGTGGTGATGTAACAGCAATGTAACGATCTAAAGTTAATATAAAAAGGTTGCATACAGACGCGTAAAGAAATAACCATTGAATCGTTTTCCTCACAAACCAAACGTGTTCACTACAAGAAAACCATTCTCTACACGCGTAAAACGGAGGAATGTACGTAAACCCTACAAATAAATCGGCAGTTGCTAGCGATAAAATAAACCAGTTCGGTTTCTTGCGAAGATGTCGTTTCGCTAAAATCAGATAGATGACGAGGGTATTTCCAGAAATCGCCACGGCAGTGAATAACCAGCCAAAAATCCAGTACAAATCTTCTGCCTCCATGCTCAAGAAACTCAAAAGACCGCGCGACTTAAATTCTGACCGGCCACAAAAAAACCTCGACGTGAGATCTTCGATAAGTATGAGAACGAGACAAAAAAAGGAACTCAATAAATGCTAGATATGGATTGTTTGGCGTTCAACTTCCAGCATTGTTTGAAGTAACTTGTTTAAGTTCTCCAATTTCCATTTCATTATGGTAGTGTTATTCCAGTTCTTATTGTCTTTGACAGCTTTAAGGGATGTCCGGTATTGCTAATTCAAAGAAATCCGCTCTTTATTAAATTTCATATTGAATTGACTTTCTGATATGATTGCATGCAAAGTAAATGGCTCACAAAGTGATACAATTTATTGTGAAAAGTTTCGCTTTATTTGGACTAAACACCATTGAAATAGATGAAAATCAATCGCGATTTCACGTTTAACCTCGTTCCTAATGGAGTTTCTTGGTAGAAACAAAGCCTGTTTACACAACGATTTGTATTTGAACAAAAACTAATACATTCGATTTCGTTTGAATATAATTCTTCATCTATTTCAACCGCACACCCCGTTTCATTATATTCTAGTTTGAAAAACAATCCTGGCCGCGTATAAACATCTTAAGACTATAGATTTATATTTTTTTGTCAACTTTGCAAAATCTAGGAAAGGTTTCCTTTTAAGTTTTGTAGCAATAAACCCAAAAAACAGAATTACACTGATGGTGTCAAAAATTTGTTGAATTAATTCACTTGTTTAAGCCTTAATTTAAACGACAATACTAATATCATACCATGTATAAAGAGATAGATTAGTAATTAAAAGAAAAAAAAAAAGATAACAATGAAATCTTTTCAACAAAAAAAAATTAGCTCAGAGTATATTACTCCCGATGAAAGTTACAAAAATAGTACAATAATGTTTAAATATGAAAGTTTTTGTTTCAGTTCAATTATAATTATAATCATAAACATTTTAATTAAAAACTTAATCATAACATAACTGTGTCAGTTTTGACTATATTTTTCATTCAACAGAACAAAGGTCTTCACACCTCTCATCTATTACTTTGCTACTGTTGTCATACGTCAAATAAGCGCTTTTTTAAGTTTCTACTACTTCAGTGCTGGTCAAGGGCTTAGTTTTCCTTACATGAAATAATTAACTGTACTGAAATTAATCAAACACGATTGGTACATTTTGGTCTTCTCGTTCTTAAGTGATCGAATTACTCTTCAGTTTCTGCTGTTTCACCGCTGGTCGAGGGCTTTGGTTCATCCTCTGGTTCATCTGTCTCCATGGTAATGTCTACGGCTCTCTCGCTTGGCAACAAAGCAGGGTCACGTGATGCTTCAATCGTCAGCAGGCCTTCCTTTGACAATCGTGACGACACCGAACCAAGAACTACGTCATTGGGCAGCACAATGCGGCGACTATAATCACGTGACCGGTAAACCTCGCCATCTTCCGATTTGTGTTTCCCACTGACACTTAACTCATTTCCACGGATCTGTACCTTGATCTCCTCTGGCTTAAAGCCACTGACATCCAACTTAATTTCAAATTTCCCGTCATCCTCCTTCTCTTCCACCCGTTTTGAGCCCTCAATGACGAGGACGCCGCCATCTCGGGTAGTGCGTGACGTCACGGTAGTTGGATCGATATCTTGTGGTAGTTTAAAGACTCTCTTGAACTCACTTGTGTCAAATCCATCTTCTCTCTCTGAGTGATGCTGCCCATGTAAGGCCACCTTGTCGCTATCAACTTCGAGTGTGATGTCTTCCGGTTTGTACTGGTTTAGTGGGACAGAAGCGATCTTCACTACTCCCTTGTGGGACTGTTGCTGTCTTTTACGGCAGTAAGGGTTGCCGACTTCTTGTTCATATGCCAATGCGATCTCTCTCCACAGATTGTGGAAAAAGTCGAAACCTCCAGGCACTCCTTTGTAGTAACTGCAAAAAAGAAGAAAAGCAAAATTTTTAAAATGACATACGCAGAAAAAAAAGGAGCATCTTTAAAGTGTATAAACAGGTAGAAATATTTTACTCTTATCTATTCGTCGCCGTGGCTTCTCCAACGAAACTTCAGGGATACTCTCACAGACAATAATAATTGAGGATATTGGCACTTCCCTCGATATTGAATGATTCATTAGTGTTAGAAGATAGGTACATTACTCAAGCATAGATAAATAGATTTACCAAGGATCTACACTGAGATTTGTATTGAAATAGTTAGGAACTCACTTGCACGGATGATAAGCTGGAAATCTGAAAACGAGAGCCATATTTTTCCTCTGTTGAAATTTGTCTTTTGCTTCCTGTAGCTTGTAGTTACTTCTTTCTTCTTGGATCTCTGAAGTCTTCTTAAGAACTGTTGATCACTCGGCGAAAAGCGTCTATATATACTCGTGGCTTTTATTCTAGAACAATCCATCATTGCTAAAATTAGGGGACTTGTCAGTGCCTCGTAAGAATGACTGGTTGCCTTTTTATCCTGACTCAGCAGCTCAAGCGCAAGGTAGAAATTTCCCGAAAATTCTAGAAAGTTTTTTAGCAGGAGCGAAATGGACACTGGGAGACATATGACGTCATTTTGCAATATGGCGGACAAGTAACAAGAATATTTCGTCGATCATGCTACGATTACAAAAGAATTTCTTTGCGAAAAAGTGCATAAAACTTTCTTTTGAGAAACTTTGGCTGGAGAAACATAAGTAAGTTTTGTACAGCGCCTCCTAAACAACGAATAAGGTATTAAGGTCGGTGGCTTCACTGTCTTGGAGTCTGTTTAGCTCCACGTACTTTATTTCAGGTTACCGGCGGCGTGGAAGGATTCATTGAGATGAAGGCTTTTGGTTTTGGGGCATTGTGGTGTGCCTGATAGTAATATTTTCCTGGTGAGGACACTCTTATGCCTGTGGGTCAAGTGGTGGCTGACATTTCGCCTGCGCCTCATGGAATCTTTTGCCAATAATTTTGCCATTTTGCAAGGTCATCATGAACATTTAGTATAACAACGTTCTCAGGCCGCGTGGGTTACACATTAGGCGGTGAGATAATTAAAAAGGTTAAGTTTATTTATGATGCTGTGGTATTTCATTATTAAGAAAGCACGGCAGCAATGACAGTCGTCAGTTCGATTAATTCAATGCATGCTTGTCAAAATTGTTCACAGAATTTAAACTGGAATATTCTTTCTAACTTTTTGAGAGTGTCAGGTGCTTTTTGATAAATTTCAAAATTACATTACATTTGGTTTTTAAGTCAATGAAATATCTGAACCTGTGCACTCAGTAAAATTGCAAATTAAAGGCAGGTAACTCAATATCTGTGGCCATAACATCAATATGCATATTCTCTATACTGTTTTCTGTACAATTCCTGAGGTGCTGGCAAGAGGAATTTGTTTATCAATCAAGAGCTTTAGTTTATGATCATTTCCTTTATTCTTGCTACCTAAATGTGTGATTTGGGGAGTGAGATTTTCGGAGAATTTAGAGGCTAGTCACTCAAAGGGGTCTAAGGGTTGATAACTCAAAAGAGCATGAAAAATAAAAATATAGCCAAGTTTGATTTCAATGTGAGTTTTGCTAACTCTGTTTCACACAGAGTATGGTAATCTTTTCTATAATTTAATTTTTTTAGGTATGACAAGATGTTAAATGAGCATTTATAAAATGTTGAATTGGAATGAATTGATTAAATCCTTCTGGGATCATACAGATGCTTTGCTGACAGCTTATCCCCTCAACAGCTGCCACTTGAGGTCTGTTTAAGACAGTTTCAGAGAGGTTTCAATATTCCAATAAAATTCTGTGGATGCATTCTGATTTTTTTAGTAATGCTGATGATTTAGGGGAGGACTGGAGCTAAATATTTTGTCCAAGGTCATGACTTAATGACTTCCCTCTTCATTCTCTAAGTCTATGGGAGACAAAAATTTCTGTCATTTCTTGAACAAATTGTAGTGGGTTACTTGCTGAAGTATGAGCAAGTCTTGCTTTCCAGTAGCAAAATAAATTTAATGCCCTGTCTCCGTAACAGATTAAGTGGAATGTCACATTTAAGTTCTTTTGCCCTGAGACCCTACACTTTTAGTAGGACTTTCTGGATGAGACCAAGAAAACAATTATAATGTTTTCAAATATTTATTGCATAATTTCCTTCCCTAAAATAACTTTGAAACAGCCAAAAATAAGTTACATTTATGAAAATAAAGTGCACTGTTAAAACTGCGTAAAGGGGTAAGTTTCTAAAGAATCTGCGGTGCCGTGTCAGTGGGAATAATAACAGGGTAATTAGGTATTATTATTAACTGACCCTAACCTGAACCCCATCACTTTGAGGTCACTTTTTTTCCCTTTGAAGTATTTAATTCTAACAAAAATTGTCAAATATGTAAAGTCAAACTAGATATGTTATTTGCATCATTTATAACCTTGATAAAAAACGATTTTCATTTAACTTTTCTTGCCTGAATTAATCAACTGTACCATCATTTATCAATTAGTCATCTCTTTCGTACAAACTCGTTCTACTCTAATTTGGTGTCTGCTGGTTCATCTCTGGTGGAGGGCTTCGGTTCATCCTCTGTTTCATTTGTCTCCAGGAGGACATCAACCGCTCTCTCGCGCGGCAATAAGGCGGGGTCACGTGATGCTTCGACCATCAGCAGGCCATCTTTTGACAAGCGTGATCTTACTGAACTGACGACGACGTCTTCAGGCAGCAGAACACGGTGACTGAAGCCACGTGACCGATTGGCCCTACCATCTTCTAATGTGCGTTTTCCACAGACAATTAACTCTTTTCCATGCAGCTGAATCTTTATCTCTTCTGGCTTAAAGCCACTGACATCCAACTTGGTCTCAAATTTTCCGTCATCCTCTTTCTCTTCCACGTGCTTTAAGCCCTCTATGATGAGGACGCTGCCATCTTGAGTAGTGCGTGACGTGACAGTAGTTGGATCGACATTTTGCGGAAGTGGAAAGACCCTCTTGAACTCGCATGTGTTGAATCCATTTTCTCTCTCTAAACGTTGCTTTCCATGTAGGGTTACCTTGCCGCTCTCAACTTCAAGTGCGATGTTTTCAGGTTTGTAGTGCCTCAGTAGAAGAGACGCAATCTTCACCGTTCCCTCGTTAGACTGTTCCTGCACCCAGTAGCCGACTTCTTGTTCATATGCCAAAGCCATCTCTCTCCATAGCTCGTGGAAAAAGTCGAACCATCCAGGCTCTCGATTACTGTAACTGTAAGATAAAGAAAGGAATAAGTCTTCAAACACGCTGAAATACTTACGTGAGGATGGCAAAGGATTCATAGGTGACATGTGATTAAGGTCAGAATATTGATATGTGACGCGTGAATTTTACAGAAAGGCGAGCGCGATTCGTGAAGTTATAAACCAGCGTGAGGCGTGGTTACCCTCCTGAAATGTATGTCTTTTTTGGTAAAAACCTCAGGATTTCATGACACCTTGTACACAAGAAGAGAGATTTGAAGTTTTCCTTTAATATACTTGACGCGTTAATTTGTTTATAAAAGGTGTATTTGACGAGATCGGTACCCCCGCCTCACAACAGTGAATGTGTACCAAGTTTCATGAAATTGTATTCACATTTTACATGGATGCAGTACAGTTTAAGAAATAGACGATAATCAAAGATTTACTGTAAGGCGTGCATGGGTCAAATTGTACTCTTACCGAAAGTACTCTACCCGGAAAATCGAACATAACTCTATGGAAAGATTAAAGTCCGTTATAATATAAATTCCACCTAAGCTAATCCCTTGCGAAAATTTATACCACAGTGAAAGCGGTCACTTTTTCCTTGATTTCCTCTTGCATTATCAAATATATCTATGTATGGATTTTTTTAAAAACTTACTTGCATTGTTGATAGGTCGGAAATGGGAAAGGAAAAGCCATGCTGTCTTATTTTTGAACTTCTTCTGTAGATACTTGACTTCTTGTTTCTTCTAGGACTTCTGGAAGTTTTGTAAATTGTTGATCGCTCCACAAAGCTTTCCTTTTATATGCTTTGGACGATCTATGTCCACTGAATTTAAACTCTTTGTCAGTACTTCGTAATTATGACGGAAGACGAATTTATCCTGATACAATGTGACTGGACGAAAATGAGCATATTTTTAATTTTAACTGAAAAGAGCGAGTTGATTGTGGAAACTGAAAGACGTAAAGACGTAACAAGACCTAAAATTGTTATATTAACATTTTATTATGCCCGAAAAAGATGCTGGGAACACCTGAAGTCATTTCCAAATCAACAACAACCTCGTGAACACAAAGTGGTGGACACGGAATTGCACGTCCAACAGCGATCTTTTCTTGTAAAAAGTCGATAACAAAGAAAATAATATGTACGTAAACCTAACAAAAAAATCGGCGGTTGTCAGAGACAAAATAAACCAGTACGGTTTTTTGCTACAATCAGATAGAGGACAAGGGCATTGCTAGAAATAGCCACGGCAGGGAGAAACCAGCCAAAACTCTTGTTTAAATCTTTTGCTTCCATGCTCAGGAAACTCAAGAGACCGCGCGGCTTAATTGATTTTGACTGGTTAAAACAAACCTCGACTCGAGAAGTACGAGTACGGGACAAACAAAAATAAACTCAATAAATGGCAGATATAAGTTGTTTGTCGTCTAATTTTCAGCATTGTTTAAAGTAACTTGCCTAAGTTTCTCCAATTTCCACTTCGTTATGGTATTATTATTCGATTTATATTATTATTGTCTTTGTCAGTACTTCGTAATTATGACGGAAGACGAATTTATCCTGACACAAAGTGACTGGACGAAAATGAGCATATTTTTAATTTTCACTGGAAAGAGCGAGTTGATTCTGGAAACTGAAAGAAGTAAAGAGACCCAAAATTATAAAATTAACATTAATGTGCCCGAAAAAAGTGCTGGGAAAAGCTGAAGTCATTCCAAAATCAACAACAACCTCATGAAGGCAAAATGGCGAAAATGCAAATTACACTTTCAACAGCGATCTTTTCTTGTAAAAAACCCATAATAACTAAAATAATATGTGCGTAAACCTAACAAAAAAATCGACGGTTGTCAGAGACAAAATTAACCAGTACAGTTTCTTGCAAAGACGTTGTTTTGCTACAATCAGATAGATGACTAGGGTATTGCTAGAAATCGCCACGGCAGGGAGAAACCAGCCTTAAGTACGGTTCAAATCTTCTGCCTCCATGCTCAAGAAACTCAAGAGACCGCGCGGCTTAACTGGTTTTGACTGACTAAAACAATCCTCGACGTAAGATCTTCGAGAAGTACGAGTACGTGACAAACAAAAATAAACTTAGTAAATGCCAGATATGAGTTGTTTGTCGTTTAATATCCAGTATTGTTTAAAGAAATTTGTTTAAGTTTCTCCAATTTCCATTTCATTATTGTATTGTTAGTCCAACCCTTATTGTCTTTGACAGTTTTAAGGGATGACCGGTATCGCTGATTCAAAGAAATTCTCTCTTTATCAAATTTCACATTGAATGAAGTTTCTGAAATGATTCTATGCAGGGTAAAAAGCGATACAAAGGTTATTGTGAAATTTTGCGTTTCGTTTGGATTAAACACCATTAAAATAGATGAGAATCAATCGCGATTTGTCGCTTAACCTCGTTTCAACTTTTTGGCAACAACTACTCGAAGCATAAGCTGTTGCTAGGCAACCTGAGGACCAATCGGCAGGAAGTAATTTTGCCCTCTTCACAAGCAAAATTAAGAAAAAAATACCCTCTTCGTTACTGACTAATCAGAATTCAGTAATTTTTCCCCCTATGTTATTAGGTTAAGAACAAAAACTAATACACGAGGTTTCGTTTGAAAGTAATTCTTCATCTATCTCAACTGCGCGCCCCGTTTTCATTATATTTCAGTTTGAGAAACAATCTGGGTCGCCTATAAACAACTTAAGCAAATTCAAAGAAAGGTTTTCTTTCTAGTTTTGTAGCAATAAACTCAAAAACAGAAATACAATGATGGTTTTAAAAATTTATTGAATTAATTCACTTCAATTTTGTCGAGGGCTTAATTTAAACGACAGCACCAATATCATACCATGTATAAAGAGATAGTTTAGAATTGAAACAGGAAAAGATAACCATTATTTTCGACTAAAAGAAATAATAAGCTCAGAGTCTATTACTCCCGATAAAGGTTACAAAAATGATATAATAATATTTGAATATGAACGTTTTTGCTTCAATTCAATTATAATCATAAACATTTTAGTTGACAACTTAATCATAATATAACTTTGTCAGTTTTGACTATATTTTTCATTGAACAGAACAAAGATCCTCATATCTCTCATCTGTTACGTTGCTACTTTTGTCTTACATCAAAGACGCGCTTTTTAAGTTTCTGCTATTTCAGTACTAGTTAAGGGCTTAGTTTTCCTTACATGAAATAATTAGCGGCAATAAAATTGATCAAATACGATTGGTACATTTTGGTCTTGTCGTTCTTAAAAGATGAAATTACTCCACAGTTTCTGCTATTTCACCGCTGGTGGAGGGCTTTGGCTCATCCTCTGGTTCATCTGTCTCCATGGTAATGTCTACGGCTCTCTCGCTTGGCAACAAAGCAGGGTCACGTGATGCCTCAATCGTCAGGAGGCCTTCCTTTGAGAATCGCGACGACACCGAAGCAAGAACTATGTCATCAGGCAGCACAATGCGGCGGCTGTAATCACGTGACCGGTAAACCTCGCCATCTTCCGATTTGTGTTTCCCACTAACACTTAACTCGTTTCCACGGATCTGTACCTTGATCTCCTCTGGCTTAAAGCCACTGACATCCAGCTTAATTTCAAACTTCCCGTCATCCTCCTTCTCTTCTAGCCGTTTTGAGCCCTCAATGACGAGGGCGCCGCCATCTCGGGTAGTGCGTGACGTCACGGTAGTTGGATCGATATCTTGTGGTAGTTTAAAGACTCTCTTGAACTCGCTTGTGTCAAATCCATCTTCTCTCTCTGAGTGATGCTGCCCATGTAAGGTCACCTTGTCGCTATCAACTTCAAGTGTGATTTCTTCCGGTTTGAACTGGTTTAGTGGGACAGAAGCGATCTTGACTGCTCCCTTGTGAGACTGTTGCTGTCTTTTACGGCAGTAAGGGTTGCCGACTTCTTGTTCATATGCCAATGCGATCTCTCTCCACAGATCGTGGAAAAAGTCGAGCCCTCCAGGCACGCGGTTGTAGTAACTGCAACACGGAAGAAATCAAAATTTTTAATATGATAGTCGGAAAAAAAAAACACTCGCGCATCTCTTAAGTGTCTAAACAGGTAGAAATATTTTATTCTTATCTATTCGTAGCCGTGGCTTTTCCAACGAAACTTCAGGAATACTCTCACAGACAATAATAATTAAGGATATTGGCACTTCCCTCGATATTGAATGATTCATAAGTGTTAGAAGATAGATACATTACTTAAGCATAGATAAATAGATTTACCAAGGATCTACATTGAGATTTGTATTGAAACAGTGGGGAACTCACTTGCACGGATGATAAGCTGGAAATCTGAAAACGAGAGCCATATTTTTCCTCTGTTGAAATTCTTCTTTTGCTTCCTGTAGCTTGTAGTTACTTCTTTCTTCTTGGATCTCCGAAGTCTTCTAAAGAACTGTTGATCACTCTACGAAAACCGTCCATATATACTCGTGGCTTTTATTCTAGAAGGATCCATCGTTGCTAAATTTAGAGGACTTGTCAGTGCCTCGTAAGAATGACTGGTTGCCTTTTCATCCTGACACAGCAGCTCAATCGCAAGGTAGAAATTTCCCGAAAATTCTAGAAAATTTGTCAGCAGGAGCGTAATGAACGCTGGGAGACATATGACGTCATTTTGCAATATGGCGGACATATAGGAAGAATATTTCGTCGATCTTGCTGCGATTACAAAAGAATTTCTCTGCGAAAAAGTACATAAAATTTTATTTTAGGGAAAATTTGGCTGGATAAACATTGGTAACTTTTTTTTACGGCGTCCCCTATGCAACAAATAAGGTATTAAGGTCAGTGGCTTCACTTTCTTGGAGTCTGTTTAGCCCTACTTACTTTATTTTAAGTTACCGGCGGCGTAGAAGGATTCATTGACATGAAGGCTTTTGGTTTTGGGGCATTGTGGTGTGCCTGATAGTGTTATTTTTCTAGTAAGGACACTCTTATGCCTATGGGCCAAGTGGTGGCTGACATTTCGCCTCACACTCGATTAAATTAAAGCTGTGCGCCTCATTGAATCTTTTGCCAATAATTTTGCCATTTTGCTTGTTCATCATAAACATTTAGTATGGTAACGTTGTCAGGATGCGTGGGTTACGCATTAGGCGGTGAGATAATTAGAAAGGTTAAGTTATGATGCTGTGGTATTTCATTATTAATAAAGCATGGCAGCAAGGACAGTCATCTGTTCGATGAATTCAATGTATGACGGTCAAAAATGTTCACAGAATTTCAACTGGAAGATTCTTTCTAACTTTGTGAGTGTCAGGTGGTTTTTGAGAAATTTCAAAGTTAAGTTGGTTTTGAAGTCAATGAAATATCTGAACCTGCACACTCAGTAAAATTACAAATTAAAGGCAGGCAACTCAATATCTGTGGCCATAACATCAATATGCATATTATCCATACTGTTTTTTATACAATTCCTAAAGTGCTGGTGAGAGGAATTGGTTTAACAATCAAGAGCTTTAGTTTGTGATCATTTCCTTTATTCTTGTGACTGAATGTGTGATTTGGGGAGTGAGATTTTAGGAGAATTTAGATGCTGGTCACTCTAAGGTGTCTGAGGGTTAATAAGTGAAAAGAGCGTAAACAATAAAGATCAATTCAAGGTTGATTTCAATGTGTGTTTTGCTAACTCTGTTTCACAGAAGGTGTGGTGATCCTAATTTTTTTTGTTTTGACAAGATGTTAAATAAGCATTTATAAAATGTTCAATTGGAATGAATTTGATAGATTCTTTTGGGATCATACTGATGCTTTGCTGACAGCTCATCCCCTAAACAGCTGTCACTTGAGGTCTGTTTAAGACAGTTTCACAGAAGTTTCACAAAGTTTCAATATTCTGATAAAATTCTGTGGATGCACTTATATTGTATTAGTAATGCAGATGATTTAGGGGAGGACTGGAGCTAAATATTTTGTCCAAGGTAATGACTTAATGACTTCCCTCTTCATTCCGTAGGTCTATGGGTGACAAACAGTTTGGGATGGATTTTGACACAAATATAAATTCCTTGTGTCATTTCTTGAACAAATTGTGGTGGGTTACTTGCTGAAATATGAGCAAGTCTTGCTTTCCAGTAGCAAATAAATTTAATGCCCTGTCTCTGTAACAGATTAAGTGAAATGTCACATTTAAGTTCTTTTGCCTCAAGACCCTACACTCTAAGTGGGACTTTCTAGATGAGACCAAGAAAACAATTATGATGTTTTCAAATATTTATTGCATAATTCCCTTCCCTAAAGTAACTTTAAAACAGCCACTGTTAAAACTGAGTAAAGGGGAAAGTTTCTAAAGAATCTGTGGTGCTGTGTCGGTGGGAATAATAACAGGGTAATTAGGTATTATTATTAACTGACCCTAACCTGAACCCCATCACTTTGAGGAATGGCTAATGCTTGAAATGGCAGCTTTTAAACTCTTTATGGTAGCCACTCAGTTGATAATACTAAGTTACCCTGTAATGTTGCTAACTTCATTTACAATTCTTTCATATGCTTTTTTCCTTTGAAGTATATAATTCTAAAAAAAGTTTTCAAATATGTAAAATCAAACTAGATATGTTATTTGCATCATTTATGACCTGGATAAAAAACGATTTTCATTAAACTTTTCTTGCCTGAATTAATCAACTGTACCAACATTTATCAATTAGTCATCTCTTTCGTACAAACTCGATTTACTCTAATTTGGTGTCTGCTGTTCATCTCTGGTGAAGGGCTTCGGTTCATCCTCTGTTTCATTTGTCTCCAGGAGGACATCAACCGCTCTCTCGCGCGGCAATAAGGCGGGGTCACGTGATGCTTCGACCATCAGCAGGCCTTCTTTTGACAAGCGTGATCTTACTGAACTGACGACGACGTCTTCAGGCAGCAGAACATGGTGACTGAAGCCACGTGACCGATTGGCCCCACCATCTTCTAATGTGCGTTTTCCACAGACAATTAACTCTTTTCCATGCAGCTGAATCTTTATCTCTTCTGGCTTAAAGCCACTGACATCCAACTTGGTCTCAAATTTTCCGTCATCCTCTTTCTCTTCCACTCGCTTTAAGCCCTCTATGACGAGGACGCCGCCATCTTGAGTAATGCGTGACGTGACAGTAGTCGGATCGACATTTTGCGGAAGTGGAAAGACCCTCTTGAACTCGCTTGTGTTGAATCCATCTTCTCTCTCTGAGCGGTGCTTTCCATGTAGGATCACCTTGTCGCTATCAACTTCAAGTGCGATGTTTTCAGGTTTGAAGTGACTCAGTAGAACAGACGCAATCTTCACGGTTCCCTTGTCAGACTGTTCGTGCACCCAGTAGCCGACTTCTTGTTGATATGCCAAAGCCATCTGTCTCCATAGCTCGTAGAAAAAGTCGAACCATCCAGGCTCTCGATTATTGTGGCTGTAAGATAAAGAAAGGAATAAGTCATCGAAAACGCACAAATACTTACGTGAGGGTGACAAAGGATTCATGGGTGACATGTGATTAAGGCCAGAATATTGATATGTGAAGCGTGAATTTTACAGAAAGGCGAGCGCGATTCGTGAAGTTATAAACCAGCGTGAGGCGTGATTACCCTACTGAAATATACGTTTTTTCGGTAAAAAGCTCAGGATTTCATGACACCTTGTACACAAGAAGAGAGATTTGAAGTTTTCCTTTGATATACTTGACACGTTAATTTGTTTAAAAAAGGTGTGTTTGACGAGATCGGTACCCCCGCCTCACTACAGTGAACGTGTACCAAGTTCCATGGAATTGTATTCACATTTTACGTGGATGCAGTACAGTTTAAGAAATAGACGAGAATCTAAGATTTGCTGTAAGGCGTGCATGGGTCAAATTGTACTCTAATCGAAAGTACTCTACCCGGAATATCAAAAACTCTACTATGGAAAGATTAAAGTCGGTTATGATATAAATTCCACGGCAGCTAAGCCCTTGCGAAATTTGGACCACAGTGAAAGCAGTCACTTTTTCTTTGATTTCCTCTTGCATTATCAAATATATCTATATATGGATTTTTTTAAAACTTACTTGCGTTGTTGATAGGTTGGAAAGGGGAAAGGAAAAGCCATGCCTTCATATTTTTGAACTTCTGTAGATACTTGACTTCTTGTTTCTTCCAGGACTTCTGGAAGTTTTGTAAATTGTTGATCGCTCCACAAAGCTTCCCTTTTATATGCTTTGGACGATCTGTCTCCAATAAATTTAAACTCTTTGTCAGTACTTCGTAATTATGACGGAAGACGAATTTATCCTGAGACAATGTGACTGGACGAAAATGAGCATATTTTTAATTTTAACTAGAAAGAGCGAGTTGATTCTGGAAACTGAAAGACGCAAAGACGTAAAGAGACCTAAAATTGTTATATTAACATTTTATTATGCCCGAAAAAGATGCTGGGAAAACCTGAAGTCATTTCCAAATCTACAACAACCTCGTGAATGCAAAGTGGTGGACATTCGAATTGCACGTCCAACAGCGATCTTTTCTTGTAAAAAGCCGATAACAAAGAAAATAATGTGTACGTAAACCTTACAAAAAAATCGGCGGTTGTCAGAGACAAAATAAACCAGTACGGTTTCTTACAAAGACGTCATTTTGCTACAATCAGATAGATGACAAGGGTATTGCTAGAAATCGCCACGGCAGGGAGAAACCGGCCAAAACTCTTGTTTAAATCTTTTGCTTCCATGCTCAGGAAACTCAAGAGACCGCGCGGCTTTATTGATTTTGACTGGTTAAAACAAACCTCGAATCGAGAAGTACGAGTACGGGACAAACAAAAATAAACTCAATAAATGCCAGATATGAGTTGTTTGTCGTTTAATTTTCAGCATTGTTTAAAGTAACTTGGTATTATTTTTCGATTTATATTATTATTGTCTTTGACAGTTTTAAGGGATGTCCGGTATCGCAAATTCAAAGAAATTCGCTCTTTATTACATTTCATATTGAATGGAGTGTCCGAATGATTCCATGCAGGGTTCAAAGCGATACAAGGTTATAGTTGCGTTTCATTTGGACTAAACACTATTAAAACAGATGAGAATCAGTCGCGATTTGACACTTAACCTTGTTTCTCATGGAGTTTCTGGATAGAAACAAATCGTGTTTACTCAACGATTTGTATAGGTAATCCAATGGGGCCGAGTAAAATTAAGGATTAATATCACACGTGTTTTCAGAAGTTGCTAAAAACACAAGTGATATTAATCCTTAATTTTACGAGGACCCATTGCGATTACTTGTTCATGAAATAAAGGGGAAAAATACTGAATTTCTGTTGTCGAGGGGTTAATTTAAATGACAGCACTAATGTCATACCACGTATAAAGAGATAGTTTCAGAATTGAAACAGAAAAAGATAACAATTAAATCTTTTCGACTTAAAAAAAATATAAGCTCAGAGTCTATTACTCCCGGTAAAAATTTCAAAAATAATACATTAATATTTGAATATGAAAGTTTTTTCTTCAATTCAATTACAATCATAAACATTCTAGTTGAAAACTTAATCATAACATAACTGTTGGTTTTGACTATATTTTTCATTCAACAGAGAAATTGAAGGTCTTCACACCTCTCATCTATTACGTTGCTACTTTTGCCATACATCAAATACGCGCTTTTTAAGTTTTTGCTATTTTAGTGCTAGTTAAATGCTTAGTTTTCCTTACATGAAAGAATTAGCTGTACTGAAATTTATCAAATACGATTGGTACATTTTGGTCTTCTTGTTCTTAAGTGATCGAATTACTCTTCAGCTTCTGCTGTTTCACCGCTGGTGGAGGGTTTTGGTTCGCCCTCTGGTTCATCTGTCTCCGTGGTAATGTCTACGGCTCTCTCGCTTGGCAACAGAGCGGGGTCACGTGATGCTTCAATCGTCAGGAGGCCTTCCTTTGACAATCGCGACGACACTGAACCAAGAACTACGTCATCAGGCAGCACAATGCGGCGACTATAATCACGTGACCGGTAAACCTCGCCATCTTCGGATTTGTGTTTCCCACTGACACTTAACTCATTTCCACGGATCTGTACCTTGATCTCCTCTGGCTTAAAGCCACTGACATCCAGCTTAGTTTCAAATTTCCCGCCATCCTTCTTCTCTTACAGCCGTTTTGAGCCCTCAACGACGAGGGTGCCGCCATCTTGAGTAGTGCGTGACTTTACGGTAGTTGGATCGATATCTTGTGGTAGTTTAAAGACTCTCTTGAACTCGCTTGTGTCAAAGCCATCTTCTCTCTCTGAGCGATGCTGACCATGTAAGGTCACCTTGTCGCTATCAACTTTGAGTGTGATGTCTTCAGGTTTGAACTGGTCTAGCGGGACAGAAGCGATCTTGACTGCTCCCTTGTGAGACTGTTGCTGTCTTTTACGGCAGCAAGGGTTGCCGACTTCTTGTTCATATGCCAGAGAAATCTCTCTCCACATATGGTGGAAAAAGTCGAAACCTCCAGGAACTCGGTTGTAGTAACTGCAACACGGAAGAAAAGCAAAATGTTTAATATGGTAGTCGAAAAAGAAGACACTCACACATCTTTTAAGTGTCTAAACTGGTAAAACTTTATTCTTATCCATTCGTAGCCGTGGCTTTTCTAATGAAACTTCAGAAATACTCTCACAGACAATAATAATTAAGGATATTGGCACTTCCCGTGATATTGAATGATTCATTAGTGTTAGAAGATAGGTACATTACTCAAGCATAGATAAATAGATTTACCAAGGATCTACATTGAGATTTGTATTGAAACAGTGGGGAACTCACTTGCACGGATGATAAGCTGGAAATCTGAAAACGAGAGCCATATTTTTGCTCTGATGAAATTCTTCTTTTGCTTCCTGTAGCTTGTAGTTACTTCTTTCTTGTAGGATCTCTGAAGTCTTCTTAAGAACCGTTGATCGTTCTGCGAAAACCATCCATATATACTCGTGGCTTTCATTCTAGAACGATCCATCGTCGCTAAAATTAGGGGACTTGTCAGTGCCTCATAAGAATGACTGGTTGCCTTTTCATCCTGACACAGCAGCTCAAGCGCAGGGTAGAAATTTCCCGAAAATTCTTGAAAATTTTTTAGCAGGAGCGAAATGGACCCTGGGAGACATATGACGTCATTTTGCAATATGGCGGACATGCGGGAAGAACATTTCGTTGATCATGCTACGATTACAAAAGAATTTCTCTGCGAAAAAGGACATACAATTTTCTTTTAGAGAAAATTTGGCTTGATAAACACTAGTAAGTTTTTTTATGGCGTCCCCCACACAACGAATAAGGTACTAAGGTCAGTGGCTTCACTGTCTTTGAGTCTGTTTAGCTCTTCTTACTTTATTTCAGATTACTAGCAGCGTAGAAGAATTCATTGAGATGAAGGCTTTTGGTTTTAAGGCATTGTAGTGTGCCTGATAGTGTTTTTTTCCTGGTGAGGACACTCTTATGCCTGTGGGCCAAGTGGTGGCTGACATTTCGCCTCACACTCGATTAAATTAAAGCCGTGCGCCTTATTTAATCTTTTGCCAATAATTTTGCCATTTTACTTGTTCATCATAAACATTTAGTTTGGCAACGTTGTCAGGATGCGTGGGTTACGCATTAGGCGGTGAGATAATTAGAAAAGTAAAGTTATTTATGATGCCGTGGTATTTCATTGTAAATAAAGTAGGACAGCAGGGACAGTCATCTGTTCGATAAATTCAAAACATGACAGTCAAAAGTGTTCACATAATTTAAACTGGAAGATTCTTTGTAACTTTTGAAGTGTGAGGTGGTTTTTGAGAAATTTCAAAGTTAAGTTGGTTTTTAAGTCAATGAAATATCTGAACCTGCAAACTCAATAAAACTGCAAATTAAAGGCAGGCAACTCAATATCTGTGGCCATAACATCAATATGCATATTGTCCATACTGTTTTCTACACAATTCCTAAGGTGCTGGGGAGAGGAATTGTTTAACAATCAAGAGCTTCAGTTTGTGATCATTTCCTTTATTCTTGTGACCTGAATGTGTGATTTGGGAAGTGATATTTAAGGAGAATTTAGATGCTGGTCACTCTAAGGTGTCTGAGGGTTAATAGGTGAAAAGAATGTAAATAATAAAAATAAAGTCAAGTTTGAATTCAATGTGAGTTTTGCTAACTCTGTTTCACAGAAGGTGTGGTAATCTTTACTATCATTTAATTTTTTTGTTTTGACAAGATGTTTAATAAGCATTTATAAAATGTTGAATTTGAGTGAATTTGTTAGATTCTTCTGGGATCATACTGATGCTTTGCTGACAACTTATCCCCTCAACAGCTGCCACTTGAGGTCTGTTTAATAAAGTTTCACAGAAGTTTCAATATTCCAATAAAATTATGTGGATATATATTGTATTAGTAATGCAGATGATTTAGGGGAGGACTTGAGCTAAATATTTTGTCTAAGAGTAATGACTTAATGACTTCCCTCTTCATTCTGTAGGTCTATGGGTGACAAACAGTTTGGGATGGATTTTGACACAAACATAAATTCCCTGTGTCATTTCTTTAACAAATTGTGGTGGGCTACTTGGTGAAATATGAGCAAGTCTTGCTTTCCAGTGGCAAATAAATTTAATGTCTTGTTTCTGTAACGTATCATTTGCCTTGAAACCTTACACTTTTGTTAGGACTTTCTGAAGGAGACCAAGAAAACAATTATGATGTTTTCAAATATTTAATGCATAATTTCCTTTGCTAAAATAACTTTAAAACAGCCAAAAATAAGTTACATTTGTAAAAATAAACTGTACTGTTAATACTGAATAAAGGGGTAAATGTCAGCTTCTAAACTCTCTATGGTAGCCACTCAGTTGATAATACTAAATTACCCTGTAATGTTGCTAACTTCATTTACAATGCTTTCATATTGTTTTTTACCTTTGAAGTATATGATTCTAACAAAAGTTGTCAAATATGTAAAATCAAACTAGATATGTTATTTGCATCATATATGACCTTGATAAAAAATAATTTTCATCAAATTTTCCTTGCCTGAGTTAATCAACTGTACCAACATTCATCAATAAGATTCATATACTATGTCTTCTCTTTCTTACAAACTCGTTCTAATCTAGTTTGGTCTCTTCTGGTTCATCTCTGGTGAAGGGGTTTGGTTCATCCCCTGATTCATTTGTTTCCAGGACGACATCAAACGCTCTCTCGTGCGGCTTTAAGGCGGGGTCACGTGATGCTTCAATGGTCAGCAGACCTTCTTTTGACAAGCGTGATCTTACTGAACTGACGACGACGTCATCGGGCAGCAGAATACAGTGACTGCAGCCACGTGACCGATTGGCCCTGCCATCTTCCAATTTGCGTTCTCCACTGACAATTAACTCTTTTCCATGCAGCTGAATCTTTATCTCTTCTGGCTTAAAGCCACCGACATCCAACTTGGTCTCAAATTTTCCGTCATCCTCTTTCTCTTCCACGTGCTTTAAGCCCTCTATGATGAGGACGCCGCCATCTTGAGTAATGCGTGACGTCACAGTAGTTGGATCGACATTTTGCGGAAGTGGAAAGACCCTCTTGAACTCGCTTGTGTTGAATCCATCTTCTCTCTCTGAATGGTGCTTTCCATGTAGGATCACCTTGTCGCTATCTATTTCAAGAGCGATGTTTTCAGGTTTGAAGTGCCTAAGTAGCACAGATGCAATCTTCACCGTTCCCTTGTTAGACTGTTCCTGCACCCAGTAGCCGACTTCTTGTTCACACGCCAAAGCCATCTCTTTCCATAGCTCGTGGAAAAAGTCGAACCATCCAGGCACCGGACTATTGTAACTTTAAGATGAAGAAAGGAATAAGTCATCGAAAATGCAAGATACTCACGTGAGGGTGGCAAAGGATTCATAGGCAACATGTGATTAAGGCCAGAATGTTGATATGTGACGCGCGAATTTTACAGAAAGGCGAGCGCGATTCGTGAAGTTATAAACCAGCGTGAGGCGTGGTTACCCTCCTGAAATACATGTCTCGTTTGGTGAAAACCTCAAGATTTCATGACACAAGAAGAGAATTTAAATTTGTCTAAGAAGGTGTGTTTGACGAGATTAGTTCCCCCGCCTCGCTACAGTGAACGTCTTCCCAGTTTTATGGAACTGCATCTACATTTTACGTAGATGCAATAAAATTTAAGAAATAGACGAGAATCTAAGATTTGCTGTAAGGCGTGGATCAAATCGTAATTCAGGCGAAAATATTCTACCCGAAAAATCGAACACAACTCCACAATGGAAAGATTAAATTCCGTCATAATATCACTTCCACGAAAGCTAAGCCCTTGCGAAATTTGGACTACATTGAAAACGGTCAATTTTTCCTTGATTTCCTCTTGCATTATCAAATAATAATGGATTTTTTTAAACTTACTTGCATGGTTGATAGGTTGGAAATGGGAAAGGAAAAGCCATGCTGTCTTCTTTTTGAACTTCTTCTGTAGATACTTAACTTCTTGTTTCTTCCAGGACTTCTGGAAGTTTTGTAAATTGTTTATCGCTTCACAAAGCTTCCCTTTTATATGCTTTGAACGATCTATGTCCACTAAATTTAAACTCTTTGTCAGTACTTCGTAATCATGAATGAAGACGAATTTATCCTGACACAATGTGACTGGACAAAAATGAGCATATTTTTAATTTTAACTGGAAAGAGCGAGTTGATTCTGGAAACTGAAAGACGTAAAGACGTAAAGAGAGCTAAAATTATTAAATTAACATTTTTGTTATGCCCCAAAAAGATGCTGGAAAAACCGGTGTCATTTCCAAATCAACAACAACCTCATGAAGGTAAAATGGCAGATATGCGAATTGTACGTCCAACAGCGATCTTTTCTTGTAAAAAAGCCTCTAATAACGAAAAAAATACCACTTGTACGTTAACCTTACAAAAAATTCGGCGGTTGCCAGCGACGAAATAATCCAGTTCGGTTTCTCGCAAAGATGTCGATTTGCTACAATCAGATAGATGTCAAGGGTATTTGTAGAAATCGTCACGGCAAGGAGAAACCAGCCAAAACTCCTGTTCAAATATTCTGCTTCCATGCTCAAGAAACTCAAAAGAGCGCGCAGCTCAACTAATTTTGACTGACTAAAACAAACCTTGACGTAAGATCTTCGAGAAGTATGAGTACGTGACAAAAGAAATTAAATCAATAAATGCCAGATATGAGTTGTTTAATTTTCAGCATTGTTTGAAGTTGTTTAAGTTTCTCCAATGTTCATTGCAAGCATTATGGTATTGTTATTCCAATTCTTATTGTCTTTGACAGTTTTAAGTGATTTCCGGTATCGCTAATTCAAAGAAATTCGCTCCTTATTAAATTTTATATTAAATTGAGTTTCCCAAATGATTCCATGCTATGTAAATGTCACACAAAGCGATACAAGGTTATTGTGAAAAGTTTCGCTTCATTTGGGCTAAATAGCATTAAAACAGATGAGAATCAAACGCGATTTGCCGCTTAACCTCGTTTCTAATGGAAATAGATAGAAAACAAAGTTTATTTGAACAACGATTTGTATTTGACCCAAAACTAATACATTAGGTTTTGTTTAAATATAATTCTTCATCTATTTCAACCGCGCGCCCCGTTTTCATTACATTACAGTTTGAGAAACAATCCGGGACGCGTATAAACAACTTAAGCAAAATCAGAGAAAGGTATCCTTTCTAGTTTTGTAGGAATAATCCTAAAAAACAGAACGACATTGATGGTGTCAAAATTTTATTGAATTAATTCACTTCCTGAACTGTCGAGGGCTTAATTTAAACGACAGTACTAACATCATAACATGCATAAAGAGAAAGTTTAATTAAAAAAAAAGGATAATAATTAAATATTTTCAACAGAACAATTGAAGGTCTTCACACCTCTCATCTATTACGTTGCTACTTTTGCCATACATCAAATACGCGCTTTTTAAGTTTTTGCTATTTTAGTGCTAGTTAAGGGCTTAGTTGTCCTTACATGAAATAATTAGCTGTACTGAAATTTATCAAATACGATTGATACATTTTGGTCTTCTCTTTCTTGAAAGATTGAGTTACTCCTCAGTTTCTGCTGTTTCAGCGCTAGTGGAGGGCTTTGGTTCATCCTCTGGTTCATCTGTCTCCATGGTAACGTCTACGGCTCTCTCGCTTGTCAATAAAGCGGGGTCACGTGATGCTTCAATCGTCAGGAGGCCTTCCTTTGACAATCGCGGCGACACCGAACCAAGAACCACATCATCAGGCAGCACAATGTGGCGACTATAACGACGTGACCGGTAAACCTCGCCATCTTCCGATTTGTGTTTCCCACTAACGCTTAACTCATTTCCACGGATCTGTACCTTGATCTACTCTGGCTTAAAGCCACTGACATCCAACTTGATTTCAAATTTTCCGTCGTCCTCCTTCTCTTCCACCAGTTTGGAGCCCTCAACGACGAGGGCGCCGCCATCTTGAGTAGTGCGTGACGTTACGGTGGTCGGATCGATATCTTGTGGTAGTTTAAAGACTCTCTTGAACTCGCTTGTGTCAAATCCATCTTCTCTCTCTGAGCGATGCTGCCCATGTAAGGTCACCTTGTCGCTATCAACTTCAATTGTGATGTCTTCAGGTTTGAACTGGTTCAACGGGACAGAAGCGATTTTGACTGCTCCCTTGTGAGACTGTTGCTGTCTTTCACGGCAGTAAGGGTTGCCGACTTCTTGTTCATGTGCCGATGCGATCTCCCTCCACAGATGGTGGAAAAAGTCGAACCCTGCAGGCACTCGGTTGTAATAACTGCAACACAGAAAAAAAAAGCAAATTTTTTAATATGATAGTCAGGAAAAAAAACACTCACACATCTTTTAAGTGTCTAAACAGGTAGAAATGTTCTATTCTGTTCTATTCTTATCCATTCGTACCCATGGCTTTTTCAACGAAACTTCATGAATATTCTCACAGAAAATAATAATTAAGTATATTAGCACGTCCCTTCATATTAAATGATTCATTAGTGTTAGAAGATAGGTACATTACTCAAGCATAGATAAATAAATTTACTAAGACTCTACATTGAGATTTGTATTAAAACAGTTTGGAACTCACTTGCACGGATGATAGGTTGGAAATCTGAAAACGAGAGCCATATTTTTCCTCTGATAAAATTCTTCTTTTGCTTCCTGTAGCTTGTAGTTACTTCTTTCTTGTAGGATCTCTGAAGTCTTCTTAAGAACTGTTGATCACTCTGCGAAAACCGTCCATATATACTCGTGGCTTTTATTCTAGAAGGATCCATCGTTGCTAAAATTAGGGGACTTGTCAGTGCCTCATAAGAATGACTGGTTGCTTTTTCATCCTGACACAGCAGCTCAAGTGCAAGACAGAAATTTCCCGAAAGTTCTAGTAAATTTTTTAGGAGGAGCGAAATGGACACTGGGAGACATATGACGTCATTTTGCAATATGGCGGACAACAATGAAAAACACTACGTCGAGCGTGCTACGATTGCAGCAGAATTTCTCTGCGTAAAAGTGCATTAAATTTTCTTTAAGGGAAAATTTGGCTTGAGAAACATAACTAAGTATTTTATGGCATCTCCTACACAACGAATAAGGTATTTATGTTAGTGACTCCACGTGCTCTATTTCATGTTCAATAATTTTGCCATTTTGCAAGGTCATCATAAACATTTAGAATGACAACGTTCTCAGGCTGCGTGGATTACGCATTAGGCGGGGAGATAATTAGAAAGGAAAACTTATTTATCATGCTTTGGTATTTCATCATTAATAGAGCACGTTAGCTGGGACTGTCGTCTATTCGGTGAATTCAATGCATGGCAGTCAAAAATGTTCACATAATTTAAACTGGAATATTTTTCTAACTTTTTGAAAGTGTGAGGTAATTTTTTCGAAATTGGAAAGAATTTCACAAGTTAAGTTGGTTTTCAAGTTGATGAAATATCTGAACCTGTGCACTCAGTAAAATAACAAATTAAAGGCAGGTAACTGCTTTAAAGGCCACAACATCAGTAAGCATATTCTCCATATTGTTTTCTATACAATTCCTAAGGTGCTGGTAAGAGGAATTTGTTTATCAATCAAGAGCCTTAGTTTGTGATCATTTCCTTTATTCTTGTGACTTGAATGAGTGCTTTAAAAGGTGATATTTAACCCTTTCACTCCCAAGATCTAATTAGTAATTCTCCTTACTATCTGCCATACAATTCTTATGATGTTAGTTCAGAGCATTTGGTATTGGATCAACTAATAATCCCATAATTGATATTCTTCTCTATTCTCATCACCTACCTACTTGATATTGTATTGATATTGTAAGGAGAAATTCTGTCTTGGTCACTTGTGGGAATGAAAGGGTTAATCAGAATTTAAATGCCATTTGCCCCAAGGGGTTTAAGGGTTAATAACTCAAAAGAGCAAAAACAATAAAAATAAAGCAAAGTTTGATTTAAACGCGAGTTTTGCCAAGTCTGTTTCACAGAGAGTATGGTAATCTTTACCATAATTTAATTTTCTTTTGTTGTGACAAGATGTGAAATAAGCATTTGTAAAATGTTGAATTGGAATAAATTTATTAGATTCTTTTGGAGTCATAAAGATGCTGTGCAGACAGTTGATCCCCTCAACAGCTGCCACATGATTAATATCAGCGATGGATACAGATCTTGAGCTAAGGTGGGGGCCCAGGTTTTTGTTGCTTGCCCTGCTGGCTTTTCTCCCTTCTGCAATTCTTTTTTATTTTTACCCAAAATAAGTGGGTGGAGGGCCTGGCCCCCCCAGTGCCCCTCCCTTAGATCTGAATACAGTTTCACAGTATTAACCCTTTAATTCCCATGAGTGACCAAGACAGAATTTCTCCTTACAATATCAACACAATATCAACCAGATAAGTGATGAGAGTAAAGAGTAATATCAATTTGGGGATAGTCAATTCAAGACTAAATTCTCTGAACTAACATTATAAGAATTGTATGGTTGACGGTAAGGAGAATTACAAATTTGGTCTGGGAGTTAAAGGGTTAAGATTTCTTGTTCATTTTGTGGGTCTATGGGTGACAAACAGTTTGGGATGGATTTTGACATAAACATAAATTCACTGTGTCATTTCAAATTGTGGGGGGTTACTTGCTGAAATATGAGCAAGTCTTGCTTTCCAGTGGCAAATAAATTTAATGCCCTTTTTCTGTAACAGATTAAGGGGAATGTCACATTTAAGGTTTTTTTGCCTTGAGACCCTACACTTTCGGCAGGACTTTCTGGATGAGACCAAGAAAAACAATCACGACTTTGTCAACTATTTATTGCATAATTTCCTTTCCCAGAATAACTTTAAAACAGCCAAAAATAAGTTACATTTATGAAAATAAACTGTAATGTTTCTATTGAATGAAGGGGGTTAGTTTCTAAAGAAACTGTGGTGCTATGTCGGTTTACACTTTATAGGAAAGAAGCATATGAAAGCATTGTAAATGAAGTTAGCAACATTACAGGGTAATTTATCATGATCAACTGAGTTGATAATGTAAATTGGCCACCGTAAAGAGTTTAAAAGCTGACGTTCCGATCGTTAGCCCTTCATTAGAGCAAGCCTAACCCCAACCCCATTGCTCTGACAAAGAGCTATTGCTCAAAACGTCAGCTTTTAAACTCTTTATGGTAGCCAATTTACGTTATCAACTGAGTTGATAATGATAAATTACCCTGTAATGTTGCTAACTTCATTTACAATGCCTTCATATGCTTCTTTCCTATAAAGTGTATAATTCTAACAACAGTTATCAAATATGTGAAGTCAAACTAGATATGTTATTTGCATCATTCATGAACTTAATAAGAAAACAATTTTCATTTTCATCAAACTTTCCTCGCCTGAAATAATCAACTGTACCAACATTGATAAAATAAGATTCATATACTATGTCATCTCTTTCTTACAAACTCGACCTAGTCTAATTTGGGCTCTGCTGGTTGTGCGCTGGCAAAGGGGTTTGGTTCATCCTCTGATCCATTTGTTTCCAGGACAACATCAACCGCTCTCTCGCGCGGCAATAAGGCGGGGTCACGTGATGCTTCAACCGTCAGCAGGCCATCTTTTGACAAGCACGATCTTATTGAACTGATGACAACGTCATCGGGCAGCCGAACACGGTGACTGAAACCAGGTGACCGGTTGACCCTGCCGTCTTTTAATCTGCGTTTTCCAAAGACAATTAACTCTTTTCCTTGCCGCTTAATCTTTATCTCTTCTGGCTTAAAGCCTCTGACATCCAACTTGGTCTCAAATTTTCCTTCATTCTCTTCCACTCGCTCTAAGCCCTCTATGACGAAGATGCGTCCATCTTGAGTAGTGTGTGACATCACAGTAGTTGGATCGACATTTTTCGGAAGTTTAAAGATCCTCTTGAACTCGCTTGCATCGAATCCATCTTCTTTCTCTAAGCGGTGCTTTCCATGCAGGGTCACCTTGTCGCTATCAACTTCAAGGGTGATGTTTTCAGGTTTGAAGTGACTCAGTAGAACAGACGCAATCTTCACCGTTCTCTTGTCAGACTGTTCCTGCACCCAGCAGCCGCCTTCTTGTTCAAATGCCAAAGCCATCTGTCTCCATGGATCGTGGAAAAAGTCGAACCATCCAGGCACTCGATTATTGTAACTGTATGAAGAAAGGAATAAGTCATCGAAACGCTTAAATACTTACGTGAGGGTGGCAAAGGATTCATACGTGACATGTGATTAAGGCCAGAATATTGATTTGTGACGCGTGAATTTTACAGGAAGGCGAGCGCGATTCGTGAAGTTATAAACCAGCGAGAGGCGTGATTACCCTCCTGAAATATACGTTTTTTTCGGTGAAAACCTCAAGATTTCATGACACCTTGTACAAAAGAAGAGAGATTTGAAGTTTTCCCTTTTAAATACTTGACGCGTAAATTTATTTTAAAAAGATGTGTTTGACGAGATCGGTACCCCCCCCCCCTCACCACAATGAACGTCTACCAAGTTTTATGGAATTGCATTTACATTTTACGTAGATGCAGCAGAATTTAAGAAATAGACGAGAATCTAAGATTTGCTCTAAGGCGTGCATGGGTCAAATTGTACTCTAACCGAAAGTACTCTACCCGAAGAATCAAACACAGCCCTACTGTGGAAAATTTAAAGTCCTTCATATAAATTTCACGGCAGCTAAGCCCTTAAGAAATTTGGACTACAGTGAAAATGGTCAAATTTTTCTTGATTTCCTCTTGCATTATCAAATAATATCTATGGATTTTTGTCTAAGAAGGTGTGTTTGACGAGATTAGTTCCCCCGCCTCGCTACAGTGAACGTCTTCCAAGTTTTATGGAACTGCATCTACATTTTACGTAGATGCAATAAAATTTAAGAAATAGACGAGAATCTAAGATTTGCTGTAAGGCGTGGATCAAATTGTAATTCAGGCGAAAATATTCTACCCGAAAAATCGAACACAACTCCACAATGGAAAGATTAAATTCCGTCATAATATCACTTCCACGAAAGCTAAGCCCTTGCGAAATTTGGACTACATTGAAAACGGTCAATTTTTCCTTGATTTCCTCTTGCATTATCAAATAATAATGGATTTTTTTAAACTTACTTGCATGGTTGATAGGTTGGAAATGGGAAACGAAGAGCCATGCTGTCTTATTTTTGAACTTCTTCTGTAGATACTTAACTTCTTGTTTCTTCTAGGACTTCTGAAAGTCTAGTAAATTGTTGATAGCTTCGCAAAGCTTCCCTTTTATATGCTTTGAACGATCTATGTCCACTAAATTTAAACTCTTTGTCAGTATTCGTAATTATGACTGAAGACGAATTTATCCTGACACAATGTGACTGGACGAAAATGAGCATATTTTTAATTTTTTACTGAAAAGAGCGGGTTCATCCTGGAAACTGAAAGATGTAAAGACGAAATAAGATGTAAAATTGTCAAATTAACATTTCTATTATGCCCGAAAAAGATGCTGGGAAAACCTGACGTCATATCCAAAACAATAACAACCTCATGAAGGCAAGATGGCGGACGTGCGAATTGCACGTCCAACAGCGATCTTTTCTTGTAAAAAGCCTGTGATAATGAAAATAATACCACGGAGTTCATAGCAGCAATGCCGTGGTTCTTCCCTTGGTCGGACTTTATAAAGAAAAGGGCCTGTAGATACCTATTACAGCACTATCTCGGCCATTTTCTGCAAGAGAAACTCACGTTAGATCAGTTAACTGTCGATCTTTACAATGGCACCGGAAGAGTAGACAAAGTCCCATTAGACGTTTGGGTGAGTAAAGTTAATTTTCAATGCTAAAGGAACAAAGGAAGATTGCTTCGTGCTTTCTAGTTTAAAGATTTTGAATAGAAAACTGCTCATCGCGGTCCGAAGCGAAATAAATGGAAGGTATTCTTAGCATCGCAGTTAGAAATCATTTCCAATTTTTGGTACAATGTAGTATTTTAGAATTACACGAATTGTTCTAGACTGTGAAATGTTTTGTAATGTGTCGAAGTTCTCAGTTTGTGGCTTTGAAATCGAACGTTATGATTATTTGCAAAAAATGTTTTTTTTTTTTCATTTGTGTGCCATTTTGTTAGGTTTGAATGGAATCGAGCCAAAGGCGTTAGGTGATATTGACACAGATGTTTGTGTGTGATTTACTTGTAATTTTTTTCATACAAACATAATATGTTTTAGAACTTGTGGCATAGTTTTACAGCCATCATTGAAAGTGATATTTCAGATTTTACCTACTTTATTTTTGCAAAGTTCTTAATAGGAATTAATACATTTTGATTAAATTTTAATGGCATTTGATGCTTGATTGTCTGTACTGAGATTGTGGTCAAAATAACTTAAAATGCTGGGTAAAACTCGGGTCAGTTGTCCATCTTTATGAGTGCTATGGATCCAATGGTGGATGTGCTGTTAAATATTGTTAAAGCTTCATGTAGTCCTCTGTTCAGTGTTGCTCAAAAGAAAGTCTCACAAGTGCGGTGACTTCCTGGGTCATATTGCTTTCTATAAATTATAATGCTGTGGATAATTTTTTTTGTATTGGTGAAAAGTCAAATGAATTGATGACAATGGAAAAGTAAAAATTAATTGAGCATAACTCTTTGATAACAGGGAAATGTTGTAACATTAATGTTCACTTTGCAAAAGTACTGTAAACAATCATGTATAAGCGGCATCCGTAGATAAGCTGCACCCTGATCTGGAAGCGCAGAATTTGGGAAAAATAAAAACAATACTGTTTGAAGTTTCAGTAGAGTTGTATTGCTACAAACAATCAAGGTTTCGAAACACTGACATAGAAGTTGTGGCTATCTTTCACATTTATCAAGTCTAAAGAAAGCAAAGAAAGTTGTACCTTCTTTTTCATTGGAATTTACACAATCTTTAACTTAAAATTCTCTTTCGATCTGATTTGTCAAGATTATCACTTCGAAACATGCCATAAAGTTGAAATTCCTTCGGCATTGAAAAAAACAAACAAACAAGTGCCTAGTAGCCAAGCTTTAAATGTTGAGAGGAGTCTGGGCCTTTCGACTCAGCTGTTTGGGGATACCACGTGTAAGAAGATGTTTGGAAACCCGCAATAGGTGAAAAACTTCATGCAGAACAGGAGCCTGATAATGCAGTCGACAAATTTGCCATGAAGGTAGTAAAAAACAACAAGAGATTTCTTGTAGGTTGGTGTTTAGTTGTTCGAGTGAAGCGAAAATTAATCGCAAGAACTCTTGGAGAGCAAGATTCACCGATAAACACTCGAAGACACAAACGGCTCCTTTAGGAGCCACCACTCAATGAAAAAGTCAATGAACTACAGCAACACGCTCTCAGTTTCTTTTATTTTTATTTCTTGGCATCTTAAGAAGTTTTATGAATATTAATTAGGTTTTTGAGAACTCCAAACACAGATGTATCCATGGATAAGCTGCACCCTTGATTTTTGGCTTCAATTTTTACTTGTTATCAACATATGCCATGTAGTTCTGATGAGCTTTTAAAATTTCTAGGTCCAAATAAAAGGTGATAAAATTTTCATAAGACTTAAGACAGTGCTCTTCTTTTTAGGCTGTGAACAGTATTATAATTATATCTTTTGGTTAGTATGTGTGTTAGTGGGCCTTGTTTCACTGTATGACCCATTGAATTCAAAAGTTTGTTTATTTGAAATCTTCTCCCTTCTATTTGATCCGAGAGATATAATTAACAGTTACTTACTAACTTAGTTACTAACCTCATGTGCTTGGTTCATACTGTGAGTTACAGAACCTTGTTTTTGAAGCCATAAATCCAAGCAGGGAAAAACTTGGTCTGTAACTTACAGTACAGATCTTGAATTGTGTTGGTAAGAGATATAAATCTACTAACTGAAATGCCTCTCAATACTGCCTAAAATGGCTAGGAATTCTTGAAAAATCCAACAGGTTGAAAATTTATTTTACTTGATGTGGTTAAAATAATGGAGAGCACTATTTGCTCAAACTTGAAATGTTAAATTAATTAAAAGTAATGTGGCTTCTTTAAGCAAAATTTATGGCTGGAATATTTTCTGATGTTTTTGTGTTTACTGTGAATCTTGTTTGTTCTTTAATTTTTTTGGGTTGCCTAACATTTGTCTGTGTTTGTTGAGGGTGATTAAATTGTAGTGCAGGCTAATTCAATTAGATATTGATTTTTTTGTGCTGTGTTTCCTTAATTTCAGTCAGTGAATGAAATGCTAGACAATGCTGGAATACCACTGGAGATCATTGATGGGTTTATTGGAAGCATTTCAGTGTCTGTTCCTTGGACAGCTCTTCTTAGTGAAAGCTGTTGTATGGACATCCAAGGTCTTGAAGTTACTATCATGCCCAGACAGAGAGTAGATACAGGTATTCTGAGCTATATTTATCAGTTGAGTTTGGTGCAGTGGTGAGAGTGCTTACCTTCCTCCACCGTGGCCTGGGTTTGATTCCCAGACCTGCTGTTGAGTTTGTTGTGGGTTCTTGTCCTCGTTGTAAGGTTTCTTTTTGAGTGTGAATTCTTTGTAAATGTTACAGGAGCAAAATCCAAATTTTTTTTCCAATAGGAGGAAGTATGACTGATTCAATGATCTTCAATGCAATGACTACAAGTATGCAACTGGCTCAGGAGTGCCTAAAGGAAAGTCCGTCCAGTGGGGAAGAACAAGCTGAAGCTAGCCAACCCTTTGAGGGTTTAGAGTCCTTTGCACAAACTATAGAGTCTGGTGAGTTGTTTTTACTCAACCTTATTTTTTCTTGTGAATCACTTGGGTAAGTTTTTCATAAGAGAAGCTGCAGTGGTGCTGTGACGGTGAGTGGTATTATGAACAACGTAATTTGGTTCTATCAACTGAGTTGATAATGTGAATTGACCACCATAAAGAGATTCTAAAGCTGACTTTTCAAACAACAGCCCTTTGTCAGAATGCATCAGTTCACTCCAACCATCTTCTTTAGAAACTCTCTACAGTGGCCAATTGTTTTTAGTTATCAACTCAGTTGATGAAACCAAATCATCTATTTTCTTGCATGAAGCCTTTTGCAAATGTCTCAGTTATTTTTGTACAGTTACGAATGAATAATATTGTCACAGTGAAAGCAATCCTTTTTTTTCTGTATACTGACAAACATTTTTCTCTCCCTTGGTCACAGTGTTAGCAAGAGTGAAATTGTCTTTCACAGACACAGTAATTAGATTTGAGCATTTACCCAAAGACACAGTGACAGGAATAGGATTAGAAATACACATTAAAAGGTACAAACACATCGCTCACTTTGGAATTGTAATGGATGAGTTTTATATTGTTAGTGTTGTTGTTGATTCTTTGAAATATTTTTAATCGGCAATGTCAACCCCATTTGCAGAATTGATTATCTAGATCTCTCTACGGAGCTGGCTGAGGAGAATAGTCACTTTAAAGCCAAGAGTGTTTATGAACCTGCTGCTTGTGCATGCAAAAACCTCAAGATCTTTGGAGTTTCTGTCCATCTTGATGAATTTCCAGAGGAGTCAAGAACAGTGTCTCAAGTCCCTGACTTCTCTCATTCACCCCCACCCTCCCTTATTAGCGGGTCATGCTCTCCGCTTCTCCATGACCCATCAAATCCTCTTGGAAGACTCTCATTATCAGCAGATCAGATCAGCAAACCTTCACTCTCAGGGAGCTTATTGCCACAAATTAAGATTGTGACATTTGCTGGTCACTCTGAGATCAAACTGAAACTGAAACAGAATGTCACTGTGCCAGGACCAAAGGTTAGTGTATGACGATGGAAAATGAATTTTACTCTACACCTTTGTCAGCTCTTAAAATTAATGCATTGCACTCTACACTGTACCATTGAATATGAAAGTGATGTTCACAGCAATGAACTGAGGTCAAGGCATTGTACAATTAGTGTATGATGACTAGATTTTAAGTTTTTATGTACCACTAGTCACTGTCTAATCTAAAACTTAATAATAAGTGTACTGTTTAATTACCATACAAGTATGACAACAGAATTTTAGTTTTAATGCACCATTGCAATAATAGTATTGTGCAATTCTTGATCTAAACAATATGTGTAACATTTCAGTTCTATGTATCCACTGTAAAGTTTAAGAATAAACAATTATGGAACTCTATGTACAATTACTATTAATATGATTATGACCAAATTGATGTAATACACAGTAATGGTAAAATTATGAAAGAACTGCAGTTCCTATTTACCACTTTCAAGTCTAAAAAAAGCAAATAAGTTGATAAAATTCTTGATCTTGTATACCATTGTCACATTTAAAAATAGGCAATAAATTAATTGTGATATACCATTGATAGAAACAATTACTCTGTTATTATGACAGGACTTTAGTTTCTAATTAGTTAACCCTTCGACCCTAAGAGTGACTAGCATCTAATTTCTCCTTACAATATCATCACAGAATCATGTATAAGGTCATGAGATTAAAGGAAATGATCACCAAACTAAACAAGATCTTGATTTTTAAACAAATTCTCCTTCTCAGCACTTGAGCAAATGTCTGGAGAACAGTAGGGAGAATACAAATACTGATGTTAGGGTGTAAAGGGATCACTTAGGTTCAGTTTCCAAACCCCCCCTCCCTTGACCATAAAGTTGTAAATTTAAAGAGGTGTAGGGAATCAGTATGGGAGATTTACAGCATATGATTTAAATGTTGTTGGAACTATTAGCTGCATGACTCTGCAAAGTAGTGTCTTTTTATGGACACTGTCTTTGCTTGGGGTTAGTAGTCTTGGATATCATCAAGCACTGACATCATTTCCAGCGCTATTGTTATATACTTCAAAGTGGTTATCATGATGGTTAATTTTTGTTTCGTTAGGTGGATGTTGAATGTTTTGTTGGAACAATGAATGTTTTCTTGTCACCCAAACAACTTCATCTGCTCTTAGAACTTTGCAGTGGATTTTCTTCTCCAGGTAAGTTACAGAAAAGCAAACAAGCACATATATGTAATAAGCAGACAGACATACAAGAAGATTAAAACAAGTTTGAGGTAATTTGTAGGCAGATAAATACAGTGATATGAGTATAACTTGCAGATAATTTATAGTAATTTAATTTTCTGTCACTTTCATTGATAAATTTTTCTTCTTTAGTTGCTGTGATGAACACCTTCAGGACTGATATTGGAAAATAGAACAATGGAATAAAAAGGTGCTTTTGTTTTCCTTTCAGATGTGTCCAGCCATACTTCTGACAAAGGCCATGGTGTCAACAAACCCATGCAACCAGAGGACTACCAGAAAGTTGAACAAGACTTGCAGAACCAAATGACGTCCACAAGACAGCAGGAGCAGAGACAGCGACAAGGGCGGCAACGTGTAGACTCCTGGAACTTCTCCTTTGACTCTGCCATGGTAAATGATACACCTCCACATTACTCCTCAGGTGCCGATTATGACAGCATCCTTGGAGAGGAGGGAGAGGATACATTTTATTCCATGTCATCCAATCATGATGTGCTACCTCCTCTGGAAGAACCAGTCTTACCAGCTGACATGCTGCCGGTAAAATCGTCGGGAAGTTTGCTACATTCAGCAGAGTTTTCATCGTTAGGAACTCTGGGTAGTGTGCAGTCTTCCCAGAATAACTTGATGAACTCTTTAGGATGTGATAAGAGATTCATGAGCCACAAAACACAAATACCAGGTGAGCTTATGATACAATATAAATGACAGCATCGTTTGTACAAGAAAGGAGATGCCATGATTATATATGTGTATACCTCACAGCTAGGAAATTATCTAACCCTTTACATCCTAATATCACCATGCATATTCTCTGTACTGATCTCTCTAATAATTTTAATAATGATAATGATAATAATAATAATAATAATAATTATTGGAATATATTTAGTAATAGTGATGATGATGATGACGATGATAATAATTATGATTATGTCATTTCATTATTTTGGAACCTATCAGAAAGCTCGATTAAAGATGAATAAGCTTAAAGTTTGTTAAAGAACTGTTTGATGTTTTTATTCTAATATGTTCACTCCAGGTACCTCTCTAGCAGAAGCTGCCAATACAGTTTTTGTTCGTGCAAAACAAACCGTACTTGTTCCAGATAGTACTAGTAGTAAGTAAATCATGAGTTTGTATGTGAATTTGTAGTCTCCTTGCTTCAGGCTAAATTTGGAAGGGTCAACTTTGTCTTTTTTGAATTCTCTAAATTGTTGTTTTCGCACAAATGCATTAACATTCAAAAAGCCATTATAGCAATTAACTCTGGCCACATTTTGGGTTTTAAGTTTCCGTCCTTCCCTCAAATTAACACCCCATGACATTTCTGAAGTTGAAGTAAATGTGCTAGGCATCAATCAATCCAAGGATTTACAGTTGTAATTGGAAGCAAACTTAGTGTAGTCCTATTACCAGTGGTCTAATAGCATTGTTTGGTGTATCAAGTTCAAATGTGTATTATACACAACTCTTTTTTTAGACACCCCTCAAAGCAATGTTTCAAGACGAAGTCTGTCTTCATCAAGCAATCCTGGTCTTGCTGGAATAGCAGCCTTGGATGACCCCTGTCCAGATGTGACTAAGGTATGTCTGAAGCTCTCCAGTGTGGCTGTGACAGTGCTTCACATTGACCCAGTGCTGTCTCCAGTGCCTGACGCAGGGGGCAGTCCTTCTGGTGATGATAGCAGTCAGATTCATCCATTGTCCCAAATGGCTGAAAAGTTTTTCGCTGGTATTGGCACTTATGGATTTGGAGGGAAGGACTTTGAGGATATGGCTGCAAAATTTACATCAGCATGCTGTGCAGACCATCTGAGGTATGTGTCATGTGGTTTCATAAATGTTTAACAGGGCTTCAAGCTCACAATGATTCAGAGTGGCCATTTGGCAACCGCAAATCATAAAAAGGTTGCTAGAGGCAAACTTTTGATGGGCAGAAAAAAAAATGGCAAAGGACACTTTGTGCAATATCCTGCAACAGTTATTATTTATTGCTTGTGTAGAAATTTTCTGACCTTGTATTTATCCTTAAGATGCATGGTTGCTCCACTGTCGTTTGAGTTTGAAAGAGTGGTTAATAGCTCACATCAGACTGGAAATGGTGAACTGTCTGCAGGGAAACTGGAGCTAACTGAGTATCTGTTTGAGCGTTCATCTTCTTCAACATCTACTCCAATGCCTTATTCCTCTACACAGGTAAATACAGTCAATTTTCTCTTTAGTGAACCCTTTAACTCCCATAAGTGACCAAGAGAGAATTTCTCCATACCATTTCAATACAATTTCAACTAAACAAGTGATGAAAATAAAGAAAAATATCAATTTGGGGATTATTAGTTGATCCAATACTAAATTCTCTGAACTAACAGAATAAGAATTGTATGGTTGACAGTAAGGAGAATTACAAATTTGATCTGGGAGTTAGAGAGTTACACAACCACTCTGTTAACCCTTTCACTCCCAAAATCTCATTAGTTATTCTCCTTACACTCTTTCATGCAATATGTAGGAAGTTAGTTTGGAGATTTTGGTATTGGATCAACTAATTATCTCCCAATTGATATTTTAATTTATTCTCATCACTTTTCTGCTTGATATTGTATTGGTGTAGTATGGAGAAATTCTGTCTTAGTCACCCTTAGTTTACTCTTTGAAATCACCTCCTAGATTTACTATTTTCGATTTTTGCTGTTGTTGAGAATGACTTTGTAACAGGCCTCTGATAATTCTTTGTTCTATTTTGTTTCTCACACAGATGTGTAGTAAAGTTGCTTTTTGTTCTCTTTCAGTTGCTGAAGTCGTTTTCTAGTGATAGTCAAACCACACCATATATTGGGATGAATCCAACATTTTCCCGTCCCTGCTTGAGGATTAAATACAGAAGCACACAAAGAACAACGTCTCCAGTGAGTGAACTCAGTCCTCTTGCAATTATGGTTTTTGTATAAATTATTTTTCAGCTGCATTGTATATTTTCTATCCCTGCACTGACTAAGAGTGACTAGCATCTAATTTCTCCCTGTATTTTCACCCCTGAATCACACATTAAGGTCACAAGAATGAAGGAAATGATCACCAAGTAAAGGAGCTCTTGATTGTTAAAAAAAGTTCTCCTTGTCAGCACCAAGAGAAATGTAGAGAACGGTTTGGAGAATATGCATACCGATGTTAGGGTGATAGCGCCAACTTTACGTAAGAGCACATTCACCAGTACCCCCCTCTCCATAAAAAAATTAAGACACATCTGGAAAAAAACGTTGGCAGTCTTAAATCGTATCCCACCCCTCTCCTCTCCCATGAGATGTAGCTGGTGTGTAAGACATTGTGACAACTTTGATGAAAGTTTCCTCTGCAATTTCTAGGGGGTTGTTCAAGGTCGCAACATTGTATTGCCCAAACTGGATTTATCTTTGGAGCTTGGTGGATTTCTTTGTGAACTGGACGTCTCCATTGTTGACAGACTGACCGCACTGTTAAACCCACAACCAGTCTTCATGAACCATCCCTCCAACATGCAGTCCCACGTGTTTAAATCCTGCAATCCATCAGTTGTGGTATGTTGCTACTAAGCCCCTACTTGTGCTCAGATTTATCAACGACAAACTTTTCAGAGAAAGATGTTTTTCGTCTTGTGACGAGCGTGAGACAAAGAAAAATTCTGCTCATGGGGAATCTTTGTCCCACGCTCGTGACAAGACGAAAAACATTTTCTCTATTTCTTGACCGAGCTCAGAACTTACCATCTTCCTTATTCTACTTGCAGACAATTTTATGTGCGCTTCACCTCATTTTGGTAATAAGAGAAATTTAAAAATTATCTGTTCATGCTACCTTACCTCTGTTCAGCAAAAGCTTACAGATGATGTCAAAATGTGGTTAGAACAAAAAAGTGACACACAAGTTGCAGCAGAGTGTGTCACTGGTGTTCTTACCACATTTTGACGTTGTCTGTGATTTATTACTGTACAGACCTATGGTAACTTTGACTCTGTTTTTTAAGATGAAGAAGCAAAATGCTGTAATTAGTGACGTCATCTATGCATCTGTCTTCCCATAGATCATATATAAGATCTAATCAAAACGCGTGGTGCATGATTTAGCTTAGCATACAAATTTATATAACATTCTTTTTACGTGAGATTTCACCTTCTGTCAGTGGTAACATTCTATACTGACTTTAAAGATTATGTTGTGTTCTTTGCAGAACCAGCAGGCTGTGTTTACTCAAGCCATGGATGACACTCCCTCAGTAGAACAGCCTTTTAACATTAACCTCACTTGCCCTTCACTAACACTAGTCGTAAGGTGAGCTCTTCAGTAAGGCAAGCAGAGGAAGCATTTATTCAAACAAAATAATATTGTTTTCAACTCTTAATTGGGAAATCCAGGAAAGTTACTTAACTTTGGTAGCTGGAGGTTTTGTGAGCGCTAAGTGATGAAATGCAAAGCTACATGCGAGATCTTTCGTCCCAAGCCTCTCGTGGCTCATGGCTTGAGCGCGAACGGAAACGATAGATACACCTCTACACAGGCTTAAAGCTAGTAATGGGGATTATTATTTTTTGACACTCAACCGTGGACTACTTTCAACAGTAAAAATTCAGGATTTCTGCTTCGACCAGTCATGTGTTCAAGGGTAAAAAATCTAATTTTAACTAAGGCAAGTCTGTTGATGCATTCAAGTCATCTGATATGAAATATTTTGTTCTGTGTTATCATTTAAGAGTTCCAATTCCTGATTTACGGCCAGCTGTGGACCGACGACCTTGGTGGCAAAAATCCTTGAGAAAGGAGCGTTTCATATTTGACTTCTCAGCTGTTGAATTCAGTACATTGTATTCTGGCTCAGAAAGCTCTTGCCAGTACGATTTCAGTTTTAAAGAATTAGAAGGTATAGATGTTTTCTGATATATGCAACACTTGAAATACGGTCACCTCTGTATGCACCTATCAACTAAGAGGGAGCACCACAAGGAAAAACTATTTGGCTCGATGTCAAACTAGTTATTTGAAGACCGGAGTAATGTAGCGGCTTCGCATTACTCTGCAAGTGTCGTGCGTCGTTAAACCCGCCCAATAATTTGCATTTAGATCGATCTTTGCATGTTGGTTGAAGCACATGATTTTTAAAGAGAATAATTACATTCTACTGCAAGGAAACGAGTTGGAAGATTTGGGGGCGAATTGGCAGGAGAGTGAACTCGCAAAGGTGGTAGGGGGCGAAACATCCATAAACCCGTGCGAAAAAGGAGGTTATTGTAATTAGGATGTCACAAACTCATCTTGATTTCTTTCTTTCTTCCTCTTTATCCTTTTTTTTTTGCATTCAAAAAGGTTATTTCCAGGAGGATACAAGCAGTGGTAAAATGCCAGTTATTCGTGTAACACATTGTCAGTCGGACAATGAGACAGGGAGTGGAGAGTTTGGTCGGCCAAGGTAATTCTTGATTATCGTTCTATGAGATGTTTGGAAGTCTTGCATACAAGTTAAGAGGCCCGCTTCATATTTCATGTTATCTGTCAGAATACCGGTACTTCAGTGAAGGGGTGGTCGAGGGGGGGGAAGGAGGGGTGGTGGTCTGGATATATTCTCTCCCTTCAGACCTTTAGGTTTTTTCGCCATCTGTCTGACACCAAACTTCTTGCTTTAAGAAGATAGTGTCTTTATGCTCCATAAGGAGTCTTTGAAATTTGCTTATCTCGAAATATTTCCTAGCTTGGGTAGGCTACATAGCGTAAGAGCAAAATGTATTTTTTTTTATTGAAGCAAAGTGTGGACTTCACCCCCTTTCCCTCTTCAAGAATTCTGGGATCCGTCCCTGTACTGTCACGAGTGAATTATCGGTATAAGATCGCTATAGGCAGAAGGGAAGGCCAATAGTTGAATGGCTGTGGGACTTAGTACCTAGGTTAAAAAATTACCATTTTTTTTCTCCTAAGAATTGTGATAACAGTCCAGCCCCCGGCTCCACTATCAGCTTTGGAGGAAGTTCCGTCCTCAGATAACTCGCCTCTCAGTTCTCTCGATGCGTATCCTGTGATGAAAGCTGAGCCGTCGCCATTCTCCTCTAGACCTGTTATGTTTGAGACAGAGGAGGTAAGTAGTAATAGCAGTGTGTGTACATTTTTGGTGCTAACGGTATACAAATGAATGACTGTCAATGTAGGAAAATCATTTCATGTGAACTGCGAATTATTAAGTAAATGAGATTGATGATCGTGTCTTTCTCATATTCATGCGCAGTTCACACATACGATTGTTACATATATTTACAGTGCTTAATGTTCATCACTTCATGTGTTTCTAACGAACCAACAAAATGACCAGCTCCCAGTTGGCTTGTTAGCTCGGTTGGTAGAGCACTGCACCGGTATCGCTATTGCCTAGGTAATGTTCATGACTGCAAAGAGTACTTTCATATTCAGGTATGCAAATAGTTATTCAAGAGCTTGGCTATGAAATGAAGCTTCATCCTCAATGATTCTTCAATCAGGTTTTTTTTTTCCTTTTTAGCTGCTAATGCCTGGCTCACAAGAGGAAATGAGAAAATTCCAAGAGGACACTGTGGCAACTTCAAGAGTACATGTGGAATGCTCCTTTTCAAGGTTTGATGTGAACTTGCACACGAAGGATGTGTTTGAGAACATCTATAACAGGTGATTTAAGCTAACATATACTGGCAATTGAGAACTGTAAAGATTTTTCCCTATTCCGTGCTTGGATAAAACATCAGAGATATAGAAGGTCAGATCTCTCAACCCTGCGAAATGGTTCCACCACAAGCTTTTGGTGTCACTACGTATCTGAGCTTTACGGCTAACTTGAAGCATTACTGAGTTGTTTCTCGGGAAATTTAGATCTTAAATTGCGTCGGCCTCTCATAAGTGGTGTTATGACACAGCTGGCATTTTTTTTCGCAAGCAGAAAGTTGGTAAACTCGAGCACGCAAGATGAATTCATCTTGCCCTCTTAGTGAGCAATTCCGAGTTTGCGTTATATCTTATTAGCTAACGGAGTGAGTCATAGTTACCATGATTTAGAAGGCTCTTTTTTGTGCCTTTTCTTTAATTTCAGCTTGCTTATAAGGATCATATCTTTATTTGTTTATCATTGCAGGTCAAAAATGTTATTCATTTCATTCAATTGTGCTCAGAAACCATTATGTAAATGAAGAACCCACTAAAATTTGGCTCGCTCTTAAAATGTGGATTCGTAGCCCTGTTGGTAGTAAGGGGTTTCCGAATTTTTTTCAGGCTCTTCGTCTGGGATTTCTTTAATTGCCGCTTACCTGTGATGATCATATCTCTACTTGCTTTCCATTCACAGGTCAAATATGTGATTTAATTCGTTTAAGTTTTATCATGTTTTAATAGACTATATTGCAAGTTGCTTACTTCGGGCGCTCTCAGTCTAATCAAATTAAAATGAATCAGAGTATGACAGCTCCCAATTACTGTAAACACAGAAATGTAGCTTTGTTGTTTTATCTTATTGCTAGGCTGGCCAGTGACCTTTTGCTATGGGAACCCATGGCGCCCTCGCCTACTGACCGGCCGGACCCGTTTAGTTTCAGTGTAAGCACAGGGTTGGATTTGGCGAGTCAGATGCTGCGGGCTCAAGGACCGGATCGGTTTGTCATGTGTCGATCAGGGCTTCGGAGTTACGATGATGGTAAGGCGAAACTCGCTCTGGCATGGCATGGGTCGTTTATAACGACGTGCAAAGTTCCTTTCATGTTGAGAATAGTCGAGGATGGAAAATATTGAAACAGATTTCAAATGAAGAGCACAAAAAATTAAGGCTATATTTTCAACCGAGATACAAGTAACCATACCGTTACGTAGTTCCTCTGAGGTGTACACCCCTAAGGATTGTGCATGCGTGGATTGTTGTAAGTACTTTGGGTTGAAAAATGATAACTGTAAACAATTACAGCTAGACGGGAGAATAACCTTATACTGAATTTTAGGAGTTTATAAGGGTCAAACATCTTTTAAAACTTTTAAGTTAACTGTTTTTGCCACTCAGGGAATCATATACTTCATTCTTCTTTGGGCGGTCGAGTTGTTATGCATATTAACCTAAGTGGGAAGAACGTTATGACGGTTTGACATAACAGACCCACCTTTTCTTCGTATGCAGATGCTTCTTCCTCCGACGAAGAAGACAGCAGCAATTTCACATCGCTGGAGAACAAGTACAAACGTGCAAAATCCAACCCAAACGGACAGACAGCGTTTACTCTGACGCTTAGTGTGAACAAGGGTAGACTGGCAATGTTTCCTAAGAGTGAGGTACGATTTGCACGCAAGCATGAGCATTTTTCAAAAATTTGTTTAAAGGTTCTATGAAGTTTTGCATTTTTTTTCTAGATTTGGTCTCCAAGTGGAAGTTCCAAGGATTTTAGCTCATGTTCTGAGGAAGTGTTGGGAGAAATAGCAGCCGAGTTTAATGACGTCTCATTCTTCGTAGCAGCTTGTTACAAGAGCCAAGCAGACCTTACCTATCTGAGCCTGCAGTCGCAAAAGGTCGCTTTTCAGCACGCGCCTGTGGTTCCACAGGCATCCCATGAGTCTATGGAGTCTGCGTTTAGTGGAGCTGAGCTCCAGTCTACCCTCTATCACACTGAACCTGGTGTGAGACAAGGTGATGGGAGGACTGGTGAACCGATGTTTGCGTTTGCCATTAAAGTCTCTGCAGATACTTCGAAGAACATAAAGGTAAAAAAAAGACTGGTTTGTCTTATAACCCTATTTCACTGTACTGGCAGGAGAAAATGTTACTTTCAATTTTCCTTCTCTTTATCGCCGGGGGGGGGGAGTCGCATTTTGAAAAGATTTTGATTATGTTACAATAAAATTTACCTGATTTCCCCCCCCCCAGGTTCTGTAGTATCTTAATATATTACAGTATAGTATTCTGTAGTATTCTATTATACTCTGTTATCGATGACTGATTTCCCCTCCGTTCCCCCTTGAAAATCATGGGAATTTCCCCCGAATCCTCTGACCATCCCCTCGCCTTCCAGGTTATGAATAATGACTGATCCCTTACTTCTGCTGTTTTTGATATTTTAGGAGATTTTGTTCTCTCTTGGACTGCGTAGAAGCACTCTTCGCCACAGAATGCTGGCTTCTAAACAGATGTGGCTCACTCAGGTATGCACTGTTACGTTTTTTAGGTTTCCAATCCCTTTCTTCCAAAAGCGATTCTTTATTCACTCAACAACTGTGTTGAAAGTGAAAGAGAGTAGTGTAAAGCAGTTAACAGTTGTTTAAAAAAAACTTCATTCTTTATAGGTTCGCGATTTTTTCGACGTGAAGGATGATCCAGTGCTGGGTTTCATTCCCCCAGCGGTTGTAACAGTGTTCCATACTCATGTATGGGAGGGGACCATTGACTACAGGTGAGTGAAATCTGCAGCATTTTTGGAACCCGTCCATTCCATTCATTCGTCGCTGTGTTATTTTGTTGTTATTTGTTGGTTGAGTGTAATTTTTTAATTTTTTTTTATTTTTCAGGCCAATTCACTTACCATTACGGGTTCTTGTAACTATGGGTACTTTCAGCGTGTCGAGTAACATCACCATCGAGTCTAATGTTTCTCTTTTGAGGTAAGGAAACTTACTTGGTTTGTTCTCTTTAGCGAAATTTTGTGAGCTTAAAACTACGACATTTCAGCACTTAGGAAAAGGGTGAAATTTTAGATAACAGTGAAAAAAAAAAGCGACGTAAGCGACTTTGTAACTGCGTGTTTCCCATCTGTTTCTAAAGCAGACTTTGCGAACGTTAGACCTTGGTCAGGGGCTCAGAGCGAACACACGAAACGTCAACCTCAGAGAATCTCTATAGTGGCCAATTTGCATCATCAATTCTGTTCAAAAGACAAAACTAACTTGAGTTGCCAGCTAAGGGTGTTTTCAACTGTGTTATTGCGCTAAAGCGGGACCGGTTATATTTCGTTGATTAGATAATTGAGTGAGTCATTGATCTGTAGACTACTTGACTGACTGATTGTTTTTTTTTTTTTTTTCCTGACAGGTTTATTATCGATGACGCAGCGTTATATCTCTCCGACAAATGCAGTGGGGCTGCGAACATCAGAAGTAGGTTCAATCTGAAATTTTTTTCTTCGTAGTTTCTTATTTTTGTCTTTGGGTTTGTTTTGTTTTTACTTTTGGTTGCGTTGTTGTTATTCACGTGAAGCTGATTCAGGTGGTATGATTATCTTTGTTCCAGACTACGTCTGTGTTCTCGATCTCGGAATGTTTGAACTCTCTTTATTCACCAGTGATGGTAGTGAACAGGTTAGAACATTTTGCGTTTTTACTTAGCCGAACAATTTTCATTTAAATGTCAAAATAATGTAGGATTCAATCGGTTTTGCTTCCTTCGCTTTGAGGTTTGTATGGAACAACCTCCCTGTACTCTCAATCAATCAGATACTTGTTAATCGAGATTTTATCGTACGCATTTTCGAAGATGATCACACATATATTAAATCTGCATAAGCGCTCTAACCCTTGAGTATCAAATTAAATTTTGCTGCGATATACATTTATTCAAACAAACTGCTGCGTCGCTTAAATGGTCAGTCAATCGCCCGGGAGAATTCTGTCCCACAAATGCCGAACAGATCATGATTGAGCCTTTACTCCGCTACAAAACTGTTCAGGGCTACTGAAAATTAAATATTTCTTATCTAATCGAGAAATGCAGCCATCACGAAGTTGCAACCGTCTTCGTGAGCCTGCTCTTGTAAGATTGACCGCTGGTTGAGAGCGCCTACTGAGCTCATAGTGGCACACTTTCCTAAATTTTTATCTAATCAAACGAAAATAGCTTCTAAAGAAGACGTTTTGAAACTCTTTTTTAACTCTGCAACGTTAAAGTTACTGAAGGAAATCATTAAATATCCATTCAGGGTCACCCACAGTTAGAACTGCGCATGTCCAACAACATAGTCAATGTCCGAACATGCTCGGACTCATGTTCCGCTCTGCTTCAACTGATTCAGTACATTGCAGCGGACGGGGATCTGGTACCTAGCTACGAACCAGAAGTACCCGATGCCACGAAAAACCCCCCGGTAAGTAGCAAAATTGTCAATCTTTTCATTGTAGGAGAACTGCGTAAAGAGGTACTCATTTCCGTTGCGTAGTAGAATGTTGCGAGAGAATTGCTCTTCTCTTCGCTCTCGTGTATTATTTGAACTTCTTGTTTTCAAGCTTCGTAGTTTTGTTCATGTGACATGTATCCTTCGCATGTAACCCGCATACATTTTTTTTAGACTCCAAGCCGCTGTCCAGCCGAGCCGCCAGTCAAGCAAGGGTCCATAGATGAGGGAGAACTGAGCAATATCATGACCGAGGCCATGGTGGATAGTCGCTCTGATGAAGAAACCCTACACGACAAGGTACTATAATTTATTACAGATTCAGTTCCACAGGAGTGTGTGTTCTGATTCACATTTGGGAGAAATTTCTTCCTATTGCAACTTACTGGCGTTAAATCAGCGGTTTTGTTTGTTTGTTTGTTTGTTTATGTCAGAGCGTCAAAGGCGAACTCAGTCATCAGCTTTCCAGATCACCAAGACGAGATCTCTTCTTGTTCCCTGATGACGAGCTGAGCAGCCCTGTGGAGGAGTATTACCCCCCGGAAGAAACAAACGCAGAGTTACCAAATCCGGGGGAGGTGGAGGAAGAAGAAGAGGATAGTGATGACGATTTCTGTATTCTGGAACACCCAGATAAAGAACCTGAGGGTTTGAGTCATGAAGTAATCATCAAACGCCTCATAGATGAACAAGTCAGCATTGTGGATAATCATTTTACTGTTCCCGTACGTATTTTATGACGAGGTTGTGTCCTGTGCAGTTGAACTAGCTCTTTCTGTTTCGCTCTGTTTCCGCGCATAACTTTACTGAATTGTACGTGAGGCAAAATGTCATAAGCTGGAATAATTCTTAACTTTTCCGCCTTGCAGGTTTATTGCGAAAGTTAAGCTTGACTTCATACTGGTTCTCGACATTTCTTTAGCGTCAAAGAACAAGCTCTTGCAAGGAATAGACGACATGACGAAATTCGGAAACGGTTTTGCTTCATTAGCGAATGAACGCTGTAAAGCCTAGCGTTCCCAGTTTCTTTGACATATATACTTCCTTAAGGTCGATATCGGCTGGTTTCTTTCTTTTTATCACTCTACTGAGTTGGGTACCTTTTTATAGTTTAATTTACTTGTTCTGGTTGTGTTTGCTTGTTTCATAGCTGGGTCCAAGCGACCAACTCTGCGCCCCGAGTCATTTTCCACCAGCGGTGTTCTGCTGCACGCTTAAGGAAATGTCTGTTGTATGGCATCTATATGGCGGCCGGGACTTTGGTGGATCAGTATCACGTGACACCAGGAAGAAGTGAGTTAAGATAACTTTGCTTTCTTAACTTAAGTGTGGAAAGTATATATTTTTCCACCAAAAGAAATATTTTAAGACAATTCTCACGGAGATTCTTTGGGTTAGTAAAGAACTAATCTAAAAAAAATTGACCCTGAGAAATATTTACAGTTTCCTACTGCAACGACTAAGAGGCAAGTGTGTTGAAAATTTTGATATTGATTAGATTTTTCTTGTGTGGAATAGGTCGAAAGCAAAATGCGACGTTAGTAAGCCGTCTTCCCTCACCTCGTCGACGGTTGAAAAACAATTTTGTAATTGATAAGTTCTGTTTATAGGATAAGCTTTGCATTGGATGAAAGAGGACAGGCTGTGGACAGTTCCTTTGTGAAGAGACCCACAACGCTACTCACTAAAAACACTGCACCCGCGAGAACTGCAAACAAGCTCAGTGGAGGACCAAACAGAAACAACGATGTGCTGATGGAGTTTTATTTAAACAAGGTGAGCATAAGTATCCTAACCAGCATCTGTAAAGAGGCGCATGGATAGAAGTAACTGAATGTTATAGAGAAGGTGAGAGGTGAAAATGCTTCAGGGATTCACTGAGTGAAGCAAGGAGTAAAACCGAAAGAGTCGCCGTAGCTTGAAACTTCCTTACAGCTGAATAAAATGCACTATTTTAAAATTGCACTTTCGGAATCCTCCTTAAGGATTCAAACCTAAGTCAGTTCAGATTTCGCCCTTGCGAATGTGCTATCAACGGACCGGACCAACGCTATCCAGGAACGCAAGTAAGGAGGGGGAAACCGATTCAGATCAAGGGTAATTCAGACCAGCAGAGGCATTGCGTGACACGCCTGAGGCAGGAGTTAAACGTGGTCCACGTGCGAGAAGGGGACGCGAAAAAAAGGGACTTTTATATGTGCTTATCCGCCTTTAGATGCCTTCCTATAGCATCAATGAATCAGAACGTTTTATAATTTGTCAACTTTCCCTTTGCGTTCGCCTCGCGCTTTTCTCCACTCCCACTCAGGGAAATTGCAAAAGATTATACCTGCCCCCAGGGGTGGGTTGAGAGCCGAGTGGAAAATAAAGGACATTGTTCCATCTGGCTAACACTGTATGTCTTTCTAAGAAGCGTCTTTTGGCGTTAGTCGAGTTTTCACAACATGAGTGAAATGACATTGTTTGGTTAAGGTAGAGTGAGGCTAGCACCGAATAATTTTTACTTCAGCGGAGGGTAAATATTTGCGCCTTCTTTCCTTTAGATTCGTCTGCAGTACGAGGAGTACCCCGAGGACACAGAACAGGCCTCACGGATTGTAGTGCTCGTGCAAGATGTTGAGATCAGGGACCGCTTGGCACTTTCTCAGATAAACAAGTTCCTATACCAGTACACCTCTGAGGCCTGTCCGAAACAGACCCATGCCAATATGGTAAGTAACCTGGCTCTTGGTCATTAACAGACATAAAACCTCGTCGGTGATCAGAAAGATCCGATGCTGAGCATGCCCCTGTTGGTTTATTTCGAGGCGTAAGAAATGTTTGTGAATCTTTTTTTTTAAGACTTGAGGATGAAATTTACTGAAATAAAAAGTAAGAAAAAATAGTGGCAGAAAAGTCTAAAAATGATTTCTTTTTGTTGGAAAATTAACTTTTTTTTCCATTCAGATCTTTCGTCAAAAAACTGAAGGCAATGCTAGTTCGGGTTGCGTAGGAAAATACCTTTGTGGTGGATTCCAGTTGCTGGTCTTCTTCTTCGAATAAGCACTATAGACATTCACCTTTCTTTTTTTAACAATTTTCTCGTTTAGATCCTGCTCAAGATGCTTCATATTCGGCCTGATCCTGGTCTCAAAGCACAAGAGTGTAATCTGAGAGTTTCTATACAGCCTCTGAGGCTAAATGTTGACCAGGTAAAGTCATGCAGTGCTCCTGATCTACTGACGTCACCGTCACGCAATCAGAGAATGAGTATGAATACGTTGAAGGGTTTTCTTCTGTTTACGCAGCCGTTTAATAAACAAGCGATTAAAACGAATCTTTCTTACTGAAATGGCCTTCAAAACCTTTATCTACGCTTATTTGTGTTATCTTCTTTTTTAAGGATGCTTTATTTTTCTTGAGGAATTTCTTCTCAGAAGTCATGGGAGAAGCTGCAAAAAACCCAAAAGGTACATTTTTTAATATTTTCCCAAATACCAGGATGCCTAATTTTTAACGGAAATTATTTGAGGATTTGCAACCGTACATGTTGGAGCAGAGTTCAATCACTTGTTGATGCCGACTTTGACCAATTTCATTCAGAAGCGTAGAACCTGTTCAAGGTTATAAGCTTCTGCCCCCAATCAAAGGATTGGTTTAGTTTCACTCAAGGGAAAGAGCTTTTAGCCATGTTGGTTCTGTTCTTTCGCTCGTCCGTTTCTGCATTTATCGTTCATTTTTCTTTTTTTTCTTGGCCTTTGTTAGGATCTAGTTCAGTTGATTCCAGTCCTGTTAGGCCGCCCCCGTCTTCTGAGTGGTTATTGGAGACCCCAGGCGCCGAAGAGACCCTGGTAGAGTCAGCAAGTGAGTCAGAAACAGACGCCCTCCAGCCAGCCCCTACCTTCTTTCGGTCCTTTATATTTTCTCCCGAGGTACCAATTAGGTTGGATTATCAGGGAAAGAGAGTCGACATGGAGCAGGTAAGATGGGTTTGATGTTTGATGGGTCACAGAAAATAATCTTTATGCTGGTTTGGTTTTGTTTGTAAGTTAAAATCTCGTTTCAAGGAAGGTTCTTTTTTGAATATCTGTTTACAATTCTGAAGTGGACACCTTTTTCTCGCCCCAATCCCCCTAAAAGGCGGGAGATTTGGGCAAGGAGATATGTCGTCGAGCGATGAGCAAGCTGGACTCCGGAACTGGAAGCAGAACACAAGCCTTGGTTCGAGGTTTGGCCTGTATCCTCAAGTTTTATCCTTCATCTCGAAGTTCAAACGGCTGCCAGCAGAACGTCATAAAAATGTGACGAATTGTTCGGAGGTTTCTTACGATGAACAAGAATCGCCTTCAGTAGCAGTAGCGATATTCCCATATGCGTTCCACTGTAAAAACGGGGTATCAGCTTTAATGCTTATACGACTTCGCTCGCCCTTTTTCTTGCTTACAAGAATTCTTTTTCTCCAGGGCACCTTGGCCGGTCTGTTAATCGGTCTTGGTCAGCTCAATTGCTCTGAGCTGCGTCTCAAACGCCTGTGTTGTCGTAGCGGCTTGCTTGGAATGGACAGAGTGATCAACTACGCGTTGTCTGAGTGGCTTGCGGACATAAGGAGCACCCAACTGCCTAGGATACTGGGTGGAGTCGGTCCTGTGCACTCCTTTCTTCAGCTGTTCCAGGGATTAGTGGACCTGGTATGGCTGCCTATTGATCAGTACCGGCGGGATGGGCGTGTCATGAGGGGGCTGCAGAGGGGAGCCAACTCCTTCACTACTTCATCTGCTATGGCCTTTCTTGAACTGACTAACCGAGTGGTGCAGATAATACAGGTAAGAGGAAATGTCCTAAGAAATTTAACACTGTGAATTTCAGCCAAAAGCAGGTGAGTTTGCTTAGCGTGTAGCTTTGATGAAAACCTCAGATAATTTTTTCTTTATCAAAAGAAATGTGCTTACCACTAAATTCATCGAGACGGAATATTATGTAACAGCACCTACTTAGCTCGACCTGGAAGTATTTATCTTTCAAAATGTGACTCCCGCGGTGAACAACTTTATGCAAAATAAGCCCTTGCAGTCTCAAAAGGTAAAATGCTGTTATTAGTAATAGTTAAAATTCAAGCGGCAGACTTCAAGCTATCACCCCCCACCCCCCCCTCCTTCCCATCTTTTTCTTCCAAGTGAACCGTTGGCAGACGGAACTTTCGCATTTACTTTGAAAACTATCTCTTCGATATACTCTCGGAATTAGTGGCCTCTCCAGTGTTTTCTTTATTTTACTTATCTTTTAATCTATTTACCCATTTACTTATTTTTGGGGTGATTTGTTTTACTTTCAGTCCGCAGCAGAGACAGCATATGACGTAGTTAGTCCAGACTCCCCAGTGAAACGGGGCCAGAATCGGCTGGCACAACAGCCGTTTGATTTACGTGAAGGAGTATCCAATGCCTACCAAGTCTTCAGAGAGGTCAGATATATATTTTATACACACTAAGATTCCTTATAGGATCATCATCACTCTATTTTACGAGCTCTTTCAAATTTCAAGTTTATTCCGGCCATCTTAATTTCAAAATATAGTTTGTGCGACTTAGATTATTAATACCACTAGCAGTCCCTGCTTTCGGCGAAGTCCGTCGCGTGAGTTAAAATATGCAACACCTCTGAATGACCTTTAAAATACTGGGTAATTTAGTATTATCAACTGAGTTGATAACGTGAATTGGCCACCGTAGAGAGTTTCAAAGCTGACGTTTCGAGCGTTAGCCCTTCATCAGAGCGATTGGAGGAATTGTGGGTTGTGTGTGTGTTTATGTGCAGAAAGTGGAGCTACGCTATTGGTGGGAATATGACGACGAGAAAACAAGAATTAAAAATACTTTTTTTTAAAAAAATACTGGTTCTTTGGTTTTCAGGGACTGGGTCAAACAGCCACAAACATTGTTCAAGTGGCTAAAGATGAACACGAACAGAAGGGAGTAACAGGTGCTGTGGGTGGTGTCCTGCGCCAGGTCCCAGCGACCGTAGTTCAGCCCTTTATTCTGGCTACAGAGGCCACCTCTAGTGTCCTGGGAGGAGTCCGTAATCAAATCCTTCCCGATGCTAGACGAGAGGCCGCGGAAAAATGGAGAGCAAGCCCTTGAGAGTTAAAGCATGTTGACGTTTTTAGAATCTCTTCTTTAGTAGTCTATTATATATGCTGGTAGATATCTGGTCTGTTGGTCAGATGAAGAATGTCTGTTGGCAAAGCCTTAGACAGTTTATTCGTTTGATTACAAACTGTTCTACCCTTTTGTTTTGCACCTTTTACAATTTTTAGTATTTTATTTCAAGTTCGTAGGAGGTCAAATTGTAAAGGAATAGTAGAATTTATTGGCTTCTTGTTTCCGTGTCTTAACGATCGATGAAAAATTTTTATGTTCTTAGGTCATTACCTTTCGTAGTAGAGTGCGCACAATAAGCACTTAATGACTGGCCCCAAGGAAATAAAGCTAACTGTTTCCCGTGGGGCCAGTTTCTAAAAAGTTTTGTCACACCTCCCAACTTCTCCTCCAATCAGAAAACGAAATTGAGTTCGGAGGTTTAACAATAGGGACTATTCAGAAATTTGTGACGCTAGGCTTGGGCTACGGATAATCTCAGTTGCCTAGCAACTTTTTGACATAATTGCGGGCTCACTTTATCTCAACATTGTTCTTGAACATGAAGTATCGTAGTCATTATTTTAGGATTGAAATTCAATTTTTTTTCTTTTAATTCAGACTCTACATTAGACGATTGATAACCTAGAATCTAGCCGTTACTCGGTAAAAATTCACTGTAGTCATAGGTGTGAATGTAAGTGTACACTTCAAAAGCCAAGGGAGGAATTTGCGTTTTGTGTGTTGTCTTTAAGGGAGACATTTATTTATCTGCGGAGGAAAGACTTGATTCAATGTCAGTATCTGAACAGCTGCCCACCTACCCCTCCCTTAATCCATCAACATTCAACTGATAACAAGTTGGGATTAATGTTAGGTTAGGGGAGGGTAGGTGCGCTTGATACTCAGATACTGACTTTTATCCAACAACTTAATAGCTTTCTGTTTTTTCAATGGGGTAGGAAATTATGCAAATGTTTTTCTACCTGAAAACCTGTACATGTAAAGAAACTGTACAGCCGTTTTATAATTGTAGGAATATGTTGTATATGTACATCATTTTCAGTATTGTACAAAGGGGGCAGATACTGTTTCGTTGCCTGTAGTTGTATTGTACATAGATTTAAACTCACACTTGGCTTGTGCAAACGGGGAAGTAATTTCTCTTAGTGATACACCTATTTTTGTTTTAGTATGAGCTTTCGTAGCAGTAGAAGTTTGTTACTTTTTAATTTTGCGAAGAAAGCTACTGAGTCGCTATGTTCGTGCGCCAGTGAAAGAAGAAGGGTCATAGATTGCTTTCTGTTGTGAATGAAAAATATATCCAATCAGTGAGAATTAAATAAAGTCTTCAATTGTGCTGTTGTTACGTGAATGAGTTGGCTGATTCAACGTTCTGGTCTTTGAGAAGTTGTTTTATTAGGGTGGAAGCCTTTGCCGTAATTGGCCCTTTTGTCTGTTTGCCTTAGAAATTTCTCTTTAAAACTCCTGAGAGAGCATGCTACAGGAGGCCTCCACTGGGAGGCAGTAGCCACAACAAAACTGTACATCACAGTATGCATATAATAATTACTATTACCCGTTGATTTGTCAGCAAGTCGAAATTTAAAGGGTAGGCAGTGATAAACCAACCCGAGACTGTAGGACAATGTCCGAAACGCGAGACAAGGAACACGGCGAAAAATTATGTTAATTTTTACTTTCGAGGAGAAACTGGAACTCGGTCAGGAACGGACGCGAGCAGTCTGGACCATAGATCACAAGATGGCGGGCCTTGCACCAGCCTTTCTGCATCTTTACTCTACAAAAGACTTTTTTACCATTAGTTTGGTGCAAGTATTGGCGGCGTGGACTTCTGTTGCGGTTTCAAACTTTGCTTCAACTTCTGTCTCATTATTAACGCGCTCAGCAGCATCTCTGAGGTTATTTTGTTTCGTGTTTGCCATGTTGTGTTTTGCACTTATCCGCACAAAATCTAGGATCAGATTGTCGGTGAGTTTTTCCCCTTTTGTAGTTCAAGATCTGACTTGGTAATGGTTATCTAATCTTCTTCTCTCTCATTGCTTTTCGCTGCTAAAGTTGGGAAAAATTTGGTCTTATTTAGGTGTTTATTACACCCATTTTGAAACACTGGTGGTCCCTGTAATCTGATTGGCTCTAATTGGTGCGATTTATTCACGAATTGCACCATTTTTTGCTCTAAATTGCATCTTTTTTCCAGCCAATGAGGAGGCTACACTAAAAACAAAACAACCAATCAGACTTCAAGGCTTGTTTAAAGTAACCGGTCAAATTGCAGGAAGATGAAAGACATGAAGGATCATGTGGCAAATTTTTCAACTTTCGTTTCCAAAACTCTTATTTTTTCCTCCCAAAAAATGGATGAATTTAATTTCAAACTGGCTCAGTATTGTAGTAATTAAATATTTGAACTGACCAAGTCCTGTATTTGGGTGATTTCAAAATGGATGTTATAAAGTGGTAATTGAACCTCCTGTTGTGCAATTTTGGTCTGAAATCATATTTGTGATTTCAAATTGAACTCATGTCGTGCGCATGTTCAATTTTGAAATCACACGTATGATTTAAGCCCAAATTGCACTCCACTCGCTTCAATTACCATTATTAATTGTTGGCTTGGGTTGAATCACAACAAATGGTATCCAGTCAAATGTTTTAAAGGGTACACGTGAGAGAAGTATTTGATCAACTCAGCCCTCCTTGCAGGCTAAACCTTGTCAAGACATGGTTTAACTTTGCAAGAAGGGCTTGTGTTTTGTCACTTTTTTCATGAACATATCAGCTCAAATGCTAACTTGGTTAGTATTATTACTTTTAACCAAACTAGAATTTTGAATAACTTTTCTCTGAAATCTTTTGTCACCTTAAGTTCTTAGCTCGTGTTTTGGGTTTTCGTTTGACTTAAATTTCCCTCTCTCAGTTACAATTGATGGTTTTTCTTCTATTTCTGGAAAAATTTCTACACAGCCTCATACTTAATTATTCATCCACATCTTATTAATGATACACTGAATAACAAAGCCTCATATGTGGATGCATAATGAAGTATGGAGTTGTGTGGAAATTTTGCCCTATCTCTTAATGGCCCTTTGTGATGTTCGCTTACTTTTGATAGATCATCAAGATTGCTTTAGTTTTTATTTTTATAACACCTCATAGATGCCGTACACAATGTGGATAATCATTTTGTTTGTCATTTTACAGATAGTCCAAGTTTTGAAGCTTATATTTTTTGTATTTGGATCAGCTGCAATTTTTCATGTTATTGCTGTATTGTTTGGAGCTTCAATCACAGAGTATGATTTTTTTTGTTTTTCTCTTGGTTTTTTTGTTTTTTTGTTTTAATTGTGATGTTTGCATGAAGGATGGCTTGGAACACCAAGTACCTGTAAGTCCAAAATAGGAAATGGCTGCAGGGAAAAAGATTTTGATGGTATTTTATGAATTGCATAATTGTTCATTAACAATTATTATAAAATGAGTTGAAAGTAACTGGCTAGAGATGGCAGACTAGCAAGTGGCTTTGCTTGGCAACCTTCACTTATGATAATTGAGTTGATAATGTCAATGGGCCACTGCCTGACAAAGTGCTAATACTTGAAACATCAGCTTTATAAACTCTCTGCAGAGGCCAATTTACATTTTAAACTTAGTTGGTAAAATCTTCTGATACCCCTCATTGACCCAGCACCACAGTTTCTATGGAAAATTACCTTGTTCCTTCACTGACGACTTTTATCTTAACTCTTATGCAGACAAACTGAGGAAACCTTCTGCTGGGCATTATTAATGTCACATTTAGTTGTCCTTCCTGCCTGTAGTCTGCTAGGGGCACATTTGGAACTCTTTCCTAGGATATTTTTCAGTTCTTGGTAAGTGCTAGGTTCTTGTTCTTGGATAAGTATGCTGGACTAGTGAAAACTTTTGATCTCCATTTCCAAGGAAATTTTTCATGTCACAAATTTCAAACCCCTTGCCCCTGTTCATCATTAACCCTTTCACCCTTAAGAGTGACTAGCATCTAATTTCTCCTTACAATATCACCACTGAATCACACATTAATGTCATGAGATTAAAGGAAATGATCACCAATGAAATGAAACTCTTGATTGTTAGACAAATTCTCCTTGTCAGCACCTTAGTAAATGTACAGAGATAAGTATGGAGAATTTGAATACTGATGTTAGAGTGTAAAGGGTTAAAGCCTTCAACTTGGAAAATTGATCAATAGATAAATTTTATTCATGGTTCCATTCCACCATCATGTGGGCAAACACCAAGAATTTAGAAAAATTAACAATGAAACATATATTAAATTTTGAGGATTTCATTCCCTGTAATATGAAGAGTCAGCGTTAAATTTATTGTTTTCCACATAAAACCAGAGTGACTGAAGATAAAGACCAACGCATCCCACATTAATGTCTCAAGGCGTCTTGTTCAATATAATTCAGGACTTGGTGCATTTTTCCAAAAGAAAGTGACAAAGCTCCCTTTTAATCTTGTTTGGCCTGTTCATGATGAAGGGTTTGGAATTTAGTGGTGATAAAGCTCATTTCACTCCACATTTTCTTTTGTGAGACCATGATAAACATTATGTGTTTGTATTTACAGGTCAGATGGTACTCCTGAAGCATATTTCCAATGTTCTATTATATTCACACTGTTAGGAGCATGGCTTGGAGCCTTTCCCATTCCTTTGGACTGGGACAGACCCTGGCAGGTTAGGCCGGGAGAGGACTGGGGCTATTTATTTTGAGTTTTTTTGTAGGAACATTGGACACTATGGTTATAGCGGGTTTCGCCCATAACGAGTTTCGCACATATCGTTTCGCCCAGAACGAGAATGGTTTCGCCCAGAACAATAAAGGTTTCGCCCATAAGTAAAACTTCTACACTCTCACTCGGAAAACGTCAACCTTATAAACGTTTGTATGCACAGAATGAAGAAAAGTGACTTGACCTGAGATCATGAAATTTTGAAACGAACAAGTTACTGTTGAAACGAACAAGTCAATTATAGCTTTCACTGTGGAGTGGGGATTGTTAAGGTAATTCGCGTACGAAATACTGCAGAGACGTCCGTTTGTCGTAAAAGCATTGCTATGATTTTTTTGCATCACTTTTCTTCTCGAGAATTAAATTAAACGCTTTTGAAAACACTTGCGCGTGGAACATATCATCGTTGCAAATCTTTTGTACACGGAAGATAAGTTCCGCACGCCAGCTTATGAATACATGTGAATACGGTTTCGTGAATACTAAAACAAAGGAATCGAGAGTTAAAGATTGTATTTCTGACATAGGTAACGGCAACATATAATTGGAAAAGAGATAGAATAGATATGCCTGGGCGAAACCATTCTCGTTATGGGCGAAACGCTTCTTGGGCGAAACTCGTTATGGGCGAAACCCGCGGATACCGACACCATTTACCAAATTCCAGGCATAATAAATCACTGCTGAGTGTTTTTTTTTCCTCACTCATGCCAACAAAGAGAATCCTCATCCTTTTATGATGATAATAATTGTAATAATAATGATATTAATACTAATAATGGGTGAGTGAAGTAGACATTCTTTGAAGTGGCAAAAAGATACTTAATGAATCATATTTTTCATTTTTTTCAGGTGTGGCCCATTCCTTGTGTGATAGGAGCACTTGTAGGTTACATTATAGGACTTGCAATTTCAACGTTGACATTTGCTTTCAGTGAGGGGCGACTGCGCCCGTGATAAACCTACAGCGGCTTTCTTTCTTTCAAAAGAGAGCTCCATGTGCCAGTTAATTTGTTGACGATGGGGGCACATGTGGTTAAACGATTTGAACAATTTGCCTCGTCAAAGAAACTAAAGACCTCTATTATAAAAGATATATTTGTCAAACAAATGCTGTTTGTAAATAAAATTCGTCTGTAAAAACCATTTCCGCGGCCCTTTCAAGAGTGGAAATGAACAATAAAAAGTTAACAATGGTAGCAGGGGTTTAATAACTGTTTACTTAAAGACCCAATTGGCCAGTATGCAGTGCGCATACTGTTTTTGTTGTGGTCTTCACGTTTGTTATAGTTTGTTGAATTTTAATTATCCTGTTAATAGTCGATAACGAATCATGTATTTTTCCATCATTGCACAATCAACAGTCTTTTAGTTTGTTCTATAAGAACTTTTTCATGAGAAATTTTAGGTCGGAAAGTTGAGCTAAATGCATTTAATTTTTTTTCATAAATTTCATCACGTTCGTTTCCATCACGATTGAAGGTTAAGGCGTGTCAATTAGCTCTGCTCTGACACTTAGACATTTAATGACCGAAGTTTTCATTTTAAGTTCGAGTTATCAAATTAAACCTGAGCTAAGGGAAGGTAAACTTAATTCGAGTGAACGGGGAGTTCGATTTAAGTCGAGTTAGCTGATGGTCATTATAATGACTGGGAAAATGGGGTCAAATCCAAGGAAAATCGGATCTTGTTCGAGTTGGCAGGGAATTTGAGTTAACCCTTTTTTATATCACGTACTTATGTTTACTGAAGCGGTAATTTCCAAAATGGCTGCTGTGCTATTTCGGGACGTTTTTAAGAAGAACAGAATCGAGTGAAAGGAGATGCAGTTTTCCTGTTGGTACCAAAAAGGGCAATTTCAAAAAGTGTTGATTATATATAAAATTCCACTCGAATTTTCAAATCAATTATGAGCTTAAGAAGAAAGGTTACCATAGCTTGTAACTCCATCGCTGAAAGAACTTTAACCCTTCTAAGTCGAGGTGTGAACACAACGTGATGTAGAATCAGACTTGCGTGGTTACGGGTCATCACATGAGACTATGAAAGACATTTGAATTGTGTCCAAAATTTTTATAAATATAAAATTGGCCCACATGTTTTTGTTTAGCACTATCACCATATTCTGACATTAAGTTTATTTTTCTCAACAGAAACAAAAACGGAAAATTAAAAAAAGGAATTTTCAGACAGGGGTTGAAGCTTCATTAAGTCCACACTGCATTTTTTGCGGGTGAATTTTAAGAAAATAGAGCTCATTTACTATCAAGACCAACACCTAAATTATAATTTGAAACGGTATTAAAACTGTGATAGTCAAAGTTATGAACTTTTCCAGAGACTGAAAATTTTCCTATGGAATTTTCTTTTCAAAGAAGACTCCACAGACAGACTAATTAACCCCTTTTCATCTAACAATTCAGTTTCAATGAGTACTTGACGACCAGTCTGCAATTTCAAAACCAAGAGAAATTTGCCTCTGAGAACGGTGCGAACGACTTTAGACTGAAGGGTCTGGATTTTAAAGTTTGGTGATCAAGATGCCACGACGGTGGTTGGTTTACTTGCTTAAAGATATAGCGAGCAAATAGTAAAAACTTTTGTCTTTGTTTTAAACTCATTGTCGTTATATGTTAAAGTGGTCTTCTCCAGGTAATTGTTGGACAAAAGATTAGCATAACAATGATTTAACCAGTCTTTCATTCAAGAGGAAAATTTCGCTGTCTCTCGGGCGAAGTTTTAATTCATTGAAAGTCGAATAATCTGCGAGCGTTCGTTCATCAAGGCAACTTAAGAAAACGATTTTGAGACGTTTCGCTTTCTGTTCCATTCGATACTGATCTTTCCTTTCGAGAGAATTTGAAATTAGTGGACATATTGCTAAACTAGAAACCATTCATTTAGAAATTTTTAAAAGGCCATTTGAGTTAAAGACAAGCTTGAATAAATTACGTTTCATCTCGATGACTTATAAAAATTGTGAATTTTCGAACCTGATTGCAGATCATAGCGTGCCCGTGGCTCAGTGAAGTCAGTAAGGGATAATCTTCGTAGTGAAACGTTTAACCGACTCATGAACCAGTTTCCAGGAAATTTAGTCTCAACAACCTTATCTATGAACACCTTTTCACGTAACAACTTGACTTTGTTAAACACGGATTAAATTCGTGAAGTAAAGATCTTCAGATTGAAGCCATTGATAAAACAATTTTTTTTTTTCAAATTTGTCTCTTTCCGTCCAAATAGCCGAGTTCTCTTGCAGACTGTGTTTTAATTGCAAAGTGGCAAACAAAGCAGTTTCAAGAGAAAGAACTCTTATTTATCGTATTAAAGAAATTTCGATCTAATTGATTAAAAGGTCGCTTGAAGTTACAGTAAATAACTGCCATTAAGGTTGGATCTTGCGTGGGTAGTTAGATAATTTGACTGTAATAAGAAACTTTTTTTTTCTTTTTTTGCGCTCTTTCTTTTTACATTGAGCTTTGAATATCCCTAGGGCTAATTTTTTTTCTTTGAATTTGCATTTCATTTCAAACGATGTTTCCATATTCAACTTTTCTGTTCTCTGATAACAAAATTATTTGTCTACGGGTTTTTTAGACTTAAGGGTAGAACAGAACTTTTTGTTTTCATCAAAAAAATTATATTTTTTGTACCTGCTCCTGAAGCTGTAGCTTTGTAATAAAAAGCACGAAATAAATTTGAATGAGCAATTTCTTACGTCGGAATTTGAAAGCTGATTTTTTAAACTCATAATTTCCCGGTTTTGAAAAACACATGTTTTCTTGATAGTTATAATTAGGCTTGTTTAGTCGTGATATCTGCATTAATTTTTTTAACAGCTTCACATCGAGCTTGTAAAATATAGAAGGATTACTTGAATTTAGCTGATGTATCTCATTACGGCAGTTTTTGTTCAGTTAAGAGGCAGCATTTGCATGTGTTACTAGTGCGAAGGCAGGTGAAGTTGTAAAATACCAGTGACGTTTTCATCCAAATCTCTTATGAGTTTTACGACTTTTTCCTTTTAAAAATATATATTTTCACCACTATTTGTTTCTCATAATCGTGTAGGAAGAATGTCTTCTTTTCGCTTATAGTAACTCTGCGTTTTTTGTTTTTCTTTCATGGGTCACTGTTTTTTTTTCTTCTTGAAAAATGCAATAAGCAGGTACCTTCTAGAACTCTTTTGTGGACGAGGAGTTTTGCAAAATTGAAAGCCATTCACAGGTTTAATGAAACATGAGAATGCAAACAAACGTTACAATAAGTTCTTTAATGAACAGTTTAACTGATCGATGTGCGTTTAAGTTTAAAACAAGATTTTAAATTTCAAATACTAAGTGATTGAAATTACCAATTTCAATTCCAAACGTAAAGTTATTTTACGGTCGAAGAAGGAGTCAATATTTATCAATTATAACATCATGCGTTATTAACAATAATTAAACAGATAAACTTATTTAGAAGTTCTGAATATTTCCACGCTTAAAATATTAAACGCTATGGAACATGAAAGGTTCTTTTGATTCGTCTGTTGTAAAAACTTTTTTTCAGAGAAGAAGATTCAGTCTGTTTTGGTGAATTCACGATTTCTTCAGGGAAGCAATAATGTTTTGAATCTGTGTTATCCCAAGACCCTATTAGAAATACATTTTACAATTCATATAATTAACTATTGGACAATGAAAGTTTTTAATGAGCAATTTTACTTTGTAAGTTATATTTTTCGAGCACGTTGTTCAAGAAAGTTAAGATTAATTATTTGGTTATCTACAATTCGAAAGAAACTGTTATCTGTGCTAAGTTTGTACAAAATAGAAATTGGCTTTTTGCTTAAATTCCGCCCCAAAATTTTGGATAGGCTTTTAAATTCGTGCTGCGTAAGAGAAATTTTCTCGATCTGCCTCACAATTGAGTTGAATACAATCGATTAAACATCCTTTATGTAGTTGAAAATTCATTATCACTAAACGTAGAATTAACAAAATTTGCGTGGGCAATTTGCCGACATCTTTTGAAATGGTTACGAAGCTATCAACATGAAAACAATGTTTACTTAGTTACTTTCGGAAAGGTCGATAATCTACTTCGTTCTCACTTTTTTTCTCAAAAACCTGAGGTTTCTGTAAACACCTCGCTATTCATACCAAGCCACTTTGCTCGATAAATTATTATCATTTTTCCTCCAGGTCCATTCGGCTCGCCACACTCAAAAGCAATTTGCTCCAAATCATTAAAGATTAAGAATCCTAATTATAACCAAAACAGGCCTATATTTATGACTGCTTACTTAAAGTCAATTACTTTAGTTTAGCCAGTTTCGTTTCTTAAGTTTTTTTTCTTCTTTAATAATTGGAGCCTTGCGATGATAAAAAATCGAACAAACGAATAAAATTCTTGTTAACGAGAGACCTGTTTAATTCAACAATTTTCTTAAAAATCGCTTTTTAAATTGACATTTTTTCAGGCCTATCCTAGTTACGGGGGTAACGTACATTTACAAAGACATCTGTATTTGCATGTTTTGCTTACGTTAAAAAAAAATTCAAAAATGTAAAAAAACAAAAATCACCTGATGGATCTTTTAGTCATGGCAGACTCTTAATGATAAAATTATTCAGATATTAAAATTGTTCCTTTAATGTAATTAGCTCAAAGGCTTTTTGGCAATTGACGACATTAAATGCAAAGAATAAATTGCCTTGAATTACAAACGCCTGAAGTAGTATTTCGCAAGTTAAGGGCGTAGATAAATTTTCTTCGAAATCTCGTTTGTGAGTTTCAAGGGTGTTTTCACTGAAATCTCGGCAAATTTTCAAAGCCGCGTGTTGATAAAAGCACTTGACTTTATTCTGCCAAGTAAATATTACGTGTACTGGTGGATGGATTTTAATTAATATTTAAAAGTGGTTTTCTTGAGTGAATTTCATTTACCAATTGAATATTATCTCCCACGTCTTCTTTCTAACAAAGTATTGAAGTATTTGGATCATAAAATTCCTTTGCGAGGTAAATATAAAGTCGCGTACCTCTTGTTTAGACTTCATTTAACACCTGTGAGGACGGTCCGACCGACCTGCGTTTTAAACATCCAAAAAAGAGAGGAAAAGTTAATTGAATTTTTAGGAAAGATAATAACATGCAAATTGTTAATTTTGTTCAATGAAATGGTCTTTCTGTACCTCACAGATAATTTGCAGGCTTATCTCCAAGATTAAACCTGCTATAATTTATCTTGAGCGTCGGCCAGTAGTTATCTACTTTGAAGTGGATTTACTTTGTCCAAATCGCGTCAACCAATAAATTGCGTCGAGAGCAAACATTTGCTGTCAGTTGTTTGTATTGTTTTCTGCCCTGAGCGACAGAGCAGAAACTGGCTGGAGTGCTTGTAAATACATTCGTTTACCCGTCCTACGAAAAGCCCTTTGTTTGTCGCTAATTTGATTAATGGAATTGTGGACCTTAGTGAATCACCCGGGGAGGGAGTTTGGTGTTATTTCTTTCAGACGGTTGCCGCTTAATAGCTTCTGTCAAAACGTTATTCAAACAAAACAGCGGGACCGATGGCCCAAATAGGCTCTTAACTATCAATTGAATCTAATTAAATTACTACTGTGGCACTGGCTCTCGACCAATCAGATGGGTACAAAGACAAGCCAGACAGCGACACAATTAAACACGGCTCTGTGATTGGTCGACAAGCTCATTGCAATGCAAATAGTTTTTACAAAGCAATTATCTTTCGACAGTTTCTCTTACACTTGCAACTAACATTGGCCCAGAGAGGTTTGTCGTACGCGAATGGTTTAGAGCGCCATGTCAGATCGAGACCATTTCTCGCAATTTGAAAGTGTCTCGGAATTCCACCGGGAAATTCCAGCCGATTCGGACGATCAGAAATCGAATCCGATGCATACCAAGCAGGAGAAAGACGACATAGAAGTCAAAGACCCCTTATTAAAAGGTAAATTCTTAATTTAGATCAGACAGGCTATAATGTAATGTTGAAAAGTTTCAAGTGACACAGAAAACATTAAGCAAAGTAACACCTCATTGCAAAGTCAATGGTCGAGGATATAGGATACGTCTCTCCTTTGTAACTGCTTGCTTGTGGCACAAAGCTCATTGTATGTCATTTTGGAGAAGACCAAGCTGCTATTTACAGCACGGAATCTGCTGCGCGCCACAAAGCTCTTCTAAAATAGATAAAACTCATATTTATTTCAAATATAAAGCTGTTACCAATATTACTGTGGACATTTTTTTCTTTTCATTACTGGTATGAATACAAATCGAAGATGCTTGGGTTGTGTTGGTGACTTTGTGAGCATTTGAAAAAATTCCCAAGCGTGCTTGTTAATTCACGTTGTTCATAAAGGTTTCCACGCAAAGAGGAAACGGGAAGAAGAAGAAACTTCAACAGAAGAGCTTAGCATCAGCAAACGCCGCCACAGAACGACATTTACGCAGGCTCAACTTGATGCTTTGGAAGAAGCATTTAACCGCTCGCAGTATCCTGATGTATTCACGAGGGAACAGCTTGCAAAGGGAATCAACTTGAACGAGGCCCGAGTACAGGTACGAAACTTGAAAGAACCACAAATTGTCTCTTGTCTCTCTCTCTCTCTCTCTATTTCTTGTCTTCTAGGCCTGCGCTCATGGGCGGCCAAGGCTAATCGAATCAATAGCTATCTTTGTTTTTGTTATTACTTTCAATTAAAAGGACACAAAAACATCTTGGGCTACCTGCACGTTCGAGGAAAAAAGAGAATTGGAATTAACAGCGCTGGGATTAAACTTATTTCAAAAGCGCGCACTTTTTGGTGATTGACCCTGATGGGCGCGTCGCTTTAAGGAGAATTTCTGTTGAGAGAAATGTTAAGTGTTAATCTGTAAAGCTTAAATTAGCTTATGACGATACCACGCAAGCGCAGTAAAGCTTCCACCTGCTTTGCGGCGCACGTGTGTATATGGTGTGAACAGACAGTTTAATTAGCAGCTGTTGGAAGTTATTACGGAAAGTAAACTTACCGCATCGATCTGACTCAAGAGGCCTTAAAATTGAACGCAGAAATTATTGTGGTCAAGGAAGAAAAATGTTTCCACTTTTCAAGTCCAAAGTGTAGGCGTCTTATCTAGTCCGTCTGGAGAATACAATGGTTTTCTCTAGAACAGGGCAAATTGTCAAGGTTTCTGTTTACCTAAGTTGAAGAATTTCGCGCATCTATTATTCAAGGAGTACCTTTTGTATCAATATGAATAAGGGCGGCATTTGTTTTGTGAAAGCGTATTTAGACGCAAATGACACTTTTTAAAATTTCTTAAGTTTGCCATTAGCAAATTATTATATCGGAGGTCTGGGCGAAGTGGAAATTGAATTATCGGGCAAATTCGCTGGGAAAGAACACGGCTGCGTTTTTGCTCGCGTCAAACTTCTTCTGGCGAATTCTATACCGGATTCATTGTTGCAACATGTTATAATTCTGAGGTTTAGGCTGAGGTCTATGGCTTGATCGAATATCTTAGTAAATAGAGTTTAAAAAAACCATAAGTGGCTTTTTAAATTCATTCATCTTTGGATGTCATTAATAAACAGTAAGCACTTGAAAAACAAGTATTGTCTGATAGGTGTGAAGGGCTTGACAGAACTCAACCTGCTAAGCAGTTAAAATAAACATTAAAAAAAATTTGGCACTAACCTTTGGCCGAAAAACGTGAATAAAATAATTGAAGATAATTTTTTTTCGTACTTGCTAGTTAAGCGGTTACACAAATTGTTGGTGAATCTCGAATCGCAGAGAATTAGTTTTTCCGAAATTACCCACTTGAATGACTCCTTTGTCCAATCTCAAAGCGAACCCGCACTATTTCGTAAATTTTTAAGCAGAACAAGCATTTGGTCAAATTGAAACAAGATAACGAATTTAACTTCGTCGCAGTTGTTGATAGAAGCCTCAGATAACTGATTAATTTCAAGAGCGGCGAAGAAAAGCCAATCTCTTACACACGGCCGCCTAATTCCAATGAGCGTACGTGTACGCTTCGTTTAGCCACTTCTTAAGTCTTAAGAAACCGTTTGAGATTTTTGGATATTAGTGTAACGGCGAATTAAAAAAAAATTCCTTGTGTGAAAAATATTCACTAAGTCCCGACCAGAAACAGAGAGATAAAGAGATTTATGAAAGCGAATTTGGGACTTCTCCATGTGTAAATTTGCCAAATTTGCAACGCTTCATTTACCGCAAACCTGCTTTCGTGATGTCGAAAGAAACTGAGCCAGCTATGATTATGAATTTACTAATCTATTGTTTATTTTTCAAATAAGAACAACACGTTCAGACCCAGAGAACCGTTATACCAACAGGGCTAATTCAAAATTTAACTAAATATTCCTTTTCCAAATAGAATTTTAAATAGCTTGGTCTAATCAATTCTTTTTAGAGACACACCTCTTAAATTTCGATGAGTTGTCTTACATTACGTTTCCTATACGTTTGTGCTGAAACCAGGACGGAAATTTTTACGTTTTACGCAAGCGAAATACATGGAGGTATAAATGGCAACGTTTCTGATTGTAAAATGGAAAAATATAGCGGAGCTCTGTCAATTTCTGGACGATTTTGTACTTTATTGTGATAATTGATCATTATTGATAGGAAGTTTTGCCCTAGAATAAGCTGTGTAACAGATAGCTCATTAGCTCTTTTGATACAATTTACCGTATGGCACGTGTTATTAATATTTCAGGTAAATAAGTTTCGTATTGCCTGTTGAATATCATCTCGGCGGGAGAATAGAGTTCTTTCATTAGTCGAGTAGGCAGTTAATAAGCTGGGTTGAGTTTTCCTAAACATCTATTATTCAAATGCAGGCTGTGTTGTCGTGTTTTGACAAACAATTTACCACTCCGCACAAAAGTTGAAATAAAAGATGAGGTTGATATATTTGCGAGCTGTGAGTTTTTGAAATGATACGCTATTTATTGGCACGGGAAAGAACTCGCTGAGCTTTACGCGTGCCACGTGTTACAATTGGGTTTTCTCGCTTGAAAAGTACATGGCTGAAGGGGCGATCAAACAGTTTTCGCTCGCGGACAGATTCGTTTTTGGTTTTTTTTTTTTAGTTTTTCGAAGAGTAGTACATACACATGAGAGTTTCTAAAGCCTTTCTCTTTGTGCTGTAACATCATGTACTTTGACATGCTGAGACACCTTGCCCTAATTAAAGAAAGACCAAAGAACGGTGCTTAGAAATTACTGAAGATTGCAAATTAAAAATAAAACACGGGAAGTTTCAAACCCAGTTTCATTGCTCTCGTTTTAACGACAATGGATCATAAATGGCGGCAAGATTTTCGCGCTTCGTTAATTTTGGTTTTCAAGTGTTCATATACCTGCAAAATTCCGTTGTAATATTTCGAAATTCATCCCTGAAATCTTCTTTTCTTCTTTTCATTTGTAAAGAGTAAAAAAACCTGTCGGATTGTTTTTTCTTCCGGAAATTCATACTAATAACTAAAAGAATGGGGCTATATTTGTGCCTTTTAAAATAAAAACCGTAATTCTTTTTAGCAATTTTATTTTCAGTGATGAAATTGGATCTGCTGTATAAAAGTTTTGAGACAAAATTAATCTCCCTACGATTCACGATTATTTCCATGCCATTGTAAATACACGTGTCTGTTGATGATTGCGTCGTGTCCTTTGTAAGGTGCATGCTTCACTAATTTTACTATCCCTTAGGCCATATTCTAATTTGGCTTTCAGTTCTGTATTTTATTGTCACTATGTTCCTATTGTTCTCCTTTTAAACTACCTTAAGCTTCCGTTTCACTACTGTCCACGTAGTAAAATATCTATTTACGCAATGCTCACTGATTCAAAAAATATATTTTTCCTTTTCAATGTTCGACCTGAGTCAGCGCGATCCTAGTGCATGCATCATCGCGTTTTGCTGGCGAGTCACCGCGCGCGGGAGACAGTAGAGATAAAATTTAGCGATAAATGTGAGTACTTCTTAAAAGCAAGTAACGATCTTATTGAAATATTTTTTTTTTTCAGGTCTGGTTTCAAAATCGGCGGGCGAAACATCGAAAACAAGAACGCCAACACCCTCGGACGTCGTTCCCGTACCACTCAGGCATTTATTATCCACATGAAGGACTCTACTCTCCAGCTTCTCATCTTTACTTTCCAGTCCCTCCCATGACCTGCCCAGTCAGCTCTTTACCAGGCTCTAAGAATATCCTCGAAAGTCATAGCCCTTCCTCACGCCCAGTCCGCTCCCCCTGCCGATCTTGTCCGCCCGGGAGCCTTTGCTGTGGTGCGGGTCCGGCGCCTACTCCCCCTTGGAGTCCAGGCTTTGCACGGCCACTTTCGCCATCTAAGAGCCCTCTTTATGAGAAAGAAGGTTCGACGTCTCTCAATTTGACACGAAATGATTGGTCATCCAAAAGCCTGGCGCTATTGAGAATGCGTGCTCAGAGTTATAGTCACGTGTTTGGTCCGTCATGTTTCTCCTGAAAATTTTACGCGCCAAAGGCTTGTTGATAAGCCAAGGACCTTGGCCTAAGATGGAAATTCATCGTGAGGCAATGACTAGTAAACGCGTGACGTTCAACATCAGAGAGAACTGATCTGCAAGAATACCTTAAAAAGACTCGTTTTGACAACGTGAGATGTAACAGTTGTAACGGATGGTTTGATGAATTTCCGTTTAACGTTAGCTGTGTACGGGGGTTTTTCACCTTGTTTTTGTTGTTTTTTGTTCTATTATTATCTTTTTTTAACACGGTTAGAGGTTTCCAAAGAAATATTTGTGAGTTCTTGAGGAATCGATCATTATCAGTCGTCTTAGGGGGGAGCGGAAGTGTAAGGACTTGAGGGGGCACGTTCATTCGTTCCCCCCCTCCTTTACCCAGGTGATAAATAATGGGCGATCTCTAGGCAATATTGGGTTTTTTTATTTGTTTGTTTGTTTTTTTTATGTTTAAGGGATAACTCTTCAAATTGGAGTTGAATTAACTTTTCAATTTATTCAATTTATTCTTGACTATTTATTTTTGAGGGATATTTTGCTTAGCGCCACAAGATTGAAAAAAATCCTTTAAGAAGAGAGAGGTTAATGATAGAATACTTAAACATGGAAAAAAAGATCAAAAACGTTGGTGGTCTTTTTCGACAGGCACAAAGTTTTAATTAAATTTTGTAGTATCTTCGCTAAATAAAGAGGGGTTTTCAATCAGCTTGTAGTTTTAAGTTTCTTATTTTGGTCTAGCGAGATAAAATAGCTTTCTTTGGTAAAGAAGGGATGACGAAAAACCTAATGTCATCTTATTACCCTGAATTTTAAGTGTCGTTAAAGAGCCCTGATAAGTAGAAATGGTAAACCCATAAAAAATTGAAACATAATGTGTTTCGTTAAAATTCATTTTATGAAAGCAAAGACCGCATTTGCTATCCGGCGCTTTTGTAACTCATGAGCAGGAGCCGAGTAATTCGGAAACCGTTTCTCCTGCTCTCTCAACATCCTGCGTGGTCTATTACGCCAGTAAACCGATAAAAAATACGGTCTATTCGCGCGCACGTGATTAGACTGTTCGAAGGTCGTTGTAGTCAAGTATTATTAACCTCCGAGGAGCCAAAGAGCACCAATATAGCTTCCCTTTCGCTTATGTTATCTAAAAGGGAACTCTTTCCATGAGACATAGAGTTTAGTTTGACGGTATTTATTAAATGGCGTATAATTCATATATTTTCATCTCGTTTTCTCAGGCGAAATATCAATAAAATGTAAAAATTTCAGCATCCTAACGTTTCGCAATATAGTTTCAAGATGACACAATAACTCGCGGCTGGTTGAAAAAGAGCATTCGGGATTTCAACTCATCAATAGGAATTGCATTTACCATGTTTTCAAGTATCTGGATCACTGAGTTTTGAATTAATTTCGTTTTTCTCTTTCGCAGTTTTCTGGGAAGAGAACCATTGTGCATTGTCTCGCAAAGTTAGCTTGTTTTCAAATTCTATGTGAATCTACTTTATGCGAATGCATGCAGATGTTGTTGAGCGCTAAAGCGAACATTTAATTGTTACAATAATGTCAAAAAGCTAAGCCACAAAGCCCGAGTCGAAAAGGTGTCAGAACTATTTCATGGTTACATTTCAGATTTCAAATCATTTAAGGCTTGAACTCGCCAGAAAAAACAGATGAAGAAAATTGTTAAACCCGCCGGTATGTTTCCACTCTTCACTCAGGAAACGTCAATTCGCGCAATAATATACTTAGGTTCTCCAACGCTGACGCACTTAAAACGCAGAACACATTCGCAATAAAGAATTGAATTCAAAATGAATTAATTTATCAAGATGAAAGATCAAAGCGCATTATGAAAGACAAATTTGTTGATAAAACTTGACTGATTGCCTGATGCGAACAAACTGGCATTTACAATTTGTGCCTTACATTTAGTATTAAAAATGAAAATAATTCTATGTATCTGTCAAAGGCATTCGATTATTTGCTTTAGTTGTAGCATTTTATTAACACATTTATATCAAGAAAACTGGCAATTGCAACAGTTTTCAATAAAAAAAATTCAGTTTTCATCAACACTGTCTTAAATTCCACTGCCGTCTTTTTTTTTTATTTTTATTTAACAGAAACTTCTTTTTAAATTCAAAGAAGTGGACGTGGACCAAAGCAAATCAAAATGTACTTAATTTAACATAGATGAATTATTTGCCCTGGGGGAAAATTCAAAAGTGTCGAGCGCACGCTTAGTACATTTTTTTCCTGTAGTTTTTAGTGAATGACTGACGTTAAAAACTTAAATTTTCAGTTTTTCGGTGTATCATTTAATTCTTAAAAAAAAGGAAAAATGAAATATTGCATTATGTAAACCCTCTGTAACCGAAGTTTGTTTTAACTAGGTTTAAACTGTCTTGTGAATTGTTGTATAACCTCCCAAAGATCAAACGGTTATAAAAAATCAGCATATGAATAGCGGCTAATTTACGCACAAGTTGAAAAATGAGAAATGTCACGAAATTTTTAGGGAGAAAGCTTGTGGGTTAGTTGTAAAGGACAAGCGTGTCCATTTCATTTTTAAAGAAATGTATATAGTTTGAAGACTAACAGAATGTTTCGCCATAAAGCTTTTTTTTTTATCTTTGACCTAGTTAGGACCTGGTAGAATTGGGAAATTTTATCTTATTGTCCAACCCTGCTTCCTCACTGAAGTCTGCAACGATTTTCATTCAAAACGCTTGTCGAACTCGCGCGCCATCGTTTCACTCTGTGAACTTGTGTTCGCTTAACCCGGCCCGAGGTTCGTGAAGGTAAATAAATTTGCCAACGGCTCGGAATTAAGAGCTTCTTCATCAGATGAATCAGCCATCTTTGTTGCTTTTACGTAGTATTTGTGAAATAACGAAAATCGCCACATCTTTCTTTATGCATTCGATGTATATTGATCATGTAAACGCGCTCCCTACACTTGGGAAGTGAATCTATCACTATCTTCGCGTTTGTCTTTACCATTACAAACAAGCCATGGTGCTGGAGTGTTTTCTGTTGGCATGAACATAGTCAGGTCCCTAACCCTTCGATGTCTTCGGTAAGCACAGCATAAAATGAGTAGAAAAATCAAAATAACCGCAACACAAAACACAACAGATACTGCAGCCCATATTTCTTGTCCAACGATGGGCGAAACGTTTGCATCTGACATTTTAATCAGTCGACTTCAAATCCACGATGCCGGCGCCAAATATGATGACCCTTCTAGCCTGTACACATTTTTTTGTTTCCTTAAAACATGGAATTCAAATACAGTTGTTGTCTTTTGACTTGAATCTTGTTATGTCGGATACACTTTTAGTTCCTCTTATTTTCAAAACAGAACTCCAAATGAATTTCTCCCGAACTGATTAATCTACTGATATCCCCGTGGCTCGGTTCGAATTGTACCCCAAATGAATTCAGCTTTAACGACCAAATCCTTGACAATTCAACGTTACTCTTCGAACAAGTCACTCTTACCGTCGCAACCGGTTTTTTTTCGTCAACACTCGGTGCTTTGCGGTGTACACGTAATTGAATTTTAAATAACTATTTGATTTTTCCGCTCACTCCTTGAAAAATGGCATATGGCTTCGAAAAGGTTTTCACAACTTTTCGTTATCAAAAGTCAGTTTTTGTATTTCCATTTCTGATCTTTACATCAAACCAATTGTCTACAGACTGACAGAAAGACAAGGCCTTAGAGAGTCATACTGCTCGCCGTCATCTTTATATTTTCAGCTTTTCCAGCCGGAAAAAAATTAGACCGCTAAAACAAATAGAGAAGACATGGCTTTAATTTTCTTTGTGGGCTTTCCACGCACTCTATCAAACTTTACAGGCGATTTTTGCTCCCCTGTATTGTTGAGCTTGGTAAGGGGTTGTTATTCTTTTTTTGTAACAAGAAACCCCACGTGCACCAGAACAAATTTACCTTTTCTCTACAGAGTACCATATTCAAATCGATTTCTTTACATTTTCAACCACGGTAATGTATATCAAGGTTTCCAGACTCTAAATAGTTCCGCGCTGGATTCTAAACTCATCGAAAATAAATGCGCTAGTTTCGAAGTATTAAAAATAATTATCACAATAATTTCATCAAACCCTTAGGCCGGTAAGCAACGTTATCTCTCGTGCATATTAAATGTTGCTGGCCTTTTAAAAACTCGTTTCCATTTGTTTATTTGCTTTGTTTTCAATTGGCATTTCTTTTTGTTATTATTGTTATTTCAAAATGTCGTTAGTCAGAAATAAGTTTCCTGGCTTCATTCGATTGCAGATCGTATCATGATTGGCACTTATTTTGTTGCCCCATCTCATATGAAATTTAAATTTTGAAGTATAAAATGCCGCATTAATGACGGGAACTTATACTCGGAAATTAAAAGCTTTTCCGGCCATAACCATCTTTGTTTAAGAGCAAGCGGATACGTCATCAGGTTAAATTGATTTATCTGTCGAAACTTTGTCAACTCATCCGTCAAAGTAAAGGTGTCTTTAATGTATTTCGCATTTATTATGTCAAATGGAACTGACAGTTTGAGTAAATGGAGAAAAAAATTCATCACAAGCTTTTCAATTTGCCTTACGAGAGTGTTTACTTTTAACGGATGGAGCAAACATTTCTTCCCTGAAGACCGTTGATAGATATTGAAGAGAAAACGCTTGACTCCATCTCGCCCCCAGAGCCTCCCTTTGCGGTTATAGAAAACTGAGAGGCGCTGGTGAAGAGAGTAAAGTTTTAAGATTCTCGTAACATAATGAGTCAGGAAAACTGGTTTGATGCACGAGTTCGAGGCTGGTATAGAGTTGGCTGAGAAGTAGAGGTTTTCAATTACATTACACGAACATGTTATCACCTCTACAGTTCTCCTAAGATCATCATATGCACTCGCGTATGGTGAATATATGGAAACAGCGCTCATCATTCATAAGACGCAATCCCATTCCCAAGGCTCTCTCCTCTATCGCGCATGACTGACGACAACAATTTGGAAGTACCTCTGGGATCGAAAATTAACTCTCTCCCAGAGTCCACGTCTCTTTCGTTACGTGTTCATGAGTAAAAACGGGAGGCTCCAGGGAAGAGACTGGAATCGAAAATAAATATGGCGGTAGTGATGCAGTGATGTGGGCGGAAAATGTTATTTGATTATTTGATAATATAACAGTTAAAGAAAATATGAGACAGAGCAAATGTTTCACATTAATCAGTAACATTTGAGATAGTTTTTCAAAAAGAATGTAACTTAGTATTCAATTTAAATTGTCCACCATAAAGAATTTCTAAGGCTGACGTTTGAAGCGTTGGCTCTTTCGTCAAAACGATAAAACCAAAATATCTTGTTTTACCCCTCCGTCTCTCCTCACAGATGTAGCACTACAGTTTCTTAAGTAACTTTTCCCCTTTATTTTTGTTTTCAAGGCCGGCAATTCAACAACGGCTTGCATGGTGAAATTTTGCTTTAAATATAATGTTGATATGATTACGATCCTGTCAGTTCAAGACAATAACATAATATATCTTTTAGTCATTAAGTACGAAATTCGTGAAAATCTACGTACCGTCACAATTATTAAGTTACAGGAAAATTTTGACTTGGTTAACAAGGAAGGCCTCTCTATTCCGTTGTTTCAAGTTCCGGGAATTTCACCATCGCGTTTTTTTACATTACGTCGGTTTACAAAGGCTCTTCTTAAATTATTCAAAAGCGGTCTCTGCTTACAGTTCTAACCAAGATGTGTAGTCTTGAATATGTAACATAAATAGATCAACACCAAAAACAGGTAAATTTACCGGTTGAAATTTGAATTTCGCGTTTAAAGACGTGTGTCCATAGAGAAGTCGTTGTACAAACAAGATCGTACCGAACCTGTTTGCTCGTGATTTTTAACTTTTTTCGACCTTTTCATGTCTTTTCCTTCTGGTTGAGAGAACCGCAAGTTGTTTCCTTGGTCGAGATTCGAAAGCGTTAACCTTCTCAGTTTGTTGTCATCCTGAAAGATATTAACGTTCCCTTGATGGGTGAAGGTCCCATTTCCGGACTCGTCGATGCACACCGACGTTTCGGTATTGCTCTCAAATTCCATGGATCTATCTAGGTCGTCAGCATTCTTTTCCATATCGTTGCCTTTCCTCGCACATTTAACGAATATCCTGCAGCAATAGATTGCGAATAAAATCGTAATTAACCCATAAAAAACAGCACAAACTGCCAAAAGGGAAATCGCTTCTCGTATAAAAGGCATCTTCACCTTTCGCTCGCAAGACTAAAAACTGCCACCGAAATTCACAGCTGTTTCTGAACAGATTGCGTAAAACTTGAAAGTTTTGAAAATGAAAAGATGTGAGCTAGCCTTCTTTGCTTTGTTAAACTGTAGACGTTAGTCCTCGGCACTTTGCTGCGATTGGCTAAATTTGAAAATAACGCTCTAATTGAAGATAAAAGCCCAATGAATTCTCTTTTGGTTACATTGTTTTAAGGGCTTCGGACCGGAGGTAGCTCACACCACAATGAACACTTTCATAATAGTGAAACTTAAATCTTAAACTTCAAAAAGGTTGCATCTTGATGACGAAATGATTTGGAATTAACTGTCAAAAACTCAGTTCAGTAAATTTTGGTAGGAGAAAGATGCATTCAGGTTTTATGAACCAGTAACGTACAAGGGAAACTGATTCCAGTCTTAAACGCGAGCATTGTCGTCGACGAACATGAACTTTGTGTTTGTTATGAAAACTAGGAAATTGGCCAAGATAGACTGTTTTATTTTCACTTATTTATCACGTCATAAGTTTTCCTGTCTATCTTTATTTGTGGTTAATCCAAAAAATAAAATCAATTCAAGTTATTTTTTACTTAAAACTGATTTTTCTAATTTAAGTTTCCGTTCGTGATATACTAGCAATAACCAACATACATACAAAACAATGGGATAAAATCCACCAATCGCATTGTGTATATCCCACGGTGATTGACAGCTGCATCACTGCCAATTATCGGACGGGTTTAAAAGGATATGAGTGTTTTCTTATATGTACTGAGCTTCAGAATCCGCAATACACAGTAAGTTCCGAATATTCGTTTGCGGCACGAAACGAGGAATAATATGGCAAAAGATTCGCAATTAATGCCAGACCTTTTTTTGCGTCTCCCCTTTTTTTCGTTTGCAAAAGGAAATCTTCCTGGACAGCTGTTTGGCTGCAAAATCAGCTAATTGCAGTAATCACTGTTTGACCCTTTGATGCCCAAGTGATAAGCATCTTATTTCTCCCTACAATTTCGCCCCTGAAGCATACATTGAGGTCATGAGAATGAAGGAAATTATCGCGAACTCAAAGATTAAGCTCTCTATTGTCAAGTTCTTCTTGTAAGTATCATAGGAAACTAATTTGAAATTAAAATTTAAACCGGTTCGCTAGCTTAATCAGAGAGGAGCGTACATAATCTATGGCTAGTAAATTTTTGCAACCAAGAGACAATTTGCCCAGTTCAGCGTTAACGTAACTCCGTTCTTCCTTGCTGAGGGTCATGCGTTCAACGCACGAGTGCATCTGACTAAACAATTGACTACAATTTTCCATCGTCGATAACCTCAATGATGATTGAAATGACGTCAACAATGTTCAAATCTGAAGTGAAACCACAAGACGCAGCCGAGTAGTTTCACTGCAAAGTTTTGAACATTTTTATGATCAGTAAGGTTATAGCAATGGAAAATTTTGATCAATTTGATTTTTACATGAACATAGAAATTTTTATGCCAAGTGAATGCGCCAAATTTGTTTGAAAAATTGAGCGCGCGTTACATGATCGACGGTTGCTTCGCTGTTTGTTTTGATTTGCGTCGTGTAATGACTTCTGCAATGAAATACCAGAAAAGAAATGGATGGCAATTGACTCTGTTGCCCTGAATCGTTTTTATATGGCCCTCTTGATTTTAATTTTTGTGCCATTTGCTTCGGCATCGGGAAGTATTTCTAGGAGGTTGTCCATCTTTCAACTTTGCGAACTGATAACCGGATTCGTAATTCTGAAGATTTTCCTCCGCTTTATCTTCTATCTCGACAAGTTCTTCTTCAAAATTTCTTCAAGTATGCCGGTCTTTGAATTACCTATTAAGTCAATTTTATTATCTCTAACCTTAAGTGACGTTAAATTTTTAAAATCATATATCTAACCTTATTGACAATAGTTCTTGCGCGCGAGAATTTCTACAAATAATGTAGAACACCTTTCTATTAATGTCATTTAATTTTTAATAAGAATCTTCTCCCAAGAACCCAAAACATTTTAATTTACACAACATCTGAAAAAGTAAAACAATCTCTTCAAATAAAACGGGTCTCAAATAAAACAAAGTCTGTTATCCGTGACAGAATTTCTCATCGGTATTCTTTTCCTTGTTATCACCAAAATCAACGCACCTTCTCTGTCAACACAAATCTTCTGCCCAATATTTCAGTTAAAAGAGCGCCAAGAACAATTATCTTTCTCCTCTGGAAAGAATAGTCCTGAAATTATTCGTTCAAGAGTTGTGTACTGAGACAAATTTAAGCCATGCGCACCAAGGGGGTAAATTCAGATGAACCTTCTCATCTATCGTTTGACGTTACATACTAAAATCGCTAATGAAAAAGCGCACATGCCAAAAGAACAGAAAAGTAAACTTCCAATTACCATGCATGGATCCAACAAAGGTAATCTTAACATACGCTACGACAACCTAGATAAGTCGCCCTCCAAGTTGACTTTGACTTTGGCGACAAATTTCGTCCGTGTTGATAAAACTTTAGTACGCAAAATTTCTAATATTCAGGACTAAACTTAAAGACGGATTACCCTCGGCGCACACTTTTCAGGAACAAGAAAAGTCCCGCGCGTCTTGTGTCTGCAAGGTAACAAGAAACTGTCTTATAGAAGGAATTTCCGCGCAGGAGATACCAACAAATGAATCACAATAATGACCGATGCTTTTGAAGCAATTAAAAAAAAACTGCGTTTGTTTCTCACCTCGGGCCTCTCTAAAACAAAGGTGTCTCTCTGTGTGTGGATAAAAATTCTTGATTTTGAGAGGGGTATTGACGATTTTTTCAGGAATATTACGGTTGGCGGTGGTTCAGGCACAAAAATTAAAAGCGAACAATCAGAGACAAGCGTCAAACTTAGGAGCGTTTTAAAGAAGAAGAATAAAACACGTGAAGGTGAAGCGTCAAAACATTTTCATCACGAGGATTTGTCGTCTTTTTTTGACAACATCCTCTTCAATGAAAGTCCAAATCTGGCTCGAGTCTTGTTCACCGATCGTTTGTGTATCGACGCTCCGTGCTCGCTGTCGTTTACAGGCCGATTCACGCTTTGTTCTGAAGAGACAAGACCACTGTCCTGTGTGCTCACGGCCCCTGAGGCCAAATTGTGAAGGTACTCTGACGAGGAAGCAGCACCATCAGGAACCCTGCTGTGCAAGTGCTCGTAGATAGATGGATCACTGCCATCTCTGCACTCGTGATGGCAGTTATGATCAAAATCACGTCCGTATGCAGGGTGGTTACATCCGCGTACGGAATCAAAGCTCTTACCACGAGGTCTTGCCCCCAGTAATTGCCGATTCCTTCGTGTTTGAACGCACTCTGTTGAGCTGCCACTAGACATTGTGTCATGTTCCGGAACTTTCTTCCAGATGCGCCTTGATCTCAAGCCACTAGAGCCAGGCTGCAGAGCGGGAAATACATCGTCACCGGCTCTTTGTCGCACCACAGGATACCCATCCTCATTGGATCTATACTGTGCCACAGCATACCCATCGCCATTGTCACTACCATGCCTCCTTTCACTTCTCCACGCTTTTCCCTCACGGAAACTCAAGATGTAGTAGGGTTCTGTGTCGACTGGTGAGTGCCGAGTATTCTGGAAGTGGGCAGCTTGGCCGCCATACTCACCATCCCCATCGGCAACGACACCAGGACACGAAAAGCCCGTCCGGCAACCCAGATCATCGTTACTATGGTAACGCGGACCGTTTCTATGGAGGGAACAGGGTGCCTTGTGTGCAGCCGAAGTTGGAGCCCTTTGAAGAATGCACCAGTCCCACCTAGAGGAAGGAAAGGAGGCACATCTTGTCATTCCTCCGTTTGTACGACTGGGTGCTTGGGTGCGTGACGAAGAAAGTTTTTTGGGCTTCAACCTACCCGTCCTGGGCGGCCGGGTTGAAGAGGCCGAGGGAATATCCTCGGTTCCAGGCCTGTCCAGTCCCCCTCTGGCTCGTCTTCGTGAGAGCGTGCGCTGTTGTTCTTCAGTGACGGTGTCTAAATCTGCCTGAGGCTGTTCTACGTGCTCTTCGTAGCCTGAGTCGGGCGAGAAAGCGCTGTACGCGAAGAAGAACACGGCACTGATGATGAAAAAGTTTATGGTAATCGACAGTAAAGCTGATGTTACAGGCCAGTTGATCATGATGTACCTAGAGACGAAGCATGCAAAATGGGAAGGGTTAATAGACGAGAAATTTCCTGCAAGCACTTGCTTTGAAGAAGCTTCGTTCATTTATACTATTATGACAAACTAATGCGGTCACGTGATAGATTTCCTACCTTCCCACCCTCTACGGAAGAGATATGAACTAACCTCAGTCCCACAAAGTGAGCTTCAATCCTCAGGGCAGCAGAGTAGATTTCAATTTCTTTGCTGAGTACAATCACAGTGGCCCCAACTGCTGGGTGATACTAGGACGAAACAAAGCAGGATGAGATCTAATTCAACATCCATCCCCTTAACCCCTTACACCCTCACATCAGTCTTCATATTCTCCATACTGTTCTCTATACATTTCCTAAGGTGCTGACAAGGAGAATTAGCTTAACAATCCAGAGCTTCTGTAGTTGTTGATCATTTCGATAATTCTCATCACCCTAATGTTTGATTCACAGGAGATATTGTAAGGAGAAATTAGATGCTAGTCACTCTAACACATTAGGGACATTGAGCAAACTACCACGGTGACAGCAACAAGGACATGACAAAACAAAATATCTAATGGGCAGAATAATAGCCCAGCACATGCGTTTTTAAACTGTGTGCATTCTTAGCTGTCATTTGCAAAAACAACAATGTAAAAACACAAAATTTTGCATGGTTTGAGAACAGGAACCCTTACAGAAAATTATTTTAATTTCCATTTGGCACTCAATGCTGCTCACATAATTTTATGCTGAGATTGACAAGTACTAGACTGATGATATTAGATGCTAGTCACTCTAACACATGCTAGCACTAGACTGATGATAAAAACTGAGAAATGAAGTAACAGTAGCTGGCTGAAGATCGCAGACTAGTTGGTGGTTTTGGTCAGCTACAGGCTCTTATCAACAAATCATAGAGACAATCAATAGCAACCAAAACTGATAAACAGAGATTGTGAAAAGCTGGTTCAAAACAAAATCATGTACATACCGAGTCCTCAACATATTCTTCAAACAGGTTTATCTGCACAATCTGTTTCTCCTCAGTGAAACCCAAAACCATTGGCAGAGAGTAAAAAACAGTGGCAAGAGATTGTAACAAGGCTGACTTGTAATGAAGCATGCCCTGTTCAAGTAAGGAATAAAAAACATATTGCTATGATAGCTCAGTTGATTAAAGAAATGGTCATGGATTGGATCATATCTCGCCATAATCACCACTGGCATTCAATGTCACCACTATAATCACCTCCAGCAAGGAGATTATTGAGGTGACATTAAACTCTAAAATGGCTGCCTTGCTTTTCATCAATGTTACTGACAAAATTCAATTCCAAAGAGTACAAAGGACGCTGCCAAGTTTGGCCTAACAATTCTCAAAAGTATTTAAAAGATCTTGTTATATTCTGGTGGAAACAACGATAAAAGAAAATGCTCACTGCTATCTTAATTTACAGAACAGTTTGAACAACAAAAAAAAAATTTACAGCAGAATTTGAAAGTACCTGGACAACTGTACAGTTATTTCCCTCAAGCTCAATGAATATTATCAAATTGTCCCCTCGACTTTGTCTTGAGGATTATTCAACAATATTAACTTGGTCATTGGAGAATAATAATATTATCATTTTACATAGACAAAAAGTGCAGTATCTCAATAGCTGTAACCAGTAAGACATGAGAAATTCAGCCCTTGAGTGAAAAAAATTATATAACTACAATATGTACTCACTGATCTTTCTGAACTTGCCAAAACTTTTCCAGATTCAGATAAAAAGGTTACTCTAACCATGAACATTCCTAAATGGAGAAATGACCAGAAAAAAAAAGATATTCCAATGTTACTTTGATTTGAATACCTTACTGTTAAGTTCAACTTCCAAACATTTCCAAACACAGTAATGACTTTTTCTGATATGCAGTATTAAAAACATTATCTTGTAGAGTAGATTTGATTTCATTCCACCGCAATAACCCACTTGATAGAGTTAGACCCCAAAATCTGTTATCATTGGTTGTGCAATACATTGCAACATAAATATTGCGTTTGTTCCATTTCACACAAAAAGCTGGAGAAAGCTTCACGGCAGTGAATAAAATCTAGGACTGGGAAATTTTGTATGTATACCTGCAGCGAGGAGCTAAAATATAGATAAATATAAAAGATAAAATAAAATGATAAAGAGAAACTAAAATTATGAGAAACATACAGTGAACAGATCTTTAAATGAAATAGTTAACTTAAACTGCCAAGATCAAAAAGCTAATTCTTCTTACATGCACTGGACAAGTCCTGAAAATAAGCTGATCATTCCTCTAATTCTCAATACCTATCTGTTTGAAATCATCTTAAAATTGTGAAGAGAATTTATGAACAGATCACTATTGGCAGTCATTTACTGATTACTAACCAAGCTTTTCATTAACAGGAGAATGTGGCATCTCAAGATCCAGAAAAACCTGATAGCGCTGCCCTCTCATTAATATCTATCAAAACAAAACGAGCTAAAATTGTGATAATTTTATAAATGCTTTGTAAGCCCCGATCAACGTAATTTGGGGCGCTAACATGTAGTGTGCAGTATTTCAAGACACAATGGACCAAACAGGGAAAAAAAAATTGGGCAGCTTAGGATGTGAAGGTGAGAACTAACAATAGCCAGTACACTAAACCAGTTAATCTACGCGTAATTCTGAAATCGTACAGAGAAACATTGCATAATCCTTGCGCGAGGGCTAAATGGACTTCAACACCACTGTGCAGAACAATGAAAAGGATCAACAAGTCACGAGTTTTACTCGCGGTAACATTACAATGAAACTGCTTCCAAATTTTTACTCACTCTTTCTCCAGTGCTCAGAGATAAATTGGCTTCAGGGAAGGAACATAAAGTTTTCCCTCGAGAATCATCGCAATTAGAGCTACAACAAGGTAAACAGAAACGAAAAAAAATTATCATTCACGAAACAGTTCGACGCGCCGATTTCTTAATAACCGAGCTTAAAAGACAATGAAAAAAAAAGGCAAACTTACTTGAAAAGCAGGAACACTGGCCTTACATGACTAACGGTTGGCATGTAAGCGTAGTAAAAACTGACGTACAGAAATACAGCGATCCACAGGATCACAAAAACTGTACAACATGACATAAAAAAACGAACAACTGTGACTCCAACGAGGCGACTCGCGCCTACAGTCACATCTCTAGCGAACCGTACGATCCTCCACCTGCTCATCTTGGGCTTGGAACGCGCTTATAAAAAGCGTGCCTATAAACACGTTTTGTGAGATATTCTCGCAATTGGACTTTCCTCCGCAAAATCACTCCCTTCCACCATCTTTGTTTTCGTCTGTGAGGCGCAGGGTTTCGCCCAGTCCTTCGTAGCCACTTGTTAATCTTATGGGGCCTGGGCTCCATATGTTTTGAAAAACAAGGCGGGGTCTGAGCAACAAAACAACAAGAGAAAGTCTCTTAGTCAATAAGGAATTCTGTTGGTTGTGTGGAAACTTACTCTTAATTTACCTTTCTCCTTTGAAGAAGAGAAACAAAGGCGTTTCGCCATCAAATATTGCAAAAAAAAAATTCAATTTCAAAGTTTACGGAAATAGCCTGAAAGTCATCTTTAGAAGAGCAACTCAGAGCGCAGAGCGGAAAATAATTCCTCGCTGACCCTAACATCAACATGCATATTCTCCATACTTTTCTCGTATTGAAAAGGAGAATTTATTAAAGTTCACACGGCAATCAGAAGGAGAATTTGTTTAACAATCAAGAGTTTCTTAAGTTAGCGGTCATTTTCGCCAGGGGTGATGTAGAAAGAAGAAATTAGGTGTTGATCACTCTAAGGGGTCTAGGGGTTACAGCTGCAAGCTAATAATAATAATAATAGTAATCTTTAATGAGGACGCCAACGTCACGAAATGGTTTACAGAAGGGTCCTCAGAAGAATACTAAGTTTAGATTAAGAACTAGTTAAACATACAAAAAATCTATAAGATTAAAAGAGTATATACAATCACTTAATCATCCGGCATCAAATATTGAAGAAATGTAAAATGGTTTCCGTGTTTACATAGCCTGATGTAAACACGCGGGAGGTTGGGAGAACACGAGATAAGCGTAGGAAACCACGACGCGAAGCTTATCTTATATCGTTCCATATATCAGCGCTAAAATTTACTGACGACCAATGACCCCATCTTCTTGTGGCACTGGATTTACGAAAGCTATAGGGTGCTATTGTTAATTCTAACGCGTCCGTTTACAGTTATTAAGGAACTTACACAGCGATAAACTTATCGCCAGCGAAGCTGGGAATAACATTCAATTCGACGGTATATTAAAAAAACTAATTCATTTTGTCTTAAGAATCAATTTTTCCAACGGGTTGCTCTCTCAGGCTTTACGATCATTAATGACCTAAGACCTATTCTTCGATATGACTTGTGCAGGCGTCATCGAAAGAGAGATGTCATTTATTTTCCCTCAGGGCCTCCAGTCTTCAACGATGCAAGCTTGGCCATTTCAAGTCGCTGTTTTCCAGAGGACAACAAAGAAAGGTGTAAACTTTTAAATACACGTTCATGGCGCATGGCTAAGCGACTTTGAAATGTTCAAAGTTTCAAGTTTCAAACGCACGTGTGTGTGGAGCTATATTTCTGCTCCTGAAAGTTTTTGTCTCACCGCGATCTCGTTGTTGTCGTTAAAGATTTTCTTTCTTAACAGTCGGTCGTAAAAAAAGTTTACCGTAAAAAATTGTTTTTTTAACAACAAAGGTAAGAGATTAACCATTAGTCTTATCATCCCCCTAAGGCCCTCTCAGTTAAGTAATTGAATATTTGCATGAGCTCGCTGTGAAGAGATGACGTAAGGGTTCTTTTGCCGCTGTATATTGTTTCCAGAACCTTTCAACAACTTTGATCCTATCGATGTAGTTAATTACCGATGTCTTTGAGCTGTGAGCGAAAGTAAACCCCTAATAAACCTGAGGGAGCTTCCTTCCGTAAGAACAAAAAATTACTCTGATGCGGACAGCTGTCCAAAAAATATCTCACAGAAAGAACACGGGGAAATTGACTACATTCATTGAAATCTTTTAAAATTTCGACATGAGAATCAAGCGTCTGTTCGACCTCTTTTTTCTAATTTACATTGAAGTATACATATATCTAATAATTATTAATAAGCTGTAGGTTTCTTCTGCATATGGCTTTACTGAGTTAGAAAATATGAAACATTCTTGACATTTTTTGGTTGGTTATTTTTTTTTTATTTGAACAGAACTCGAAAAAATTAGTTTCAACCATGAAATCCCGCAAGATTTTGATGTTATACGGCACATTTGAAGAATTTTTTTTCAGCGGAGTTGAAGTGTCGTCAATTTTTACCCCGCACACTTTCAAGATGTTGAAACAAATACGTGATCGCCCCCTGACAACTCTGACAAGAGAACACGATAGTAATCTAATTTTACGTTCTCTGTGAACGAAATGAGTGGGTCCCCTTCAAAATTCATTAGACAGTTCAAGAACCTTGTCACAAGTGCCAAATAAAGTTGAAATGCCTGAGGGTTTTTTGAAAAATCCTGTGTCAAATCCAGCTGATCAAAATAGGAAATTGCAAAACTTTTTGCACCTGGCTGCATAATTATTGCACGAATGAAGCAGCTGGGTTCAGGAAACGTGCGTATGGTAAATTAACTCTATCGTCAATTGCTAATTGCAAAAAACAGTTGAATTTTTTTCTGCTTTGATCGTGCCTGGATCCTAAACGTAAGAGGCTGACTTCGATTTAAAAGCAAATGCAGTTCGTTTTCTTTTAGATACCGTCAGGAATAGTTCACTGTCATATCGATCAATTAAGCCTCGAATATACAATGTTGGACTTTATCAGCATCCGAAAACAGTGATTGAAATGTGGTTTTTTATCTTTGGATGGTTATTTACAGTCCTGACTGTTTTTGAAAACGTTTTTGTGATGTACTTGATCATTACACGACCACAACTTCGTGTAACATCAAACTGGTTCGTGCTGTCCCTCGCACTGGCTGATTTCTGCGTCGGTTTAAGCTATTTTCCCCTACTTTTCGTTTCAAGTTTCTTCCCGTCACAGCTACCCGTCGACCACACAGGAAATTGGTTCAAAATCAGCCATACATTTCTCTATTCCTCGACGGCGAATCTTTGCGTCTTGACAGCAGATAGATACCTAGCAGTGACGATGCCTCTGAAGTACCTCTTACGCATGACAAATAAAAAGCTGCTTTATCTGATCTCTTTGGCGTGGATTGCACCGTTGTTTCTTTTCACGTTACCTTCCATATTCGTTTATTCTGGCGGGAATGAGCTGCTCATTTTTGGCTTCGAAATGTTCAGAGTTTCGATCTTCCAGCTTGTTCCGAGCATTCTATTTATTTTTGCCATCTGCCGTCTCTGTTTCATAGCTCGAGACATTTCGCGGAAAGAAGCAGCCCTCATGGCTCAAATCAGCTATAATTTTCAGCCGCAACAAAATGCGACTAGAAAGAAATGCAAGGAAAAAAAGGCCTCAGTAAATATGATTATATTTATTATTGTGTTCTTCGTCCTTTGCCACATTGGGGGAAATTTTCGCTGTTTTTGTTACGTCTTCAAAACTTGCATCGTTTCTGACGGTTTGAAAAGAGCCATCCACATCTTTTTTGTTATGAACTCGGCCGTAAACCCAGTTGTTTACGCTGTCTTGAAGAAGGACATAAAGAGGGAGCTGATGAAAATGTGTGCGATGTGATTGCAAACGATTCTATGTTTGGGATCGGAGAAATTAAAATTTTTTTATAAATCATTATACAACATTGCGAAAATCCAACAAAATTAATTGAAAACATTTTAAAAGCCAGTGGAAAACCATATTTTGGTTTAGTAAAAACGATGTTTTTTTCTTACAACTTTTGGTCAATTAAACATGTGTTTGGTTTGGAAAAGTGAGTAAAAAAAACGCGTCGCGGTTAAAATTGCACGCGTTTTGTGATGTAAATAACTGTTTACTATGACACCTGAAATCATATACTAAATATAATGTTTATATGATCATCGATGTCATTTTAGAATGAACCTCCTGATTGAAGAATGAAAATTGTTCCTGTAATATCTCCAGTTTTTGTGTTTATGTCGGAAAGTAGTGCTTGTAGGATATTACACCGTGAAGCTATCACGTGTTGTTATTGTCAAGCAACCAGTGAATGGGTAAAAATTGCAGCTTAAGTTAGGCGTTTGTACAACATCGAGAGAATTAATAACAAAAATTGTAATAACAATGTATATAATGAATAAAAAGGCATTCTTAAAATGATTAATATCATGGTATCATTTATTTTTTGCTTAAGTGATTAGTTCACCCCAGACATGTCTGTAGAGTACAGAGAAACAGCGAACTGGCCAAATTTATTGTAAAAGGTTCTAACCATTTTTCGAAAAACGATCCGCGCGCACTTTTATTTTTTTGTCTTTTAGGGCTCTTTCAGGGTATTCGTATATGTACAATTGCAAGGCAACCAAAAATTATAACAATTCGATTTCCTTACATTTCACGCTCCCATTCGTTTTTAACTAATTTTATAATTGCCTTTCATTATATTTGCTTTTAAATTTTTTAAAATTTCCTTTCGACACGTTGCCAAAAAAATTGTTGTCAATTACAGCTTGGCTAAGCTCCTTTCCAGATAAACTTTAAAAAAATGTTCTTCAACAAATTTCAAGGAGGTAAATAATTTCACTTCGCAAGGATATGAGGGGTTAAATAACTGACGGTCAGCTTAGAAAGCGTCACCCTCCCCTTCTCACGGGCCTATCAAGTTTGTTTGCAGTTCGCCAAGGGTCGGCCGCAGTGTCTTCCACAGAGAGCGAAATATAACTACGAACACTTTTATGCAGATCAGCTGGTTTATTTCAAGCTCACGATGTGGTTTTTCATCTTTGGTTGGTTTTTCACCGCATTTGTTGTTCTTGGAAATGTCCTGGTAATTTATTTGATCATCACAAGACCTCGACTACATGTTAAAACGAACTGGTTCATTCTTTCTCTTGCACTGGCCGATTTCTGCTTCGGGTTAAGCTATTTTCCCATGATTTTTACTTCGTATTTCAACGCTCAAATATCCACCGATCATTCAGGGCTGTGGTTCAAAATCAGCCATACATTTCTCTATTCTTCGTGTGTGAATTTGTGCGTGCTGATAACGGATAAGTATATTACAGTTATGAAGCCGTTGAGATACGATTCCTACATGACACGAAAGCGACTCTTGTCTGCGCTCGCCTTAGCATGGATTACACCATTTCTCCTGTTCACAGTACCCTCATTTTTCACATATTCAGGAAGAAACGACTTATTCACGTTTGCTTTTGAAACATTTAGAGTACTTATTTTTCAGCTTGTGCCAAGTGTCGCGTTTGTTTTGATAACAGGACATCTCTTCCTGATAGCGAGACGCATTTCGCAAAAAGAGACACTTCTACTCGCTCAACTCAAGTTTAATTTTTGTGAACATCCGAAAAAACGAGTTAAGAAAATCAAAGAAAGGAAAGCTTCTATGAAGATGATTTTCTTAATCATTTTATTCTTCGTTCTTTGTCACATTGGAGGGAACTATCGTTGTTTCTGTTTCACATTCAAAATGTGTGTCGCTTCAGAGACTTTAAAAAAAGTTATTCGCATCTGTTTTATTTTAAATTCGGCTGTCAATCCTTTAGTATACGCTTTTTTGAAAAAAGATATGAAACGGGAACTGAAAAATGTGGCCATTGGACAAAAGCTGTCATTGGTTAAAGCCTTTAAGCGGAATTCACCAGACCCGGCAATTGAGCTTCGTTAGCTTATATTGATATCCGAATGGAGGCAAATCTTTTGCACAATTTTTACTCATGTACTTTGTGACAACCCTGTCTCCAGCGGATGGTAGATGAAAGCGTAATTTTTTCCTTTCTTACCAAACATTTCACAGGGAAAAATTGCCTTTGCACATTCGAGATCTCGTCGAGTTTTTCCATACTTTGCAGTCTGACTGGCAGCGCGTTTGAGGAAGTTCACTGAATCTCAGTGATGTGCTGGTACTGCATCTACGCTACAGCCTTTTGGATAAAACTTGCCAGTTTTTGAAATCACTTAGTTTCGTGACTTTGGAATGAAAACCGAGTGACAAACATGTCTTCGATAAAAGGTCTCTTGTGTAAATAATATTTTAGTGAGACCTAATTGAGCTTTAACTTCAAGTTCACTCTTTAAGGATTTTAATAGCGAAAAAAGGAGTTCATTGTAAATGTTAGTGGAAGTCTTATACCTGCTCGTAACTGAAAATAGTTTCAACTTTGGTTGGCAAAACTTGGTGGTACCAAATGTGAAACAAAGCTGAACAAATAATGGCGCACGCTTTTATCAGAGGGATGCGCGGAATACTTGAGAGACACATGATGGACATGAAAATATACATATCATTGCGCAAATAAATGTGAGTCTTTGGCTAAAATGGAAAAAAATTGTATTGCTTTTTATTTGCTCCCATTCCGGGTTGCGACACAAAATTAAAAATATCTCTCATTCACAACATGTTCAAATATTGAATAAAGGGGGTAAGTTTCTTGAGAAACTGTGGTGGTGCGTTGGTGGGGGAGGATAACAAAATAATGTTGATTTCATCAACTGTCGATAATGGATATTAGTCATCGTAAAGAGTGCCGCATTATTATTCAAACGGCTGAGAGGCAGAAAAAAAAAGTTGACTTCCTGCCGTTTTTTGATCACCGAAACGCGTTCGAAATCACTCAGTTGCTTACTTGGCGCAAATTGCCTTCATAACCAGCCATATCCCCCTGATATAAACTCGTACCCAGACAAAATGACAGCTTCCTTAATGATAAATGGAAGAATTATTTCAAGAAACTACCCATTAGATTCTTTCAATAGATACTTAATTTAGTCATGTCTCGTTCAATTTCTTCCATTCTCTATTAAAAAAAGTATTTTATACTTGAGTTCGGTATTCTTGTCTACACTCAGCCTTTTATGTTCAGCATTTTACAATAAATAATGGTTTGGAAAGCTATGGTTGATAATTGTGTTTCAAAGTTCGCTTCAGTCGAAAGTGAGACACTGTTATAATTTGGCATGAGGCTGTTCCCTTCTTTGAGGTTTGAATTTCTTGTACATCGTCACCACAGCAGCTCCTCCAATTCCAAAGTTGTGCTGCAAGGCAACTGTTGCTCCGTCTACCTGCCGTTTTCCTGCTTCACCTCTGAGCTGCAACAAGAATTAAATGACAAGTTTTAAAAAAGTTACTTATGCAGATTTAGGAGCATTTAAACCACGCTTAGTTCTGTCCCTCAGGAGTAACATGGAAACTCAAAGAAAGCGCAGGTGCCTTATTTTCTCGCCTAATCCCCAGTGCCCACGCGACCCTCTTTTTCCCGCCACTTGCCCATGCTCTTCCTTGTTCTCCGAAAAATATGCATTACACCTACCTGCCAGTTAAGTTCGGCGCATTGCGCAAGACCTGTGGCGCCGATCGGATGTCCTGATGGGAATAAAGAGAAAAAAACGTATTAGCCGCATGATCGTTGACATGCAAGCGCTCTGTTTGGTCAAAGATGACGAGATTTCGTACTAAGACTATCTTGAGCTTTGTTTAGCATCGCCTTTACTTTCTTTTCAGAAAGTTAACATGATACAATATAATAACAAATTAAGAAGCACACCTTTCGACTCCAAACCTCCCGATGGATTCACTACCCATCTACTGCCAATGCGACAAACTTCCCCGCCTAAGGAGAGCGAATAAAAAAGTCACTTCATTATGAGCTGAAATGTGCACGCAATTTAGTTGGTTCTTTCTTGTGATCTATTGGAGGACAGACGCTTATATGCCATCACCATTAACAACATTTTGCTTTCCTATCCTATGAAACAAATAGATTTCATGTTGCCGTGGGTCTGTAGAGTAATAGATGACAGACAAAATTTTGGTAAGAACATCACTGACACACACAACACTTATTCAAAATAATATTTTATTTGTATAACAGTAATATGTAGGCCTTACCATTTTCGTTCCTGATCCATTCAGCTGAATCAATGAGCTCCCCACCCCTCCCTACTGGGCAAAGCCCCATGGCTTCGTACATAAATAACTGAAAAAATAAAAAAACAAACATTGCAACTAACTTGTAATAGTATGGTCATTCTCACAGTTTTCAGTTACAAAAACAGCCATTGAGCATTCTTTTTTCACAAGCTACAGACTGAAACAGCCTACTCTGTTCTTCACATATGGTGTACATGATAGTCTCTTTTGGACACAGTAACAAATCAAGAGAGTTCCACTGACCTCATTGCAAGAGAAGCAGTTATGAACTTCTAAGACATCCACATCACGGGGTGTGAGATCTGATGATCTGTAGCAGTCTATGGCAGCCTTTGTAGCCATGGTGACCCCAGCTAGGTCCATAAAGCTCTTCTCAAATGAAGATGGTAGGTCTGTAACCATCTGCTGAGCTAAGATCTCTACAGCTTTGTTCTACGAAAGAAAAGAAGTGAACCGACCTGGGTTGTAAATTAAATGCAATCTGCTGCCTGTGAAAGGACCATAATTACATATTCCTGGCCAGTTTGCATGTGTTCTGAACCACAAAACTCCAAATTCAAAACAGCCTAAAAGTATATCTGTTTCAATTTTTTCTTAAAAGTTCATACTTTACTCCATTAAGGCCAACAAATTTGAACTTAAAAAAAATTATTTTTGATATTGTAACAATGATTTGTTCCATTAGTGGTAGTTTTTTTTTGAGCTTCTAAAAACCTTCCCCTTTCCCACCCCTCTTGGTTGGCTCCCTCAAAAGCCTTCAAAATCAGGTACAGTGCAGACACAGTTTCCTTCTGGAAAAAACAGAATTCTTCAAAACAAACCTGCATTCCATTTGATTCCATGAATTCTCTTGAGCACACAATGGCAGCCGCTGAACCATCCGCTGTGGGTGCAGACATGGCAAAGGTGATAGGTTTGCAAATCATTTTTGAGTGAGTAATGCTGTTCAAAGGGAGCTCCTTTCTAAGGCAAGCATTTGGGTTGTGAACACTGTGCTTATGATTCTTGTAAGCGATTTTAGCACATTGTTCAAATGTGCTACCATATTTCTGACTATGCTCTTGTGCAGCATAGGCAAACAGCTGAAATATGAGACAGAAGGAAAAGTAAATGATAACACAATCCATCCACTGCAAGTGTAAGTTAGACACAGGTTTTCTCTAGCCTTGAAATATTGAGATAGGGAAGGGAATGCAAATGAAAGAATCAGAGTTTATCTGTCAGCCACGATGATTTGAACATGGACCAATTAAGGATACCTGATTTTGTGGACATAGCCTGTAATAAGTTTTAGAGGGGATGATTCCAATCTGTGAGGCTAGCCAAGAGATGAAGTGTTACCAGACAGTATAGAGACCCAGTCTAAAGTGACGTTTTCCTTTTCCAAGTTTCTGCAGCACCTAATACATGGTGACCACTTAATACAGTGCTGCTAACTATAGGTTACCTTAATAACATCTGAGGTCATAGAGTTTAGTTGGGGATTGACAAGCCCAGGAGCAGCACCAATATTAACCATGTGATCCATGTGACGTTTCACAGGAGATACACGGTCTTTGTACCTTTCAGACAGGCCTCTTTCCATCTTTTCAAAACCTTTACAGAAAAAAACAAACAACAAAACTATCTTAATTTGGTTGTTTGTCTATCTGTTGGCCTATGTGACATGGCCAAGGTGTGTATGCATTTAAAAAGACTTTTCATAACTTGGTTCTATTAGATCTATATCACGCATAAGACCACCTGGTTAATACATTCATGACAAACATATTGCTTCACACCACAAAATCAATAAATAACACAATGCACAGTGCACAATGCACAACCTTTTGTAGAAATCTTAAAATTTTTCATGAGAGAAAGTGTAAGGACTTACCTAAGGCTAAAACACACCTATACTGTCCACTGAGAACCAACAGCCTTGCCAACATCAGGGCAGATGATGCAGATGAACAGTTGTTATTGGTATTAAACACAGGGACCCCAGTCAGACCCAACTCTGAAATAAGACAGGAGTGTATTTTCCTTTTAAATTGGAGAGGTTTCTTATTAATCACCAAAATTTATTCAAACTGTTACTCAGTTTGCAGAACCACATAAGAATGCACTCAAAATCCAAAACTCAAATCATTTATTTACAGTGATTCCAACGATAATTGACAAATGTTCCCATGAACTGAGTAAACATCCAATTTTGACTGTAACGTAGGTTTTCTATGAATGGAAAATTACACCTTAGCAGGCAAAATTACCATATACATGAAATACGATAAAACTTACTGCCTGTTTCAAGTTTTGAGTGTCCAAAAACAACAACTATTTCAGTTAACAAAATGTGTCTGCACGAACACGACTAGCTCTTCTTCAACAAGGCACATGATCGATTTCCAAGATGTTGACGTAAAAATGCAGGCACACAATGGGAACTACACAAACCCACTTGAATGTTATCATAATTGTAAAAGGAGAGCGAAAGCCAAATATTGCAATAAGCCAAAGAGAATGAAAGGTAAACAAATAATAAAAATAAATTGTAAAAAAAGACATGACTGGTTTAGTTCCAGAATTCCTTATATTCGACTAAAATGAAAATTGTTGGTACTCTAGAGTCAATGCAATCACTTTTAACCCTTTAACTCCCAAAATTGATCAACATGTACCTTCTCTCCAAAATATCCATACATTATTCAGGAAACAGGTAATGAGAATACTCCAAAGTTGTCAGGTAGAAGTTTTTATCTTGATCTAACACTAAATTCTCATAACTATTTTGAAAGGAAATGTGTCACAGCTAAAGGGGAGAATTGACAATCAGATCTTGGGAGTTAAAGGGTCAGTAACATTGCCAAATATTAGACATGAAGGTCTCAGTGTAGTATGATTTGCTTTTCAGTTATATTAAATGCCCACATTCTGGGAAAATATATATTCAGCATGCACTTTACATACCATAAACTGCCCTTTGACCTGTATAAAAGGGAACAGCAAGGTTCAATGAGGCAATATTCAAGTACAAATTTTATCCTCTTAACCTCTAGGAGAGACCAGTAACTAATTGTGTCTTGCAATATCACCCTGAAATCAAACATTAAGGTCAAGGGCAAAAAGGAAATGATTACCAACCAAAGAAGCTGTTGATTGTTAAACAAACTCTCTTTGTCAGCATCTTAGAAAATGTATAGAGAATAGTATTAAGAATAGGCATATTTATTTTAGGGTGTAAAGGGCTAAAAATTAGGTATTCTTGTAAGATTTTATGAAAAGTGATGTTTGCGTGACACTGACTTTGACATAAATAGTGCTCGAGACTACCCTGAAAAAGCAAAATTGTGACCAACTAAAGTAGCATTTTTTAGTAAAATAACAATCACACCTGATGTTGGTTCTCCATAACAGTAGCTAGCAACAACAGCCTCCACATCCTGGTAAGAAATCCCAGCATCATTCAGTGCTGCTGTCCCTGCCTCTCGAGCCATATCTGTCAATACATTCTTAAAATCAATGACCATTATTGAATGTGAGGGCTTATCAGCTGAAAAGTCAGTAATCAATCTACTTAACCCTTCTACTAACTTAGAGTGACCATCAGTTAATTTCTCCTTACAGCATCACAACTGAATCAAACATATAAGTCAGGAGAATGAAAGGAATGATCACAAACTAAGGGAGCTCTTAATCATTAAACATAATTCTCCTTGTCAGCACCTTGGTAAATGTATAGAGAACAGTATGGAGAATATACACACTGATGTTGGGGTGCAAGGGGTTAAAAAATGTATCTTGGCTGATAAAGTTAACAGGGCACATGACTGTATATTTCAGCTCCTTGTTGCATGAGAGATTTCAGTTGGGACACCATTTAAAGAGCAAGGCATAACCTTAGAGCTTCAATCTCTGCAGCAGAGGGAGGGAATGGAAGGGGGATGTCCTTCAAAATCCCAAAAGCTTCAATTTTTATGATAAGTTAAGTTTAAAAAATAAGCTCTTCCATAAAAGATGGGGATAACTTTCCTACCACTGTCAATTTGTGTTCAGACAACCTGCAATAATTAAAACACTCTTTCAATATAATGCTTCCAATACTTCCTTATCAACATACCTGGATAGTCCCATTTCTTGGTGAGAGGCTTTTCAAATCTGAAAGAAAAGAGAATTTTCAAAAGCCGTAGATGGTGTCATGATCATCAGCTCATGCAAGTTAGATCGCGAGGCTAAAATACAGGGCTACTTTTAACCATCCACCAAACGAGCCTGCTTGTTTGCCTCACTTGCTCGTCCACTGCTGAACCAATCGAGGCATTAAATATAAAGACCTACGACTTGACACGCATATAGATTACTCCTCGTTCTTTCATCCACTGCCGCCCTAAGGGAGCCTCTAGATCTGTGCTCCGCCAAAAGTGGCCCTGTATTGTTTACTAGCTGACGTTTGACTGTTAATCAACCACTTACTTCGTCATTCCTACACCAACAACGAAAACTTGATCTTTAGCTCTACTCGTTCCTGCCATAATGGATCAGCAATGAGAGGAACTTTCTATACCTGCGTGAATTAATGCCTCCAACAACTCCAAAGCGATTTGTTTTCAAAAATTTCCAATATTTTGTTCATATATGCCGAAACCTGTTGTCCACTTGGTCACCTACTCTACAGGAAGTGTCCTGCTAGTACACAGGCCACGGTGGAGCATTAGATGCACTCTTGTGCTCATGCTCTATTCACACCAAAGCTTAGACTTGTCTTAAATAAATTAAAGCTGTTTGTCAAACACGGTTGAAAATTTCATTCTTCATAGAACCTGTTTAGACCGAACTCAAATTAAGCACATTGAAATACAAGTTAGAGACTACTTAAAACCTATGGAAAACTCAGTTTTTCAGTTCTGTTTCTGATTTTCATTCAGTTAAACCCGGTCAAAGTAAATATTTTTTGCTGGCGTGAATAGGGTGTATCTCTACAATCTTAAAAGCTTTGAAAATTACGCCCAGATTCTTTCGGAACATGCTCGATATACACATCCTCGAGTCGTGTGTTGTGCAGCTGCCCTTTGGCCGTTTGGGAAAAAAGGCAAAGAAAGGCAAAATGAAAAAAAAAGCAACGACAGTAATGCGAAAGGACAACTTCCTCCTTCCATGTCAACTTATGAATTAAGACTTTTTCTTGACTCTTCCCTCATTCCAAAACTAGATTCCAGTTTTCTTCATTTTATTACTATTCCTTGCAGACAACCATAGCAGCGCCTCTTAGTAGAAGCGCTTGGTGAAACACGCATTTGAAAGAAAAAACTCCTCTGCGCTCATTAATTCTTAATCAGAAAATTTTCTTTCAATTGTTAATAGTAATCGCTTTGTCCAACGGGTCAAACTGGCTGAACAATAGATGCTAATTAAAGAAAAAACGCCCCACTGACCGGACTTTGTTTACGACGCGACTTGGATCTTCAGCTATAAAAAAAACTAGAAGAAAATCATATTTTGCGTTTGCCTATCAAAGCGTGTTGAACTGTGCAGATCGGTCGTGAATCTCAAGTAAAAATGGACTTTTTGCCAGTACAAAACACAGGTGAGTACCGTTAAAAAAATTAACTGCTTAGATATCGAGTTATGTTCAACATATTTTAAGAAACTACTTAAACCATTCTGGGATTCGACGTTTTGTTAGGAACTCGAGTTTTTTCATTCGACGTTTTATCAGGAACACGAGTTTTTTTATTCGACGTTTTGTTAGGAACACGAGTTTTTTCATGGTCCCACGCTTACGCAACAAAACGAAAACCATGTAGCTTATTTCTTTCTTAATCACTCAGTTAACTGTCAAAATTCGTTTGACGAAGATGAATTAACAAAATTAAATTAAAATTGCTTTTAGTAACAATAGAAAAACTGAATTTTTGGGCGGAGTAAACCGAGAATATATAATAACACTACGTAAAGTTTTCTAGACCTTTCTAGCGACACAAGAAAGACCGAACTACTATTTTTGAATACAACAAGGCTATTGGCTGACTAAAATATAGTTTGACATTCTAGTCTCCACGTTTATGACAATAGTATGAGTCGTTTTTCTTTAAAGACAGAGACAGTAAAAAAAAAACTTAAATTGCGATGCCGAATCTTACTTCGCATTTTGAAGAATGATATTGATACATTCCATAATTTTCCAAAAAGTACACTATTATAACTAAGAACACAAAAGGCATGAATTTTCAAACGTGGTAAAGAGCAATTAAGATGACTAAAAGCTTTAAAGCGCTCACACCTGTATCTTGACAGAAAACGACGTGGACAAACTGAAGGCCGTCATTTTCCTCCAGTCAGGTGAGCCATCATAAGCTGGTTACGTAGCAACCAATTTTCCATGAAAATGGCAAGAAATATTTGACCGACAAACATGTTTAGAAGAACGAAGATGTAAAATTTTCCCGTCGTAAACAGAATATCGTACCTGAAATTAATAATTAACCACTTCATTGTTTGTAAATAGTTTACCGCGGGTACTTGGCCCGCAGGAGAGTTCAAGAGATGAAAGAACGATCCAGTGGACAAGAAACAGCAGTGATTTTCTTTCTACAACAGGTCAGTAAAAATTTTACCATTTTTTTTGAGAATGAAAAGAGTACAATTTCAGGAGTTTCAATAAAAGTCGGTAACCGGCAGTCTATCGCCGCCTGAAATACCCCTAACAGCAGGCTCCCGAGTTTGATTTTCGCCTTGGGGCTCAGCCGCCATCGGCAGCTGTATTTCGAAAAAGTTATTGAGCCCCAACGTAGTTTCTTTGGGCTTAGAATTTTAACTTCTTGATCAAGGGTTCGACGTTAATTAGGTTTAATTGAACTTCCAGAAGAAATTTTAAAACATACAAATACCACTCACAGTTTTTATTACGTTATCCAGTGGGCAAAGAAACCGGAATAGACAAACCTATCAGCTGGAGATTGTAATCTTAATTACTAGAAAAACAATTTCTCGTTAAAAATTTACAAGAAAGTTCTAGTAACCAGAATAGAATTGCTAAGTTAAAAAACAGTCGGTCGAGGAAGCTAATAAAGATTGAGTTATTTCAAAAGAAGATTGTGATAACTCCCTGAATAATAACCATTACAATTTCCTCAAATGTGATTGGTGCATTAGCTGCTTTATAGTTCACTAATCGTTCTGTACAGCTGTAATCGATCAGTGTATTCGGACAGTTGGCTGTAATTGGACACCTGTAATCGGACAGTTGAAGCAGCCAATCATATTAAGTCCACTCAGCAAAATCCACCAATCACAGAATAGATCACAATAACCATAGCAACAACTGCTTATCCTGGAAAAAAAATTGAGGAATTTCAAAATGGAGGAATTTTTTATTTTAGACATTGTCTCTACTGGACATGTGTGCCCCAAATGTATTTGTTGTTTTCAGAAATTGGAACAGTTATAATTAATTGGTAACAGGACTTTGTGTCGTCCTATTCCTTCTGTAATCATACTCATGACTGACAAATCTTTTTTATCAAATCGATTTGTTAATCGCACGTACAATTACAGGCCGAATTTGACTCCACTTGGTCCTATTATCGTAATTTGATTAACTTTACTGGACCAAGAGTTGCTTTTCATCATCTGAATCGTGCAGTATCACAACTATTACATACGTTGCAAGAAGCATAATTCTTTCCGTAGAGAGAGATTATGGATGTACGAGATGTATTTTTGATAAATCGGGAGCGAAGCATTTTATGAAGTTTCCTGCATTTTCATTTTAGGTGGAAAATTCATCTGAGCACATCTACAACTGTCAAAAAACCACAAGGAAACTCCTTAGAGGTCTGTTTTCTTTTAGACTTTTCTATATTTTTTAAACACCGTTTTGGGTGGATCCTTTTAAACATTCTCAGTTGCTTGACAGTTGGCACTCATTCAGTTGACCTGTTTGAAACTGGTTTTACTATTCTTAAACCGGTCACACAGGTAAACTTCCAGACAAATAACTACTCTTTCAGGAAGGGATTTCTAAGCCGTTGGATAACCATCTTCAAATTAACTTTGAGCAATAAATGCTTAGTTCTGATGTAGACAGGTGGAAATTTTCATGTTAAATACGCGCATCTGTTCTAATGAGTCTTCCTGTCAAAAATATTCCAAAAGGTTTTAGTGCTGAACGAACGCAGTCGCATTTTGCAACGTATGTTGCAAGGGAGGGTAATGCAAGCGTATAAATTTTTTCCTTCCCGTGCGGTAGATTCAGATTTGATTATAACATGCCTAGCAGTTTTTTTCTGCTTCCCCTTAATTCCAGCAGGAGTAGTGTGAGCAACACAAGAGTCATATAAAGCATTGTCGGCTCAATGTTTTTTCCCCAAGTCTTTCGTCTCATTCCTCAGGTTGACTCTTACTCAAGTTCTTCCTTCACTGCTTAAAGGAAACGAAAAAGGACTGCAACGTGGAATAGTTTGGGAAAGACCTCTGCCGACAATTTGAAGAGATAATTTGGTTTAAATTTGAAACATGGGGGCTTTTTGATGACTTTGAGTTTAAGATAGTTAAAACTTAGCCTGCGACTCTCCAGGCCCACATCACAAGTTTTTTTTTGCTCGAGCGTCTCTTTTCCTGCTAGGAATTAAGAGGCCTTGAGTGACGCCAGCCGGCAAGGGGTCTGTTTGGAGTTGTAAAGGGGTTTACACCTCATTATTAGCGCCAGACCCCGGCATACCTCGCCCCGACTCGTCTCAAATCTTTCCGCGGGCAGAGAAACGCCCGTCCTGCGGCGCTACTAAGAAGAGCCTGCTCACAGGTTCAATGAAAGAGAAAAAGAAAATTCCTGTTGATTCTTTTTAGAGACGTTCAAATCTCACATATTTTAAACTGACCGACGGACAAGTTTTTTTTTTACGTATAATTTTTTTAAATTCAACAGCTTAGACACCCCAGTCAAGAACCTTGTGGAGCAATAGCCTGGGATTGCTGAATTTCAAGTGTAAATGCACTATTAACGATCATGGTGATATTTTGTGGGGGATGTTCAACTAACATGCATGAACTGTAAGAAATTTGAAGTACAACACTGGGCGTTCCCCTCTCTATTTGCTTGCAAAGTATCTGTAAGATAGAGGGATGTAAAATCCAGTAACGTTACTGAGACATACCTAAGCCTATCACTCTGCTTTTAAATCTAGCAATTTTTTGCGATATAAGGGGCCACTACTCTATTCCAATAGCCTACATTTGGTGCATTGAAAAAACTCTACCACTCATGTAACAACTTTTTGACTTCCAGGGCAAAATAAAGCTTAAATTTCTCCATGCAAAGTCGATTACTTTGCAGAATTGTGAAGCTGACAAGTGTTAGAATTCTACACCCTTCTTGTGTCTTTGAGACAGAGCCTCCCATATCTACAGCCTTAATTCCTATCAGCCCTCTTTTTTTTTTAAACAGACCTCTCTTGCATGTCGCCACACAATGGAGATATCATGATTTGAGCTTGTTAGAATTGTCAGTCTAAAATACACTTGTATTTGTAAGCTCGCTTAAGCTCTTATTTAAAATTGTGTAGGTTTAAGTTTAACCCCTGAGAGTGACTAACATCTGATTTCTCGTTTCCTTATCACTGGTGAATCAAATATCAAGGTCATGAGAATAAACGGAATGATCAATATTTGAAGGAAATTTTGATTGTTAAGCAAAGTACCATAAGATATGTACAGGGAACAGTGAGGAGAATCTGCATGCTGATGTTAGGGTGTAACAGATAAATGTCTTCATTACTGCTGAGTAAAAGATTGGAAGAAAACAATTCTAGCTCTCAATTGTTTTCAAATAACACTTCCCTCCTGATAAGCCCAAGCTCTGAGGCACCTTATCTGCAGACACTACAAAGGTGCAAGTCCTTTTGGCAGCTTAGGAAAGGCTTCACAGTTGAAAAATTGTCATATATTAAGTAAATTTGAAGACTACTGGTAAATTGACTTCACATTTATTTATGACAGATGAGTCCACATTCCCAGAACTTTCTGAGCTTGTCTCCGATCAAGAGTATACAAGGAATATTTTCGTTTTGAAATAATGTATACTGTAAACAAACTACACAACAAACTCTGGTGTTATCTACTTTTAAATGTGACCTAATTCTTTCTTCTTCACCCTTTACCTCCTATGAGTGACCAAGAAAGAATTTCTCCTCACAATATCAATACAAATCAGGCAGACACATAATGAGAATAAAGAAAAATATCAATTAGGGGATTATCAGTTGATCCAATACCAAAATCTCCAAACTAGCATTATAAGAATGGTATGGAGGACAGTAAGGAGAATTACCAAGAATATCTTGGGAGCAAAAGAGTAAAGCATTTCAGGAAATAACCAGGGCATCAAACTTTGGCCCTTCTGTAAGTTTAGGTAGGGTTAAAAATAAGTACTGAATTGATCTTTATTCATTCCAAGATTTTTTTTTTAACGCTATATGGAGGAATGATCAGCGTGAGGACATCAAATAAACAAACAACAAAATACCAACAAATACAAACACAACCATTGTCATCAAATGTGACACCAGAGTACAATGCATTCCTTGATTGACATCTGGCACAAATGCTGCCATTTGCCAATTGACGTATTTCTGTAAATTGCTTGTTGGACAAAGACAACGGCAGTTATAGCTTCCCCGAGAAAATTTGTACGTCCTTGACTCCATTTCACATGGATGGCACAGTCGTCCATGCATGTCTCTGACTCCTGGTAAAACATTTGCCTTATCTCTGTTAAGATAGCGCCGCTCTCGAGCACGTTTCCATGGAGGAAGTTGATCAGGTTTATATTTACTGCTTGCACCAGGATCAGCACTGGAACCAAGATCATTATCACCTACATGCCAGATACGACTTATGGTTGGTGAAACAATCCTGAAAATTGTTGAATTCCTATTGTATAGAAGCATTAAACCTAGATAAAGGGGCCAGTCTTTTTCGGCATGTCCTAAAGCATCCTCCTGAAATGTCTTGATATACTCCCACATTGACGTGTTAAATGCATAACCAATGCTTTGAACAAGTGGCACCTCGCTCACAACAAAGGCATCTGGTTGATGATCTACTAAATTCTCTTCTCCTACACCTTGCAGTGTGCTAAAGTGGATGTTGGGGACAGAGTTTTTGACAAGGAGGGAGTACCACATCACTTCCATAAAATCTGGTGCAACAACTAAGTCATCCTCAACGAACAGTACATCTCCACTGAAAGTTTCATTGTGCTTTAACTGGAATGCATCTGAAGTAAAAAGAGAACCATTACAATTTTGGACATACATGTCATTTAATTTTTAGATTATGGTATAAACTACTACTTTAGAACCCTGGGCTAACCAATCATGAATATTATATTGATGAAGGGCAAGGTTTCGCATACTATCAAGTAATATGTGGTAAAAATGGAAGAAATATTTTCCAAATTACCAAACAAGAAGTTACTTTGGGCTGACATTGAGCAATAGAGCAAATTTTACATCAGTTGCAAGTGATGGAAATGATCTTTAGACCCCCCTGAAAGATTGCATTAATATTGCTTCCTAACTAGGGTTAATCACATGAGGTTTTTAGAGTTGGCTCAGTCTGCTGGGTCATTACAAGTCAACCCCAGCATTTCTTCAGATTCCTCTGAGAGCTGGCTGGTACCCATTTTTACTCTTGGGTGGAGAGACACACCATGAGAATAAAGTGTCTTGCCCAAGAACACAAACACAAACATCCTTCTGAATAGCAGAAAATTTTCAGAGAAGCCAGACAAAAAGCTGAGGGTAACCTTGTGATATACTGGTATCCCATTCAGGAGGGATTAGTAATCCTTCTTGTTGCATTTTGTTAGGGAAAACAGGATAAGCACCAGCTGGATGGGCCACTTGGCTCGATTTCAGACATCACCTTACCCACCTACCAGCATTAAATTAGGAAAATACAACACTGTAGGCTTGCATTAATTATCAACATGGATGAGTTATCACCTTACCATGTTCATCAAATACTTTTATCATAGTATTCCACCAATGAGTCTTTAAGACTTCTGGGCTACGTTCTTCTTCCTCATTTCCAAACGTCCACACAAGTTTTCTACAAAATGTGATTTTACCAAGGACCTTGTACGTCTCATTTATGTCCTCCATTGATGAGGCCTTAGTGTGGTGGAGAATGAACAAACAAGGAGTAGATGGAACGATACTCCCAGACGAGGATATTGACTCCAATGTCCTTTCCAAATACTTTGGTCTGTAGGAGCTAAAAATAACCAGAGGGACAAAAGGGGCTTGGAAATTCTGAGGAAAAACAATATCGAATTTTTGCGGCCAAATGTCCCCGCGCTGTCCGAAAAGAACCGGAATTGCCAACCACACTTGAACCAAGATGACAACCGCAAATATCACTGTTCTTTTGAATGATCGACATCTGAACGTTCTCCTCAGAATCAGTGTCAAAGCCATGGTAAATTAGTTATCCAATACGATTCCAACGGTAGATTCCACCGCTTCGAGCTTCGAAGAAAAGTTATCCATAAATCACGATAGCGTAATTTTCGAACACGCCAGGGTGACGTGTCAGTACAAACTTCGATCGGATTTGTGCCATGTTCTGGCAAATAAATTTACCCATCTTGTCTTCCTATCTTTGAGAATTCAAAGAAGAAACTTTGGAATATAATGTTCCATCGAAAACAAACTGATGGCCGCTGTGTACTTTGAAAATGCGTGAAGGCTGTCTGTGAATTTGAACCCAGCGTGGAATTATGAAGCGGTCATTTAATCCATTGATTGGGGAGGGGTAAGGAATTAATTCACTGTAAGCACTCTTGACGAATCAAAATCTTGATATTGCATGAGAAAATAAAAGGAAGTAACTACTTTACGCTCAAGGAATCTTGAGGGGTGTACACATTATTTAAATCCTGGACTGATAATCTATCTTTTACTGTAAGCTAATGAGTTTACCTTTACTCTGGGGGTACTTGTCGGGATAAAGTACTCCAAACCGCTGAGCAGAAAGAGCGTTCCTAAATCTATCCTCTTTTGGCCAGTTACGCATCTCTGTTTTTGATTTGCTTTTGATAATTCCGAAATACTTTATCCTAAGATTTTTAAAGGGGTGTGGGAGGAGACGAGCTTGTACAAATACTGCGTAAGTTAGTCACCGTGAAGAGTTTCAAAGCTTTATTCATAACTTTTTACGGTGGCCAATTTACGTTAACAACTCAGGTAATCAAATTACCCCTTTAATTCAAGTGTTAAATATGCTGCGAGTTGAGTGTAATTTCTCTCGGTTCTCAGTCAGTAAAAACGAGGAAAACAGCTTTGCACGAGCAGTTACTACAACACTGCTGACGGGTAGTCTAAATTTGATAGTTTTATTTATACAAAAATTTTTACAATCACATGAAACTATTCTTAATCAATAGGCACACAGCGAGTGTAACTCAAACTCTATGAATTATCGTAAACATAATCGTAAACACTTAAGTTGCTTTCAGTATGCAACCTACAGCTAACAATGGAAATAACATTGGTGTAGAGAACTTCAGTTTGGTAACCAGTTCAGCCAGGCTAAAAATTCAGGGAATGAAATTTTCCCATCACCGCTTGTATCCAATTGTCGGAGTGCCTCGTTTAAGTCGTGGCGGTAGTCAACAGCTTTCAGTAAGAGCTTCAGCTCGTCTTTATCAATGGTGCCATTGCCGTCTCTGTCATATTTCTTGAATTCGTCGATAGCTTTCCTTATATAGTAGTACCTAGAATTGTCATTGACGCATTCTAAGCCCTTTTCGTTTCGAAGCCAAGAGAAAAACTCCTCGAAGGAGACGCTCCCCCCGCCATCTTTGTCAACAAGCATGTAGCAGGCTTCAGCTTGTTTGTTATCCATTCCCAGGTCATCCTTCAGAAGGAGTAGGACTTCTTTTTTACTTAGGTGACCATTCCCATCTGTGTCATACTTTTTAAACAAACTTTGCACAACAATCCTGGGTACGGTGGCACTGAAGTAAGATTTACCAGAGGCCATAGCGCAAACCCTCCAAAAACGATTCAATACTCAATATAAAAATACTGAATATGAAACAATACAGATTTATGTAAATTTGAAAATTTGTTTCTGCTGAGGTTAAACTGCGTGACTGAGGTCAGATCAGGATGCAATGTCACTATAAGGCCAGTCACGCAAGGTGAACCGTGACGTATTGTAGAAGCTCAGACTGGAAGAAGACGGGGACCTGTTAGATCGGTGAATTTTTGAGATTATTGTTTGTTCTTTAGAAAACTGGTTGGTCAGCTTGTATTGCGCCATGAACATATTTCTTGCTGACCCATTTCAGGTCTTAAAGGAAGACCCAGTTTTATCTTTCGTAAATTTTGCGTACATATGCGAGTGAATAATCTAAAATTTGATAGAAATAGTTCCTTAGAGTATAAATAGGTAAATAAACAAAACAAGCTAAATAAGTCTATTGACCTAACCGTTTGGTTTGACCCCTTAGTAACTAACATCAAATTTTTCTTTACAATATCACCCATGGGCCCAGCTGTTCGAAGGCCGGTTGGCGCTGGTTTAATCCAGGTTTCTTTATTCATTCGTGTTAAAGCCTTTTCGGGATAATTTCCTCTATTCTCTCTTGAACACCTAATAATTCCGATTCTTCACAAAAAGAATTGTACTGAATTTTTTGTTTAAGCTTTCAGATCTGATATCAGATTTCACACTAACTTTGAACCATGAGGGGACGCAAATCGTCTGTACTGTAAGTATCCCGGAGAGTCCCCTACATTTTCTTAGTCTTTTAGTCTAAGAAAATGTATGGGGACTGTAAGGTGTCATAATCCTGTTGCTGCTGACATCGATGTGACAGATAATTGCTTTTGCATTGTTTTCTTTGCCGGCTTATACTTGTCATCAAGTTTCAATAAGACGGCTATCATTTTTCACAAGAATAATGCAGTTTTCGTAAATTGTGAGATCGGATGGGATTAAAATGGGATTAAATCACCTACAGAGCTTGATATGTACTAACAGTGCAGACGATTTGAGTCCCCTCATGACCCGGCCCTGAATCACATATTAAGGCCAGGTGCTTAAAGGAAATCATCCAGCTAAAGAAGCTCTTCATTGTTAAACAAATTCCCCTTGTTCACAAGGTGAACAAGTGAAGCGCTTATTACAAATGGTTAGTGTCAAAGCTAAACAAACAACTTTTTCTTTAATCAGATTGACCGTGCGGGGTCAGATTTTGACGAATAGTGTAACGTTATTATGTCACGCGGTCACTGTATTACGCGACTTGTGTTGGTAGTCATGTGCCTTGGGTGCCCTGTGCTTAAAGATTGACGTAACTTGTAAGAATCGTAATAAATAGCTTAATCTTTTATCTTCCTTGTTTGGAAAGCAGAACAGGAATAATAGAAACTGAAACAAAAAAAACAGTAAATTAACAGAAATAACAACTTCAGTTTCAAATTTTTTAATGATTCCCTATAAGGTGCAAGTTAAACAGATTTCGTTTAAGCATCGACTGATCAAACCATTCATTACAATGAACGTAAGAAAAATCCACAATTTCTAACAGAAATAACAACTTCAGTTACAAATTTTCTGATCATTCCCTATAAAGTGCACGTTCAACAGATTTTGTTTAAGCATCGACTGATCAAACCACTCATTACAATGAACGTAAGCAAAAATCCACAATTTCTAACGGTTGCTTTTACTTCCAAAAGCAAGACTGAATTAATTTGGGTTTTCTATCAATAGACAAATTACAACCTATCTCCAATGTCCAGAAGTTTGGTTAAGAACACGACGAAATTAGTTATTTTTGCAAGGCCATTAGCCAAATACCCAAATCTTACATACAAAACTAATGTTTAAAGGTTGATAAGATCAACACCTAAAAGAGAACCAAGCGCAACATCGGCATTAGTAAAGCGCGAATAATTCTTACATTACCATCTCAAATATTAATTGCGTAGCGGGAACAAGTAATAGGCCCGCAAAGCATAAACAGCTGTAGAGCGTACTGCTTTAGTTTAGAGGTACCTACGTAATAAGCTCGGTTACTTGCGAGTGCTACCCCGCGTGTTTACCATTTGACTTATCGTGTACAAACCATTCAATTATACGAAGGCACGAATTGAAAAAAATATAGCTTCCTAAAAACTATTCTTAATGGACGAGTGGAAGAATCTTATTTGTTGCTCATGCGGTGACCTGTCCTAATGACATACGGCTTACTCAGAAGTTAATAACATTTAACTTCTACCTATACTATCCAAACGTTATCCAGCTAACAGATAATGGAAATACTAAAAATTATCAGGTAGAAGTTGTTCTCTAGACTAACAACAGCTAGAAGGGAGAATTTAAAATCAGATCTTCCGAGTTAAAAGGTTAAGAAGGAAATCAATCGCTTGAAAAAATTACACGGAAACAGCAGGAACAAATCAGTTTGAGACAAGTATACTTATAACATAATCTTTTAGTTTGACCATCACACGATCCTGACTCGTATTGAATAACAGGTCGTATAAAATATTATTTGACAAATAGAATATATTTTTCCAATAATTAATAGTGCTGAGTTTTTACATCTTTTAAAAACATTTTCCCAACATAAATTATTTACCTGCCATAGAACGTTCTTTTAAGTTGGTACTCACGCTGTTTTAATCGCATGACGAGACAGCAATACCGTCTTGAAAGTAACCCCATTCCAGACACCAAACTAGTGTAAGATAATAGCATGTCCTCCTATTTAAATAATTTGTTCTTTAGACAATCACACAAAGGGCTTTCAACCCCAAAGCCATTAAAGAAATGTCAAAAATAACTTGACCAAGCAATTATATACTAAAATATTTTTTAACACAAAAATAACTTCCCTGGGGCACAAAGGTAGTTTTTCGTTTTTTTTTTTTAAACAAAACTTAACTTCTTTTGTAGTTTAACTTTGCAGTTTAAAGTTTTAAAGAACAAATGTGAAAGTCATAACTATCACAAATCAAATGGATAAGAAATCCTTAAGTAAAGAACTTCATTTTTGAAAAACTTTACTCATCAATTCGGATCAGCGAGCACGTGACCTTTTGATTTTGATTTCTCCCACTTGTGTTAAATCTCCATTCATGCGTTTCAAGTCCTTTGTTTCCCCATTGACATAACCATTCTTTTTCATTCCGTTTTCCAGATGATTATCAGCGACTCCATTTTGCCTTAGCGGTTGGTGAACTTCCCTTGAAAGTTTCCGTTTATCCAGATGATTGAATACGATTCCATTTTGCTGCAGCGGCTGGTCAACTTCTCTTGAAAGTTTGTGTTCCAGTGTCATGTGATTTTGGGGTTTCAAACCGACGCACGCCCTGAAACAAATTTTATGACCTTCTGTCAAATTCTGCTACAATATCGACGGCTTTCCAGCAGTGATTTTAAGGGATTATTCTGCGAAATTTTGGGCAATTTCATAAATGACGAACTAGAAAAGTAGTGACCACACTGAAAATTCCGCCGGTAAAAGCTAAGATTGTAGGCCTGGATTGTACGAGACATAAAACAATGTTACGAAACAAGCAGATATCGACATGTTCTTCATTTCACTAAAGAGAAACACAAAAAGGAAAAAAAATTATATTTTATCTTTTGACTGTGACTGATGGAATATCACAAAATAGGATCGCACTTTGATGTTCTGCACGAAAGGTTACTCAAGGTTTCCAGAGCCAGTTTGACACATGATCCTCGCACGACATATGGAAAATCACGTGTGGCACCAGGCCCCAGACCCCAGGACAAGCGATCTCTCTTGAGAACGCGTGATCCTCGTGAATATCAAGTGTCATTTGTTAAACGCGTGAAAAACTGGTGCAAAACCAGCTCACCTGAAAATGTTTTCGATGCAGCTTCTTTGCTTAAACAGGGCGTTGACGACAGGAGTGCCACTGGGAACTAGTGGAGCCTTTAGGAGGTAACTAAGAAGGGATAAGACTGGGTTGAACGACTGGAATTCTGGGTCGTCTCCCACTTTAAACTTGATTCGCTCACAGACCTCGCACAGGATAACCAGGTCCAAAATGATCGGTGCCGCAAGTAGAGAGTCCTGTGAAAGAAACAAAGGAGAGTTTGAAAACAAGATCATCTGAAGCGAACAGTTTTAATAAACGTCGTTTCGCCATTTAATTAACACCCTGATTGTGCCTTGCTGTATTGGGAACAATTTCTAAAATAATAGTTGTCAATACCACTTCAAGTAGGACAAAATTCTTTTCACACAGTAACTTCATTAGCCTGCCTTCATTTTGGAGGGCGAGCGCTCAGTATTTTCACGGTGAAAACTATAGCTGCCATCTTTGATTTTTACAATAGTGGAAAGCTGGGGAGAGAAAGAGATTTGTACCAAGGGGATGAGCAATGGTCAAAGGAAGAAATGGAAGAGGGGTCTTTCCCCGCCCTCTCTCCCACCGTCCACTTTAACTGTCAGTCAAATACGGCCAATCGAATAAACGATCGCAAGTTTTTAACGCTTACGTTATAGTTTCGACAACCTTGACTAAATTGGTTGGCCAATTTTGCCACGTAACTTAAATACCTCACAAGTGTTGTGTAGTACGATGGTGTTAAGCCCGTGCATGAAAATCTCGGACGTGTACTCATCCAGAGCTCGCTTGCTATCTCCCACATATGGGACATACTTGATAACCACACAGTGATCAGGTTTCTCTCCTTTCTCATAGAGAATGCTGTTTGATTCCACCATATCATCTACTACATTGCTCTTGGATATCTAGCAACAAAACATAGCACAATAACGTATATAATAACGACCCAACTTTTAGCCCTAACGAGTCATTGTATTGTGTAATTCTTGAGAGAAACAGTTTATTTTCAAGCACAGAAATTATCCCCACAGGTGAGCTGTTATTTAAGCAATTGCAGGAAAAAAGCTTAAAAAATCAGACCTTGGCGGGATTCAAACCCATGCCTCCCAGATACCAGCTGGGCGCTGCTAACAATTGAGCTACCAAGCCACACTTTGGGAGGGGGGCAAATTTAAGATGGTTTTTCTTTCTCGTGAAAGAACTCGATAAAAACTTGAATTGAGGTTAGGGTTATAATGATGATCCAACTATAAGCCTCAGTGTTGTATAATTCTTGAGTAAGACAATTTGAAAGGCTCAGAGCAAGAACGACCCCTTGATTTTTCGGCCATTTTTGAAAGTGTTCAGAAGTAGTTGAATTTTGGCATGTGGACTTAGTTTTACTCGATATACACTGTTTTGGTTTTTTTTTCGCTGGTTTGCGCTTCGTTTTCGAGAAATAACGTATGCAAAAAACCTTGAATTTCGTAGCGGCTTTCATTGAATGAAGCCGAAACAAAAGAAGCCTTTTGTTTCATCAAAACAATACAGCCCCCGAGAACTTGCATATTCATAACCAGCTTAAAGAAAGAGCATGTTTTTTGTTTTGAGTTTAAAACACCGTTTAGCAAACGTAAAATATCCTTGAACAAACTCGCGCTACGGCAGAATTGAAGACAAAACCAAAGATACGTTGACATAGCCAAAAGTTTATACGAAAACGCTCCTGTCGAACGCTTACGCGAAGGAGTGCCGCCGGTTTATTTAACGATAAAATTTATGTCGTGTAATCGAATGTTCTCTTAGCACAGTCGGTTAGGCATTGGACTCGCAGTCGGACGGTTGGTAAGGTTTTTTTAAGAAATGTCTTTTTTTTCCTTCTCTTTTTCAACTCGGGAAAAGGCAAAGCCATTTTGAGAGTTACATACGTTGACATCGCCAAAAGTTTATACGAAAACGCTCCTGTCGAACGCTAACGTGAAGGACTGCCGCAGTTTTATTTAAACAAAGAAAGGGCGCGCGCTAAACAAACATAACTGTTTTGAACTGACTCCCTTTTTGACGATAATGATTTAATCCAGTATAATTCGTAGGAGCGCGAGTAACGCTCGAAAAAATAAAACTTGTCCAGGCGGCACTAATAGTGTTGAGCGGCGTTTTATCAAGTTTCATTATCCTCGCACAACAAGCGTCCGCGCACTTATGGAAAAAAAAAACTAAAAAAGAAAGGGCGCCGCGCTAAACAAACAAAACTGTGTTGAACTGACTCCCTTTTTGACGATAATGATTTAATCCAGTATAATTTGTAGGAGCGCGAGTAACGCTCGAAAAAATAAAACTTGTCCAGGCGGCACTAATAGTGTTGAGCGGTGTTTTATCAAGTTTCATTATCCTCGCACGACAAGCGTCCACGCACTTAACTGAAAAAAAAAAAAACTAGCAAAGAAAGGGCGCGCGCTAAACAAACATAACTGTGTTGAGCTGACTCCCTTTTTGACGATAATGATTTAATCCAGTATAATTTGTAGGAGCGCGAGTAACGCTCGAAAAAATAAAACTTGTCCAAGCGGCACTAATAGTGTTGAGAGGCGTTTTATCAAGTTTCATTATCCTCGCACAACAAGCGTCCACGCACTTAATGGAAAAAAAAACTAACAAAGAAAGGGCGCGCGCTAAACAAACATAACTGTTTTGAACTGACTCCCTTTTTGACGATAATGATTTAATTAAGCAAAATATCAAATTTACCCAATATCTGATAAAGTACAACTCGCTTTTATAAGCAAATAATAATATGGAAGTTGAAGTCTAACGAAAAATTAAAAAAAGCTTTGCGCTACGTAGAAAAGTTAAACTTAATCAAATTTGTGCAGGTATAAAATTTATTTATCGCTAGTACACTTTCGTGTGAAACATCGCCCTATTAATTTAATTAGTGTTTATCATCACAGTGCTAAGTCCCCACAAAAGCATCTACCCAGTCAGCAATAACCTGTTAGAAATGGAAGCCATTTCCAGTCACCCAACTAGTGGATAGAAGCAAGGACAGAGCAAGCAAAACGCAGGACTTTTTTTTTTTGACGTTTTTTTTTTTCTTTTTCTAATCTTCACCACAAACTACATGTTCAGGTGTATGTGCCTCAAATAAACTGGTGATAAAATAACATGCTCCATAAAGAATTTAATAAACAATTTCCTAGTTTTCATCATCAGCATTGAAGTCGAGGTTAATGTGGAACCACCCATACATACCTCTTTTGATCTGAACTGTTTAGGTGCAGACAGGTTTTTTCCATCATTATTTCCAAGATGGTTGTAGCTGACAATAGAAACAGGCTGTGGATGAAAAAATCTTGTTTAAATCTCAGCTCATGTGTGGGAGAGCATGCATTTTCTACAGACCAGTCCCACTAATACCAATAATAGAAAACTAAAATCTCACTTAAATCTCAGCTCATCTGTAGAAGAACATGCACCCTCTACGAACCAGTCCCTCTAATACCAATAATTAAAAACTTACAGGCTGACAGCTCATCAAAAGAATGGTCAAGAGAAGCACTAAATATAAGCAAATGGTTGAAATGTATATCAAAATATTTTAACATTCAACTGCACGTTGACTTGCATACCTTCAAACCAGCACTGACTAAAAAATCCACAAGGACAGATTTCATTTTCGTTTGTCCAGATTTGAAGTCATCACCTCCAATAAAGGTTCCATGCTTTTTGGCAAGTTCCACAACTCCTGGAACATTTGTGTTCTGGGGCGAACCATTAATGTATGAGCACTGCAAAATTAAACATTTCAGCACATCAAGCTTTACCCTATTGGCAAATTAAAGAGTCAGTATTCTTGATGCAAGTATAACAGATGCAGTGATACATAAGTCATCTTTAAGTGAGAGAGCAAAAATAGAAATCTGAGGACTGAGATCAGCAATGTTGAAAGTATCATCTGCATAAGTAAAATAACAAAGAAAGTAAATTTTGAGCTATCTTCTGTGGGTGTTGTTCACAGGATGTAAGGGAAATGACTTTGGAGAAACAGACTGCTTCAAACAAAGCATTACAAAATTAGTTTCCATGCATAAAGTGTAACACAAATCAGAGACAATCAATACCTTCTCTAAGATGCTTGCAACGGCAAAGATGGTTGATGGAGAAACTTCCTCTTCATTCTTTGCTATGGACTTCAACAGATTTTCAGCTGTGTCATTCAGACCGTCACTGACATCACAGAATCTCTCAGTATTTGCCGTCCATAAGACAATAACCTAAAAAAGTTAATGTAACACATTTATCTTGTTGACACTTAAAGCCTTTTGCTCGAGGAAAGTAATTTTTGTCTACCTGGAGATAAACATGTTATTCAATTTTACCCCTCTAGTAGATAACTCCTATTTCCAGCAAAAGGAAATGGAACAGAAAGATCGCAAGTGTCAAATTGAGGTTTAAATCACAACTCAATAAAAAGGTAAAAATCACTAACTTCATTTTTTATTCTTAATGCTAAATTCCCAGAGGTGATTAACATGTAACTTCTCCTCATAGTTTATCCATACATTATCCAGCAAACTGGTAGTGAGATTACTCAAATTTATCAGGTACAAGATATTATCTTGATTGAACATCAAATTCTTGTAACCAATTTGCAAGGAAATGTGTAGCAGCTAGAGGAGAGAATTAACAGTCAGATCTTGGGAGTTAAAGGGTTAATGTTTAACTCTATTCTTTATTATTAATGCTTGTGGCTCTGTATGTATTTGATCAGATCAGAATTCTGTTTTAAATCCAACCTTGTCGAGATTATTCTTCTGCTTAAAATCGCGTATGTCCTCTCTTATCTGCTCCATCATCTCCTGCTTGCTACCTGACAAAATGTTGTCAGCACGATCCACTTGATTTGCTGCTATAAAATCAGGGCAGTAAATGGAACGACGTGGTGTCATTTTTTCCAGGTAGGGTCTCAGCTGTCTCTGTAATCCATAATCTAAAACCTCTGCTCTTTCAGTGGCATCAGCTATATTGAGTGATGAGATGTCCCATCCTAATATTGAAACAAAAGCATTGTAGGTCAAACACATATTGACATAGACACAGATGCAGTGGCCATGAGTGGTTAGTGAGCTGAACTCTGGGTTGAGAGGTCTGGGTTCCAAACCTGGCCTGGTCACTGTGTTGTGTTCCTGGGCAAAATGCTTTACTTTTAAAGTGCTTCTCTCCACCCAGGAATATATTTAAATGGCACCAGCAAATTATCAGGGGAGCTTAATGAAAAGCTTAGGGGTAACTTTGTGATGGAGTAGCATTACTTGAAATCTCCAAGTAACATCTGATAATCTCTAGAAGTTTGAAGGAATTTTTCAGAGGAAATTCTGTGAAAAGTTGTTCAGTTGCAGGGCATATATCAATTTCCTGGTTGGCTTTTTGCTATTTTTTTTTTGTTCTATAACAAAGTCACTAAATTAGATTTATGTCAGGTTTTTCTATTCTATATAATGACCTCCTGGCTGAACCAAGTCACAACTCTGAAGCCTGTCCTATTTCATATGATAAACCACCCAAAAATCACTCACCATCAAATATAATATCATTAGGATGAACCATGGGAAGAATATCTTTCAGTGGTATGTATACATCACCATCAGGTCCTGTGCCAAGGCATATGGTAGAGGACTGGGTCAGAGAACCAACATAGTTTGCTTTCTGTAGTGGAAAATGTACATTTATGCATTATGTGGTAAGCTGAATAATGCACACAGTTTGATTGGTTCTTATCAATGATCTAACCAAGGGCAGACACATCATTGACAGTTTTTGGCTTATTTATTAAAATAAAACAAACAGATTTCATGTTGATGTGGTCTGTTCATTAATTGATCATGGAAGACATCAGTGACATAGTTGGCTGTGCCTCATGTGATACTTTTTCGTTCTTGTCACATTTGGATGGTTTTTTGCCAGCCATCTCTACTCCTGGTGGCAAGTAGCACTGCAGAACAACAGAATTTTTCTGTTTGGTGCCTTAACCAAACAGAATCAACAAAGTACAGAAAATTAATGTGCAAACCTTGACGCCTTGTTTTGTATCCCAAGATAAACCCAACTTGTTTGCCAGCACTGCTGCTGTGATCGTAGATCCATTGTTACCTCCCCAACCAACCAACATGCATCCAACCTTCGGAACCTGCCTTTCAGTACGGAATGTGTACTGTGTCTCAACTGGCCTAGCAACATAAGAACCTGTTGAGCTGCAGTCCACTTGAGTTGTTTCATAAGTGTAAATGCTTTCTATGAAGTCTGCAGTGTAATGGACATTTGGACTTTGGACTTTGAAAGTTGTCATGTTGCTTACAACTTCACTGGTCATAAAAGAAGAAAGAATAACATCATCAGTAAATTTGACAAATAAATTTATACTAAATAACAAATAAACATTGAGGGACATTTTGATATCTAAGTCTAATCATACTGGCAAGAATTGCCTGGAGAAGGACTGTTTTCCAAAGTTGTAGCGACTATCATTTCAACATTAGTACAAGTCATCACTGCAGTCATACAGAAGACATATCAATGCTCTTACTGTTGGGAAACATAATATGACAAATTACAAAATCAAAAAAAGGGCAATGGTTGGTGGATTGTCTGATGCATCAAAGTCATCCAAAATTAAAAACAGAATATTCTGTGAAGTTGATTTCCTACATGTTTCGCAATATAACCATGTTGTTTCCAAGTCTCCAAAAAATCCCAACCTTTTTTACAAACCCTCTTTTGCACCTTGTAGAATCTTTGCCACCAATAACAGCCAAATATAGTTCTGACAAAACTGAGAAGAGGGGAAAATTTAGGAATTTTGAACACTGACCATATACTACAGGGCGACTGCTTGATATGGTGCTGCTGGTTTGAATGTAATTACACTTATGAGAGCCAATTCAAAATGGATATAATTAATAATTTGGCAAAAGGAAAGCTGTCCTTATCAATATGTCATGGCTTTTCCATGAAGATGATTATCATTAAAGTTTGTCACCTCAGCTGAGTTGTCATCACAATAATCACACTTTAAATGAAAAAAAAAAGTTAAATCACTGATAAGTTCTTATTTATGAACTTTTGGAAGAGACACAAAATGAGGTCACCATTTAAATTTCTTTTTCTCGCTTTTTATCATTAAAACAAATGGATTCCATGTTACCATGGGTGATCACAGAAGGTTGTGGAACAACATCGGTGACACATTTGGCTGCACATGAGTGCCATGTGTTTGTTCTCATCACTTTTTGACGTCATATGATCTATTGCTGAACAGATACACAGCGATATTGAATCTAGCTGTTTTTAAGAAAAGGAAATCCGAAACAAATAACGGTTGAATAGGCGATCTGATAACCCTAACCTTTCCCAGCATATTTAACCAAAGGGTGACTGTCTCGTTTGTTTGCAATAAATTTGGAACGGTTACTTGACATCTCTTGAACAGTTCAAAGAAAGCCAGTTTATGACCGAGTAAAGTTTGATCGCATTTCTTAATAACGCCCTCGAACTGGAACATGAACATGGCGTGATAATGAGTCAAAGTCCTCTCTCTCTTTCTTGCGTAATTATTATGCAAGACAGCGCCCGGCTACGAGTTTACATTTCGTACTAAATAAGGCTTTAAAAATTCAACATATCTTAACCTTGTAGAAAATCTGAGAAGATCCAATGAACATAAATATGTCTAAAAGTTTTCCATGTTTCTCCTGCATTGAAGAAACAGGTCAAAATATCGCATTTTGCCAAGCATTTCCATTTTCAGCTTAGAAAACGTCAACAATATTCGTACTTCAGTACACAACTAGTCCTAATGACATGGATACCGCCTATCAAAGAACAACTTCTGTGATTAAAGCGTTCGTTGTAGATCCCTCGCTTTAGGCGCTCTAGAACCCCTTTCATTCATTCAAAATTAGAAAATTTTCGTCGAAGAAGCATGGATTTCACTCCGCCCGTACTTTTTCAACACGTGTAACAACACTGTCAAGCAGCTTAAAATCTTCGCCGCGTTTGCCACTTTTCTTCCTGAGGGCTTACGAGATATTTATAGGAATAAAACAAGATTTAATCAATCCCTTTTTGATAAAAACATTAGTGAGAGTTTCTTCGGTAAAGCACAGCTTTCCCGGGATTCGATCCTTGTCCAATCGATTACAAACCATACTTGAAGACGGTGCTT